CTTCCCACAGCTGCATCCCGGTAACCCTCTGAGATGCAGCTTAGGTCTAAAACCACCAACTGACAAACTGACAACCTCCGCCCCTCCCTCCCCCCCGGACGCTGCAGCTGCTGACAGCCACCGAGGCCTGCAGAGGGCTCCCTCAGAGCGGCACTGGAAGGCGCCCCCTGCCACCTCCGCCCCGCGCAGGGCGGCAGGGGAGGGAGCGTCGAGGACCGGTTGTCTCGGGGAGGGGGGCGTGGCCAGGCGAAACGCCCCTGACCCCTCATTGGCGGAGGCCGGCGCTGGCCCCGCCCCCCGCAGCGGGAGCGGGGAATGCACGGCAGCAGGGCACTACCGGGCGTTGCTGCGGCGGTTTTGTGGCTCCCGGCGTGAAGAACAGTGCTGGTTGGCCTTTGGAGTGTCACGTGACCAACCTCTGGCCTTGTCTGTCGATCCCCTGTCCTCGCTACCGCACCGTGCGCGGAGCGGTTACAGGCACATGGCGCGCTGCGGCACTGGCGCTACGCCGAAGGGCCTCGGTCCGGCGGCGGTGGAGCGGCAGCGGCTGAAGGAGGCGCTGGCCGAGCAGCTCCGGCACGACGTCGGCAGGTAGGCGCGGGGCGATGGAGCGGGGTGGTGGGGTGGGGTGGGGTAGGGCAGGGCAGGGCGGGCCCGGCTGGCGGTAACGGTGCGCTCCCGCAGGCTGCTGGCGGAGGGGGCGTGTTCCGACGTGACCATTTGTACCGGCCCCGTGGCGCTGCAGGCGCACCGGGCCGTGCTGCTGGCGCGGGCTCCGCGGCTGTTCGCCGCGCTGGACGACGGGCGGCCGCGCCGAGAGATGCTGCGCATGGACGGCGTAGAGCCCGCGGAGTGCCGGCGCTTCCTGCGGTGAGTGCGCGGCCGCGCTGCGGGCACCAGCCTCGCTCCTCGGCGCTACCTCTCCTTTGTCGTTCCTCCTCTTTTTTCCAGTATTAACACTTGTGCTACGGCTTTCCCAGTATCTTCACAACCTTCCTGCAGTGTCTGTAGAGTATCTTCCCGTAACTTCTTTCTTTGCCTTGGTCCCTCTGCTGACAGCACGTGGGTATACTCTCTGTATGTAAAGGCTTTGTAATAGAACAAGAGAAAAAGCAGCAAAAATCCAGAATGTATCCTTTTAAATTAGCTGTGTTTACTAATACCCTTGTTAGCAAGATTACCTAACAAAAATAACAAAGAAAAACCACTCCAGTGCCACCTTAAAAAGAAAAAAAAAACAACCAAAGTTACGGATTTGGAAATGTAGGAGGGCTTCATCATGTCAGATGAAGACATGTCAAGAGATGCATCAAGTTAGAAACTGTATGGTCAGTACTTTAGCCCTAGTGATCCACAGGCTAGGCTGAGCATAGCCCAGCTTTCCCAGCAAGGTGGGATCCTGGCATGTGGCATGGTGCAGTGTGTGGGTCAGCTACTCCCCAGGGACTGACTGGTACAAGGATCCCATGTGTTCTTCTGTTGCCAGCTATTGGCACATGTCTGCCATCTCACTCATCTTGCTCATGCTTAGGTGAGTACATGAGGGGTGTTGGCTGGTGACGCCACCGGACCTTGCAATCCTCCTTGCCTTTAAGTGCTTCTAATCCTTCTTTCAAAGAACTGAGCAGCGTTGGCTCTTCTGGAACAAAGCTGTGGTGGTTCCACCTTCCTCCTATAAAAGAGCGTTGATACTGGAGCCAGTCGGCACTTTGGAGCATGCGTGGGAGCAAAGCAGTAGGCACTCTGGGACTACAGGTGAATTCAGGATGTATGCACTACAGGCTCTTGAGATTGTTCACAGAATGAAGGGGAATGCATTGTAGTTTAGTGCTTAAAATAAAACTAAGGCTAACCTCTCCCTATTTGTTTTGCTCATTCTCTCCTTATATTTGTGAATAAGGCAGCAGATGGCTAAAAAGATGTATTCAGGGTACTAAAGTTATAACAAATATGAAAGAAAACCTTATGACCTGAGAATAACATGTAAAACACAGAATCATCATGGTGGAACAGGCCGATAAACTGGCATTTGTCAGCTTGCTGTCAAAATCTGGCAGGAGCATTAGCAGAACAAGCAGTAAGAAACAAAACAACGTGGCATTTGTCTCCTATTTTTCTGAACTCCATTATTCCTTCCATTTCGTTCATTTGCTTCACATTCATGTGAGAGGTGGTTCAGAAGGTTTCATGCAGAAGCAGCATGTAAATTTAAAACAATCCAAATTATTTTAATTTGGAAAATTATTATTTGGAATAATTATTTTAATTATTTATATACTGTTATACCACTCCTTTGCTTTCCTAATGGTAAGCACTTACTATGTCTACAGTTCACTGAGACTTGATTTCACTTCTCTCTGTGTTTGCTGTAATTATCTCTGGAGTCCTGCATGTTCTCCAAAAAGCACACTATTGAAAAGCACCTTTAAACCCAAACCAGCTCATCCAACTATAAACCTTTTATCTTTTCACTGTGAAAATGAACTTCCCCATATATTCTAAGCTATGTATGAAGTGCATTTTGCACAATGGTTGTTTTTTCTCCTCTTAGGTTTCAGTACTGTTTGATACTTCACCTTTTGAATCCTCTAATGTAGCGCAATCTGTGAACATTTGTGTCTCGGAATGCACTGGAGTTTGACCACAGTGAACCGCTTTGGACCAAGGAAAGGAAGCAGCTTTGACTGAAAAGAACCTAATTGCATTGTTCAGATGATTTCTGCTAGTATCAGTGGCTGCTGAATCTTAGTGATTTCTTATAATTAAGATGCAAATTAATTAGATCTTCACAAATTCAACCCAATGCCTTAAATTACTGCTTGAGGTTTACTGGAAGCTAGCCTAGTAGTTCTTGGAGCATGTGAATTGCCACCATGAGTTGTAACAACGACCTGTAGCTGCAGTTGAGCTCCTGGAAGAAAGCTATAGTCTTCTACAAAGCTTCCAGGTTTTCTGGTTATAAATACCTCTTCCCTGCAGAAGTGGAATACTAGTACAGTATTGAAGAGTTCATCAAAACTGTAACAAAATCTCATTCCCTTTTCCTGTTTGTATTCAGCTTTTATCTTCCCAAGTAAAAATTATCTTTCCTTGGGGATTTGGGGATTTGATTTTCTCACAAGCTGTATCTGGCATGCATCTCAGTGAGATGTACTTCCTTTGGGCTTCTGTCTCCATCACAAAAGATGTGGGCTACATGTCACTTGTGTGCTGAAGGCTGTGCAACGTGGGGAATCTGATGGGACTGACTTAGACTTTGGAAATGATAAATCCAGAACTGTGGAAGTTAAAATGCTCTATAAAGGCCTATCTCCAGTGAACAGTGAAGGCTGAGAAAGTTGAGACCAAATTGTGAACCAGAACCTTTATTTCCCATGTTAGGGAATTAAAGAATTTACTCCTTTGAATAGCTGAGCTGTTCTAACTTAATGGCTTTAATTCATACAACCATATTCTCTTGTCTGAGTTTGGTACTACAGCACGAAGTTGTTTGTTGTGGTTATAAGTATGAACTAAATTAGTCATTGAGAATAATTAGACTTCAATAAGCAAAGAAGAGGGCAGGGAAAGAAGATGCCACATGAAGCTTGTAGCTTAGATTTTATGTTGGGGAAAGAAAGCCTTCACTGTGATGACTTGTTTCATTTGACAAAAACAGGCATTAAATACATGCTGAATGATGACAGCCTTATCTCCTTTCCATATAAATAGGAATGAGTTTCCTGTTTTTTCTTGCTGCGTTTTTTTTTTTTTCTTTGATACATGTTTATCTCCAACCTCAATTTCTCAGAGGAAGTTGAGAAGCTGAACTGTCAAGTCACAGTATATTTGGTATGTGTGTGATATTAACATCTTGCTTTGGACAGCATAGTATCTTAATGCCATGGATTTATGCCCAATGTGAGAAGGGCAGAAACCTTTCACTGGGACCATGGCTGCTTAAGAGGTAAAATCTTCTGAGATGCTTGGCTTTCACAAGGAAGCTGAAAATTTAAACAGCACCTGTGTGAGGCAGAGGAGCAGCTGATGTTGCATCTCATGAGAAGGAATTTACTGAAATGCTTGTCTCAAGAAATCAATTAAGTTAAAACAACTGTCTTAGCTGGAAAAATCAAGCAGATGGTTCTTCTAGCAAATCTAAAAAGAAACAGAAGAGTCTTAAGTGATCAAGGTAGCTTGAAGTTGTGCATATGACATGCCTAACTTGCATTAACATCAGGAACTAGATAATCTTTAAGGTCCCTTCCAATCCAAATCGCTCTGTGATTCTGTGACGTTCTGGTATGTGCTATGCCAAGTTCCTCCTGCAAACAACACACAACATCTGTACAACTTGTAAATAAAAGGAAAACGTAATTTGTTTTGTCTCTTTTCATTAATTGTACTACACCTACTGTGCCAAGGAAATATCCCATTTTGGGCACCTGTACTTGTCCCTCTATTCTGAAGTTACCATAGTATCGTTTTTTCAAGCAATTAAACTGACACACTATCAAGCAGCAGAATTTCCCCTTTTCATGTGTCAGACTTCTGTGCTGGCAGTTTCTTACCATCCATAGTATTTATGATGGAAAAAGTTTCTGATTTTTTGATAGACTTAAGCATGAACAGTCTGTGTTGCTAGCTGATAGGGGAAAAAAAAACAAAAGAAAAAATGGCATTAATGGCTTTTGTTCAAGCCTGCTTTGTAATCTCTTTACTAATGCTCTATAAATCTGGGCATATATGGAACAAATCCATAACAACATATAAAAGGGCCTGTTTAAACAGCTAGTGTCTAAGAACTCAAAAGCACTTCTTGAGTGGTATCAATGATGTGTGTGCATGTATAACTTGGAGAATGTGGGTAAGAAGAGAGAAGGTAAATGTCTTCCCCACATGGGCTCTCAGTGAAGAACTCCCACACAGAGCAAGTGGAAGCTTCTGCAGGAAGCATCTGAAAGGTGGGGTGCTTAATTAGTTGATATTATTATTGTTTAGTTAGTAATTTATTTATTTGGTTAACAAGTACTTTGGAACAATAGGAGAGGCTGTCCTAACAGCTTTCAGTAAAAGTTAAGTTATGATGATGTTAATTCCAGTGACTTTTGGTGTTCTCACAAATAACAAAAATTGACTCCTTGTGCTTCTAAATACGGTATTTCATGAAAATAAACCCTGCTCTTTCTCTTCCCTTTTATTTGTGTTGTCTTCATGTTTGCTAGTGGCATACAACATATCTGCTTGAGATTTTTACATTCTTGCAGACAGTGGGTATGGCCCATAGTAAAGAAATGTACATCTTCACTGGAAGTACTAAAGAAGTGGATCATAAATCCAAATTCTTTTTCAACCCAACTATTAACATGGGATTTCTTTGTGATTGTGTTTTTTGTATTTTTAGTGAGCATAAAGATTTGTTACTGATTCTAGTTTGTATGGCTCTGTGGCTGTTCTGAGAACAGAATTGCTTGGTTGGTCTTCTACTGAGACTATCATTTTCAAGACTGTGTGGAGTCATGCATCTACAACTGACAGAAACAGGTGGGCCTTGAAGAGAGTTCTAAGGCAGAGAAACTTCCCAAAGGAATTTAGCCTAAGAGATACAGAGTGTTCACCTTCAGGACACCTTTGAGAAAACAAACTGAATGAAATCTTTAGATGCATGAAAGTAACTTTGGTTAGGCTGCTTAGTGTTTTCTTAGTTCTTTGCAAGCTACCCACTAACTACATGCTTTTCTTCAAAGTGCATTTTGAGATGCCTACATATGCTATCCAAGTAGCCCCATACTGCTTGCATGTTCTGGGAAGCTCTTTGATCACAGTGTACAATCTAGTACTTTCCTAATCATCATTAGGGATATGTTGGAAGAACTGGAATGTTTTTGCACCTTCTTAGAGTGTTCAAATGACTATGAAAACTGCTTCTTGTAAATGCTTAACTCAGTTCAAAACTGGTCAGGTTCTAAGACCTCTTGCTGATAACCTCTGTGTGATTTAAAGAATTTTTAACTGTATAGAATAGTAATTTTCTGCACTTCAACTTACTAAACTAAGGTGTCACATCAAGACGTTTGGAAGAAGAACTATTCAGATCATAATTCTGCAGTAAGGGTACTAGTTTCTTACAGCAACTGTGTTTTAAAAGAGGTGGTTTAACATTATCACTAGAACATGTGAACTCCAAGGTCCAAGCCATGTGTTTTGCTGTGGATGAAAGATTTCCCTAGCTTTTATTTATACAGGAAGATGCCATTTGATACTCTGTAGAAGACAGTCTAGAAAACTTCACTTTGCCTTTAGAATTAAGCCTATAAAATATAAAGGATGTTGCCAAGCAAAGTTTTTTCTGTAACAGGGTTTAGAAAACCACAGAATATTCTATTCTGGAAAGAACATCTAATGGGATTTAACTGAGATAAAGGAAAATTTCTAAACTTTAAAGATGTGCCAAAATCATTACTGTTTTCTGAGAACCATAAAATGGGTGCCTCTATGAATCTTTAAAAGTAGTAAAATTCATTTTGTGTTAAGAGGGACTGTTAATATACAGGTATTCTGCTGAGTTTCTGGAAGTAGTGAATCCAGGGCTGTGACATATTTTTAGATGCTACCTGAAATTATCAAGCTTCCTTGACTTTACAGGAAAAAAAATCTGATTTCAAATAGAGTTAACTTTTTTAGATCTAGAAACCAGTTACTTACTTCTGGTTTAATAACATGCCACTTGTTTTATGTACAGTTTCTAGTTATGGAAAAGATGCCATTACTGACTTAAGCCTAGGGGTAACAGAAATGCATTCCTGAGGTTTCTTATGTAGATTATCTGAAAACACCCTGAGGATTCCCAGGAGATTGTTGCCTCATTGCCCAGCTTATCAGATTCCCTATGGATATGTTGTTCAGTTACAGGCAGAAAGTAAGCAAGAAAATCGTAATAATGAATTTATGGCAAAGTAGTATGTCTGTTACTGCTAATTTCTTCTCTCTCAAAGTCCATCTCTACTGTCTTTACATGTTAAATACGCAACAGCTCTGCAGCAACAGAAAGGCGAATAAGTAAAGTTCCAGTCCAAATTTAACCTGACATGTTATGAATGGCAGTTTTCTCTCAACAAACCCTTACTGGAGATCTTCCTGCAGTTTTTCACATTCAGTATGTGTTACCAGTTTACTTTGTGACTGTATTTGTTTACACCTGGTGAAGATGTAGGGATAAAGTTGGAATTACTGGATTTTTTTCTAGTAGAGGCAGTCTGTGTGACTTAAGTGGCGTTTCTTGGAAGATCTAATGTGGAGAAACAACTTGGAAGACAACATTTCAGAACACCAGAATACTTCTGTGGAGTTTTGAAATCTGTAGGTCATTTTGGTTTCTACTCTGAATTTCTGTTCTTGAGCTCTACTGCTACACAGCTGTAAAACACAGATGTTAAGTACTGAGAAGCACACTGAGTGGGGAAAATGTGTGGCAGACATGGTCTTGAATTTTCTGAAGGATTGCAAAGTCTACTTGCTCAAGCAAGCAACCTGTCGTCCTGTTCTTGGTAATGTGGCATGTCTTACTACTTGTCTTTCCCTTATGCTATTGTTAGGCTGGGCTGGAAAGCACTCTAAATATGAAAAGCAATAGATGGTCAGACCAGGCTCACAGATTAGGAGTTCTGAAAGCACGTTTGGGTACAACAACCTTAAAAGCCCCTTTAAAAAGGGTCCATTGATCTTTTACTTTCAATGTGAAACGTTATTACTCTTGTCACACATTTTCAAAATCCAATAAAATATTAAAATTCCAATTGCCTACTCTCCTTCTCATCACTGTCTCTTAGTGAGAATCTGTATCACACAGATGAAAAAATATCTACGTAACTCAATCTTTTAAATACAGGAATCAAGAAGGAAGACTATTTCTTTGTATGTTTTCTCTGCCCTTTTGGAGGACAGTGTTCAAATATCACACTCAGAATTACTATGTTCCAAATATTAACAGTAAAGCCTCTTTGCCAGGGAATGAGCGACTAAATGCATGTATAAGTACATCTGCTAAATCCAAAGTAACTGTAGCTCTTCTGTTCAACTTTGCTAACTTCATCTATATGGTATGAAACCACTGATAAAGCGTATTATCTGTTCACATTGACTTTTTCAGGCTCCATTAAGTTACTGAAGTGCAATCTTTCTATAAATACGAGATCTTTGCAGTCACAGACTGCAGGCTTTTTTAGCCTTTCCAAATCTCAAGCCAAAAATAAGCTGGGGAAACAGATGGGAAAGTGGGAAGCTGGAATTACTATATGAGCAAAGTGAAAGCTCTTGGGTAATCTTAACTGCAGACTTTCATGCTTTCAAGTACTTCTTTTGAAAATGAAATTTCTATTTCTAATACCATTCATTTATATCTAGACCGTTCTTATGGTTTTGTACTTGCAACCTTGATGTTGGAAGGTTTTTATGTTTTGGGGTTTGTAGATTTGATGATATTAAAGGACAATCAAATGCCTATTCTTGATCATACTAAGATTTATAAATCTGTCATCTGTCATTAATGAAACTGCTTGCTTCTGCTTTTGCCAGTAGATGATTATAATAGTTGAGCTATAAAGAGCAGACAAAAGGGAGGTTTTAATTAATAAAAGCAGAGTGAGGGACAGAAACCTGTGTTCCTTTTAACCTGATCCTACATTCTATTTACAGTACTTGTTTGTGCTTTTTGTCTTTGTTAGTGACAAAAAAGTTATCTTTATATTTATTTTGCTCTATTAAAAATTACAGGAGTAAACTTGGTGTCATCTTCTAGGCTTGTATATTCATCTGATAAAAATCTCAAAGAAGCTGAGGAGCCAGCTATGATTAAAAAAGTACTGGAACCCAAATTAGTACAGGAAGACAACACTGCTACACTTCAGAACACTCAAACAAATGCAAGTTGCCTTGGAGACAGCATAAAACCACCTGTTGATCAGGATGCTTCAAGTGGAGCTGGGCAGAAAGAAGTTGCTTCTTCACCTTGTATTGAACAGGAACTTCCAGCAGTAGTCAGTGATGCAGAAAGCAACAAAGCCACTGCAGGTAGGTTTGGAGTTATGCTTTTGTTTGTTTATTTTGGGTTTTGTCAGTTTGGGGTTTTTCTTCTTTCAAGTAATTATTCAAAAACTTACACAGTTGTAAAAATGCAGGCAAAAATTGAAGCTGGCATGGATATTCTTTGTGATGGTCTACCTTATTCTCTCACGCCTTAAAGAGATGCATTGCTGCAGAGGTTTGGCAAGAGTAGTTCTCAGCCAGTGTGTGGCATTAACAAATCTGAAAGGACTTCTCAGGCATTGGCCATGTTCATTGGCATTTGTCTCCTTTCTTTTTCTCTGTAATACAGCAAACTTGAGTCCTCACCATGTGGGACTTCCACAGAGCAGAACCTCTCCTTTCTTTTCCTTTTCTAGCAAATTACACTAGTTCCACTGTTTTTTCATGAGGATTTTGGAAGCTTTCAGAATCTTTCCCACTATGACTGAATGAAAAATTAACCCAAGGAAATGTGTAACTGCATCTATACCAGAGGTGTTTGATGCTACAGCTGTGTCAGTAAGACAGGATCAAGCAACAGTTCTGTTCAAGCAGAAGTTTGTAGCACTACATGACCCTGAACTTCTTCAGAGTCTACTTTTCTTTAATGAGAGGTAACAGATCCTCAGAAGAAATGAACTGGCTACATAATCTTACGAAAGAGTAACGACAGCATTTCTATAGAAATCAAATATGAATCACTGGACAAGTTTCTGATAGTTCAAGTCAAACTGAGAACTAAAATGCATGGTCTGGAAAACCCTTCAAGGAAAGTTCTAGATTGAATATGCAATATTGAAAAAAAAAATAAATTGTCAGATTCTTCTTTTCCAACACTTCGTCTGTGTACTGCCAAAAGTCTGCTCCAGACAAAGTGAAAAAAGCTATTTCTCTCCATCTGCAGGTAATTCCAAACTAGAAACTGCATCTGTGTTAGGCGAAGACTTAATGATGCTCTACAAGAAGTGCTGTTGCCCAGATATTAATATTTGCGTAGAAGGCAAAGAGTTTCAAGCTCACAGGTACATAAGTATTTACAGTAAAGTTTTTCAAGCAAAATCCTTCCAGTATCAAACACTGCTGGTACTGTATATTTATAGAAAGTTATTGCTGGTGCTGTTATCTAGCTGTGAACTGTTACAGGATTTAGGTCTCATGTGAGAAGTGGCCATAGTTTGATACTAATGAAAACTATTTATCTCATTAACTGCAACTACTGTGAAAACAACTGTGCTTTTAGGACTTGTAAGATTGCCATTGTAAGCTCATATAATGAATAGTGAGGCACTGGAATAGGCTACCCAAGGATGTTGTAAATGCCCCATCCCTGGCAGTGTTCAAGGCCAGGCTGGATGGGGCTTGGAGCAACCAAGGTGGTCTAGTGGAAGGTGCCTCTGCCCATGGCAGGCGGTTGGAACTGGAAGGTCCTTTCCAAACCGAACCATTCTATATGCTTAGGTATAAATACTGGGTAGGTTTTGGCTAACCTGTTCTTAAATAATCCATGCTCTTGAAAGAATGAAAAATCAGCTTTTAATGCTGAATATTCAACTATAAATACTGAATAAATTACAATGCAGGTAGAAAGTTTCTGTGGCAGTAATTGTATTTTTTCTGTTCCTCACAATCTGTGCATACAGAATCTTGATTTTACTTTCATTATTTCAGTTATGTGGGTGTAAAGATTGTCAGGAGTCCCTGTAAGATCTAAAGTCCAAGACCAATTAAAAACTTTGGCTTATTGGACTTCTCTATCTTAGGAAAGCAAATTAAAGTGTCAGTACCATTCCTTGTATCTTTGATATGAGTCTGTTTGCATTTGAGATAGCAAACTAGAGAGCAAATTAGACAGCCTGTATTTTGTTCCCTTTGAGTATATAACTAACTAGGAGAGATTGTAAAAAATTTCCCTTCTTTTAGTATTTTCTAAACACAAACCAATGTTTTGGGGGGGGTTATTACTGACATGAAAAATACCTTTATAGAAGATAAGTCATAATAGTGTGTGTGGTGTTTTAATTCTTAAGTAATAGAATTAGGATTATGTACTAAATCTCTAGAATGTAGTGTAGCCAGGCATAGAATCATAGAATAATTAGGGTTGGAAAGGACCTTAAGATCATCTAGTTCCAACCCCCCTGCCGTGGGCAGGGACACCTTACGCTAAATCATATCACCCAAGGCCTCGTCCAGCCTGGTCTTGAACACTGCCAGGGATGGAGCATTCACAACCTCCCTGGGCAACACATTCCAGTGCCTCACCACCCTAACAGGAAAGAATTTCCTCCTTATATCCAATCTAAACTTCCCCTGTTTAAGTTTTAACGCATTACCCCTTGTCCTATCACTACAGTCTCTAATGAAGAGTCCCTCCCCAGCATCCCTATAGGCCCCCTTCAGATACTGGAAGGCTGCTATGAGGTCTCCATGCAGCCTTCTCTTCTCCAGGCTGAACAGCCCCAACTTCCTCAGCCTGTCTTCAAACGGGAGGTGCTCCAGTCCCCTGATCATCCTTGTGGCCCTTCTCTGGACTTGTTCCAACAGTTCCATGTCCTTTTTATGTTGAGGACACCAGAACTGCCCACAATACTCCAGGTGAGGTCTCACGAGAGCAGAGTAGAGGGGCAGGATCACCTCCTTCGACCTGCTGGTCATGCTCCTTTTGATGCAGCCCAGGATACGGTTGGCTTTCTGGGCTGCAAGCGCACACTGCCGGCCCATGTTCATTTTCTCATCAACCAGCACCCCCAAGTCCTTCTCCACAGGGCTGCTCTGAATCTCTTCTCTGCCCAACCTGTAGCTGTGCCTGGGATTGCTCCGACCCAGGTGTAGGACCTTGCACTTGGCATGGTTAAACTTCATGAGGTTGGCATCAGCCCACCTCACAAGCGTGTCAAGGTCCCTCTGGATGGCATTCCTTCCCTCCAGGTTATCAACCGAACCACACAGCTTGATGTCATCGGCAAACTTGCTGAGGGCGCACTCAATCCCACTGTCCATGTCAGCGACAAAGATGTTAAACAAGACGGGTCCCAACACCGATCCCTGAGGGACACCACTCGTTACTGGTCTCCAGCCGGACATAGAGCCATTGACCACAACTCTTTGTGTGAGGCCATCCAGCCAGTTCTTTATCCACCGAGTGGTCCATCCATCAAATTGATGTCTCTCCAATTTAGAGACAAGGATGTTGTGTGGGACAGTGTCAAAAGCTTTACACAAGCCCAGGTAGATGACATCAACTGCTCTACCACTGTCCATCAGTTCTGTTTGCTTCTTCCAGTCTACGCTATTATAAGACACGTTCTCAGTCTACACTAGTATAAGACATGTTCTCAGGCTCGTAACTTAGAGAAACAAATACTTTAATGAAAAAAGGAAGTCAACAGATTCCATCAGCAGAGCTTCTTTAATTTAGGCCACTTAGTGCCTGGAGCAATGTATCTAGTCTAACCAGCATCAAAAAATATGGCAGTACGTCAGAGAAAACAAGGATGCTCTTGAACGAGCACAGAACTTGCTGGTGTTAGTACTGCATCATGTGAACGGTAGGAGTCAATAAGGGCAATCTAACTTTGAGTATCATTGTGGTGAAAGTACCAGTATGATTTGCTTATTTTAAGGTTTTTCTGAAGTTCTTAAACACGAAACAGTTTAAGGCCCCACTCTCTCCCACCCACTTATCTCAGCATTCCTTACTTTCTCATGAAGTCCTGTGGACTTCTAATAGACTGTACAGTGTCAGCAGCGCTGCTCTATGATTTGCAAAGTTATGTGATGCTGTGTTGTATTCTTAGAGCTCTGAGGGGAGCAAGTCAGGTTTGTTCAGTAATAAACTTGTGGCACAAACCACGACAGCAGGAAAGCAGGGAGAAATGGACATCCAGTTCATATGGTGCCTCCATTATTTTGTTACAATGTTATCAGTGTGTATGTAGGTAATACATACTTGTCCATATTCCACTTAAGTAGCTGTCTGACTTAAAATGAGTCTCTGAAATACTCACTTCAGCTATGCCCTTGAAGTTGATCTGGCCCTGATCATTGCTAAAATGTATTTGCAAAAGGATGACAGAATTTGAGATAATGTATTTTGTATCATCTCCATGACATTGTATTATTGTCTCTTACAAAAACAAGATCATGTTTGATTTCAGAATGTCACAAAGTTGTGATGTAATTAATACCCGTTTACATGTGGACATATTACACTGAGATATAAAACAGTCTGTAAAAAATTCATTATTATTATTATTATTGCTGGGTGAATCACAAGAGGAATGTGCAAGAAGTCCCTAATTTAAAGTATTGAGACTTCTGAAGCAGAAGGAGGGAGGAGAGATGAGAGATTCCAGAATATATAAGAACTAGAAAAGAGACCATAAATAGAATTCTTCTTACTTCTTCCTACACAAAATGAGAGTGCTTTGCAACATTTTTAAGAGCCAACAAACACATGTAGAAGAAAGGATTCTCAAGCCTACTGTAACACGTTGCTTTTTCTGCCAAAGGAGATGCATGACCTAATTTTATAAGTAACAGGAAGCTTAGTAAGTGTCAGGAAAAAAAAAAAAAAATCACATATATAAGAATATTATCTATGGCTGCAACAGCCCAGATGAAATGTACAAAGGCTCACACTGTAACTGCTGTAAATCTGGAAGGCTGAAATCACAAAGCAGTTTTCATCCACTATCTTTTCTTCCTTTCTCCGCTTTCACTTCCACCTTAAGAAGCTCCTGTTACAAAGGTTTTCCCATATGGTTTTGTGAAGACTGTGATACAGGTGCAGATAATGAGCTCCACAGACTACCTGTCTGGGGTTTCTTTATTGTCCTTGATAGAAGCAGAAGTAAATTCAATTAGCCCCTTTATGACCAGTTATGCCTTTTATAAGTGTAGTAAGTCTAAACAGAAGTAATTGATAGCTTTTCTTAAGCAGTTCTGGAAATACCAGTCATATTGTTGTATCATGTATCAGGATCAAGTTTGTCAGCTTTCCAGGATGGGCTGGCCAGCCAGTTTTGAGTAGGAGAATCTCTACGCTTCTCTCTTCATTTAAAAAAAATTTTGTAGTATAAAAAGAATTTTTAAAGATTCAGGATATAATCATTTGGCTAAAATGGGGCTATGTAAACAAGATTATTTACTGCTATTCAGTAAATACACCAAAGTAAATAAATTTGGAATTTTGTATCATATTAAAGAAAAATGCTTATGATGATAGATTCCCCCTGTGTGAATGTCAAAGTCATACTAGAAACAAACTTTAACTGAGAAATTTAGAGTACTGTTTGTGTTTTCCTCTAGCATATTTTGAATTCCAAACATACTGAAGAAAAGGCATGCAGTATACCGATGACACCTTAATGCATAAAGGGCAAAGATTTAAGTCAATATTATCAAAGAGTCTCATAATAGATATTTGTTATCTAGTGGAATAATGTTTACTTTTTCTCTCTTAGGGCCATTTTATGTGCCAGATCTAGTTACTTTGCTGCTATGCTGAGTGGAAGTTGGGCTGAAAGCTCCCAAGAGCGCATCACTCTTCAAGGGTAAGTGTTTTCTTTGCAAGTCAGGTGGGAGCAAAGGTAGGCAATTTAAGATCACTGCAAATATGTAACAACTGTGCTGTGTACAGAGCTCTGAAGATTAATCTGCCTTGACGCTTTTCTTCAACCTGATACATTTCCCAGGTACTGTTTTGACTTCAGTATGAAACAGCGTATGTAGTACTTGTTAATGCTGTCAAGTGGTGGAGGGAAGAAGTCTTTTTTAATCAGCAGAAGGGAACTAATAATCCTTTGTTTTATATTCATGGTCTATTTTATAATTTTCCTCTTTCACTTCACATTGTACATTTCATGAAAAGTACTGTGAATGTCTCAACAGTGTAATTTTTCATACCTATTTGTACAATAAGAGTGTATTTACAATGTGAAGACAAATAAGCAATTAAATGTCTTAAGTAGTGTTTAATAATGGTCTCAGCATCATGCAGTAATACAATTTTGACCAGTATCCTTTTTCACAATAGCTTTCTGTGTGAGAGCTGAAAATAATGGAGCTGTGAGTGTAGGAAGAATACTTATAACTTCATAGATAAACTGGAGACTGCCAGGTTAGTTCTTTTCAGTATCAGAAAAATCAATTTAAATAGATTAAATTTTCCTTAAAAGCAAACTAATACTGATACTTGTTAGCTTTTTGTTTAGACAGGATTTTGACTGACTCGGCTTTCTCCAGGAAGAACTGTGTACCTTACAGTGGTACAAGACAGAACTGCTCAGAACTAATATAAAATTGCTTGGCCAAGTAATACTTTCTTGTGTTACTGTTTTAGTTTTCTGTCAGTGTAGTAATATTGCTGCAAACTCAGGAAATTATCTGTTCATTTGGTTATAACATCCCAATCCTCATAAAACAATATGCTTTTAATTGACTCCTTAGCTTTTATGCTATACATAGTGTGGTTGAGAAGCTGATAGTCAACAATTATTCTTATATTTACACTTCTGTCCAATTGATTTCTTCATGGCTAAGAAAATTTCATCCTTACCTTTCAGTAGACACTTTCTCCTGAGAAGAGTTAATCTTTATACGAGTATATTCCCATGCCAGTGTCTCATAATTTGTTACTAAGAATCATATCCATAATTTTACTTTTTCTAGTTCGGTTTTCTGTTTGGTGCAGATTCCCATGCTGTCTGTTTAAACACTCATCAGTAAGGTACATATGGCTTCCTCTGAAATAATGACAATTCTGCATAATATAACACCTGTCAAGACTGTGGGTAAACTCCTTGCTGATTTTACAGCTATTGTGTACTAATATAGACAAAACTGTGCTCTGATTTTGCTTCTTAGCATGTTGAAGGAGGGTTTTTTGTCTGTTCCTCTGTTTGTTTGTAGTTATTGGTGTCTGTTGCTTAAATCTGCATGACTATATTCTATTTATTCTAACGTATACATTACTTGGGGTATTTTAATTGTAGGAAAAGCTTAAATATATCATAAAATCAAGAATTAATGTTTATAAGCTGATTTTTAAGTAAAGGGTTGCTTAGTAATTGACTTATTACTAGTAAAGAGGTTGGAGATGATGAAAAAAACACTTTCTTCATACTACCAGTGTAAATACTCTAGATACCAGCATTAGTCTGCTTATGCCTTGTTTTCAAAGTATTACAGAGTTTCAGCGAGACTACTGAGTAGCAAAATTCACCCCAAATATAGTCCATTTAGATCTTTTTACATTGCAGTAATGTTTAAAATACCTTTGATTTTATCAGATCATTTAACTTCCATTCACAGAACAGCTGGATGATGTACCAACCTTCTGATCAACCACTTTTGGCTAAGAAATGTGGTGTGTTTTATTCTGGACTTTATGTCTTTATTTGCCTTTTTTCTCTCTTTTGCAGCATAAGCCATGTAGAAATGAGTGTCATCTTGCATTTTATATATGGAGGTATTCTGGACTTCCCAGACAAAGTTGATGTTGGGTATATGTCAACTTTTATCCTCTTTTTCCAATTGCAGTTTTTGCTTATTCTGTATTTTCTCAGTTCAAAGTCAAAAGGACAGTTCTTCAAGTAGTGTAAGACAAAGATGTCAGATATGATCATTACACCTAAAGATACTTGAGGAAATTCCAAAAATAAAGCTGCTGAAGGAACCTTGCTTATTTGTCAGCTACGGGAAAAGGTGTGCCAGCCATTTTTGGAATGTTACATAAGGACAGTGAAAACCAGGAGAGTGCTTTATACCAAAATAGGTCCCAATTGGCATGTACCTTCTTTTTAGTTTCCAGAATAATATATACTATATGTCATAATATTTAGCAGTTAATATCTGGAATTTTTTTTTAAATAATCATTTGAACTGATGCATAGGCTAAGTAGTCTTAGATCCCTCAAAGATTATATATAGCAACCAAGGTAAATGTTGGTATATCTATCTAAAATAAAAATATGGAATTGTTTATAGTATGTCCAAATGTCAATGTTTATGTAATGAGTTACTATAGAAAGTAAATGATGGTATTGATTGTTATATCAAATAATATTTTGCTCACTGCTTTTTAGTATTTGGAAGGGACATAATTCTCAGGTGTGATGCAGTCAGTAACATTTTATGTAATCTTTGGAAAAAACCTACAAAATGCCAAAACTCTGCTGGGACAAATACCCTTTTCACTTGCTGCCATAAAATAGAGAAACTGAGAAGCAGTTTCTCAACCAGTGGCTGAGGCTTACTTTTATGTACACCAAAGCTGGTGGTTGAGAGATTATGATTAGGTCAATGCCTGTTTCTGTTCGAAGACTATCCTTTGGCAAGTTTCATGCTTTGTTATCAGTCTGTTTCTGCGGTAAATTATGACTGAACAAGGAGGTGAAATTAGCATGTAAACTGTCTTGCAAGCAGAATGCCTACGTCAAAATGAGTTTTGATTCCTCTTGCTACTGCTTCCTCTTTAGTCGCATGCTGAGCATTGCAGATATGTATGGCCTCGATGGGTTGAAAGAAGTAGCCATCTACATTTTGAAACGAGATTACTGCAATTTCTTCCAAAAGGTATGTCAGTTCTCATGCTATCTTGTGAACTGTAAAGACCAGGAAGGATTTTTATTCTATTAGTTACACATCATATTGACAAAATACTTATCAAATGTGTGGTCAAGGTGTTAGCTGAAGTCAACAGGCCCTATTCTTGTGTGTAAATCTGCTAAATTCACTGGGATCGATGATGGGAGTAAGGCCTGTGGTATCATCCACCTATTTATAGAAACTTTAAAACCACAAGTGATGAAAAGCAATTATTCCACATGATTAATTCAATATATCAAGTTACATGGAGTATCATTTAATACATTCCATTATATATGCAATTGTTCTTAACAGGAATTTGGAAATACTTGCAAGTCAGATTTCATATATTTAGAAAACATTTGTGTTCAATTAAAACTAGTTCAAACAACTGCTTAGATTTGAGCATTTTCATGCATTGGGCTCACTAGGTTGCATGCTACTTTATTGACATGTGAAAGCAGATGAATTCCCTGTTCTGCATAGAGGCAAACAAACTTAAATACCATGGTAGCTAACACTACTTCTGTCTGAAGATTTTGTGTTTCTGTACAGTTAGTGTAAGTCAGAATATACAATAATGATGATAATTTGCTGACAACTCTAGCCTGTTCCTGGAAAACACCAACCTGTATTAGAATGTATGGCTATTGCTCACTTGCTGGGAGTGGAAAACCTATATGCTGCTTGCATGAAGTAAGTAAAATACAATAAATTATGGTTTATGTTTTTCATTTATCTGCTTTCTGTTCAAAGTATTTTATTTTGTGAGACTGGGTTTATTTTAGCATACAAAAATGTTCACATTTTAAACATCTTTTTCCTCACTACATAGAGTACGCTAAAACAAATGAAGACAGAACATTTTTCCTTCTTTAACTAAGAAAGGTTCTCTTTTCAACAGATGGGTAGGAAAACATTTTGCAAAATGTTTGTCAGAGAAAAGCTTTGCCAGCTTACCTACTGAACTTCAGAACAACTGCCTTGTTATGTTGATTAACTCTTTGGTAAGTGGTATATAGTGTGCTTTGTATAAAAATACAGCAATGTAATTTATTAAAGATAAGAAATATAGAAGTTTGAATCTGTAGTACACTTATGCTATGTAAATTTCCCATTAAAATAACAATTTAAAACCAGATTTTGATGTGCAGGTGTCGTTGTTATGCTTTATGGGACAGAGTCTAATGATAATCACATCCAAGTCCAGCATAATAATACAAGTCAAGTTAATGAAACACAGCTGTGACATCATAGCACAGCATTACATGTTCAGATAGTAAGAAACAGGAAATTGCTCCGTCAATGTTAGGGGGGTGGCATACATCATTTGTGAGAGTCCTTCCCCGTGCTTTGGAAAAAATTGTTTTTTTTTTTTCCCAGACTTCAGATGATTGCTGGCTGTCAGTGATGACAAACCATTTCTTTACAGGCAAGCTGACTTAAAAAATAAAGTAACAGTATAGCATATAGCATACATAACTTCTGCTTCTCTGATAACAGCATGGAACTGGTCCCCTCAAAGCTCTGCATTCATTTTTTGTGGCACATACGTACACTGTTCCAATTTAGATCTGATCAAAGTACTTTCCAATTGTGTTTCTGTATGAAACAATGCTCAAAGCTGATTTAAAAGTAACTGATTTGATCTAGACTTGATAACAGAAATTTGGTTCAGTAATTAGCCTGCAAATGCATTGAACTGGAACAGAGATATGAAGAAAATGTAGAGCTAAAGGTAGATTTGCACAGCTGCTGCCAAGCATGACTGTATATGTGGCTGTAATGTGGACTAGTGTACACAAAGTTTAACTCACTCAGGTAGCATTCATAGGATGATTCTGGTTCTAGCACTCACCAGCCATCTAAGTATGTGATGCTTCATTCCATGCCAAAATCCTTGTCCCCACATCTCTTGTTGTTATCAAAGCTAAATAGCTCAGGTATGGCTACCCACACTGCCAAACATACCCCAACTTCAACAGATGTGCTCTTAAATGGGTCTGGCCAAGAAATGCCCTTCACTGAAAGGGCTGTGAAGGCTTCTTGTGGTGGGTTTTTCTCAGCCCCTGAGTTTTTATTTTGAGGGAGTATTTACCCCATCATGTGCTGAGGCCTGCAGATCAGCTGTGAGTAGTGGCTGCTACTGCATATTGAGGTGGAAGCCTGAAAAATGAGATTACGAAGCTAAACGGCTGTTTGAGAAGTTTGAGAGTATCCAGTTAGAAAACCCAAACAGTCCTCCTGCTAGAGAGAGTAATTTCTAACAGACTAAAAATAGTAGCTATAGCTTTTAAGATGAGGTGTTCTGCCATTACATTCTATCAGTGTACATGGTTATTCCTAGAATATATACATAGCCTTGTATGTGGTATGTTGTATAAATGCTTAAGAAGTTTTAAGTAATGTTTTCAGGATTATAGATCAATTCATTCTAATCTACAGCTATATACAGTTACACCAGTATCAACCTCCAAACTAGCTCAAGTGGGTACCGTAGCCAAGAGTATATACAGACACAGTTCTAAGCTCCTCCCCAGGCACCCTTGTGCAACATTATCAGGACAGCTTGAAGGTAAACCTAAGCCACATCATGCCTTCCTTCCCCTCTGTGCCTGTTATAATATATGAAGATGGTGTGGTTTTAGTTTGTGTCGAAATATATGAGCTATCTTAAAGCTACCAGTAATTGCAGAACTGTCATGGTACTTAGTGCTGCTCAGCTTCTCTGGAAGATCTTTGCAGTCTGGACTCAAGTGGTGTTTTGGTTCCTAGTTTAGTTATTTACAAATCTGTGTTGGTGTGTCTTTGGAAGATTCATTGGTATTTTATGGACTGAAGCCTAGAAAGCTCTTAGAATTGCAAAATTAAGAGATAAAGCATAAGCCTCTTCTGCCTACAGAACAGTTGTGGTGAGTGATCATTTAACTCGGCTCTTAAGACAGCCAGTCCAAAAATTTGTGAAATTCCCAGTGAAGTTATGCACGATCTGCAAAAATGCTTCAGGACGCTTGAGGGAGAAAGAAGAAAAGGTCTGACATGAATTTTCAAGGGACTACTGTATGTTTTATGATCCCCTTTGCTGCTACAGTTCTCTGCTGTAAAACTTTTTAACAGTTACACCCAGTTAAACAGTATGACTCTACTGATTCCTTCATTTACCAGTCTCGGAAAAGTAAAACCATGTTAATGTGGGGCAGCCCTCTGGAGAAAGAAAAGGTGCAAAGGAAACGAGATCACTGATCAGAAAGTCTCTGGGAAACCCCAGTGATGAACACAGAAACATTAAAATGGGAGTGCAGTTTAAAACACTGTTCAGGTTCTTACCCCCCTGGTGTCTCTACATGCAAGAAAATGACCTTTTATGTTTTTTAGCTAAGTAACGTGGACTCTGCTTTAGAATGGTTGGGAAAAATACAACAAGAGAATTAAAATTCAGTTAGAGCCACTCCTACAACATGCTGATTTAATTAGAAGTCAATGAAGGCATTTTATATTTCCCTGGAAGCGCCTAATGGGAGTAAATGCTTATTGCCTTGTGAGCAGGGGCTGAATTCTGGACCATTCAAAAAGCTTGTAATTGAGTCCAGTGGGAACAAGATTAAACCATAAGCATATAGTTAATCCACCTTATATGCAGACAAGCAAACTGGGTTTGCCCACAAATGAGTAAAATAGTAAAATACAGTTGAACAGTGGTTGGCCAGATTTTATGTTTTAATGATAACATACATAAAGAAAATCCTCCCTGCTTTCTACTTTGCATGGGACAACCAGGATTATAATCTGAATTTACAGGAGGTGTCTTTGTGTCAAATGTTTATCTGAACTGTTGCTTTCTCCAGTGTTGTTGATCTTACTGCATCACTTATCAGTGACCTGCTAGGTCATGTTGAGTACAGCCCTTCTAATGGCTAATTCTACCGTGGATAACAGAACATTACGAGTTCTTTTCAGGTGATGTGTTAGCCAGTAGAAGCTACCTTCAGGTGCTGTGCTGATGCAGTACGTGAAAGAACCAAAGGCACAGACCAGGGAAATAAATATTAGCAAGTGTGTTTGCTTGTTTTAAATGTGAATGTAAATGTAACAGTTACATTTCTTAGTGAAATGTTAGCCAACAGAGAGTAAGTTCAGTGGGAAGACAAATATTTGATGCCTGACTCCTTCCAATAAAGCAAAAGGATCTGTAACTATGAAAATGCTTGGATATTTATGTATCCCAAGTGCTAGGCCATCCACACTCCCCTAAAACTTTCACTTACTTGTTTCATTAAAGAATTTATTACATTTTTCAGTGATCTAAAAGGATTTTTGCAATTCAGTTTCTGCAGTTAGTATTTGCTTTATTTTGCTCATGACTGCAGTACGTAATGATACACAGATTAAAAAAGTACAGTAAAAGCTACAGAGAACTTCACTGCCTAAAGCTTCAGTGGGCAAAACAGCAGCAGATTTTTCTTTTTCTGCTTTAGTTTCAAAGGTAGGTATAAAATGGTCAGAATTATCAAACTTCAGATTTATTTCAAGAAGGAAAATTAACACAGGATTGGATCCTGTGTGTTTCAGTAACTAAACAGAGGCTATTTTATGAGCAGCAATTCTTTAGGTGATTACTTGGCAACAGGCTAATTTCTGTTTTATTTGAAGAGCCACAAGAATGCTGTTTTCCTTTTGATGGAGAGTGACCGCCTGATAAATAGCCTTCCCCAAGTGAAGTGGACAGAGCCAGCTGTAGCCTTGGCATCCAGGCTACAGGAGGAATGTGTAACATTTATTGTGGCAAACTTCCTACACGTAGTACAAAGCGAAGGCTTCTCTACTCTGCTTCAGGTAAAAGTGCCCTCAAGCTATAATATGCTTCCAAATAAATGGAACTGTATCACACTTTGTACATTTCAGGCTGATGAATAAGGAAAATAGTTTCAATTCTAGCTTTAAAGTACAATTCTATGGAAATTTAAGATAAAAACTAGGCAGTGCTATGGGGTGGGGTTTTTTCAGTGTTGTTTTAAAGCACACTACTACTTTGATATGCAGGGTTGATACTGCACTCAGGGTATGTGCCTCAATTAAGTTCCACTTAATTTATGGGACGCTTCCTGTGTTGGAGAGAGGTAAGTACATACGTAAGCTTCAAAAAAAGCTTTTGGACCCTTAGAACAACTTGTACTTACAGGGATGGTTGTATTACCAACCTACTCAAACTTGTACTGGAATGTGGCAATGCTGCAGGTCCTGGTGGGAACATACCCAGCCATGCAGCTGGTTCATTTCTCCTATTAAAGATTTACTCAGTACGGAGAGAATTAAATAAACAGGGAGATGTTAAAACATTTTGTCTTTGAATCTAGAGTTGCACTTGGCTGTAAATTCATTACAGTGTGCTTGTCCCTAAAATTCAGGTTAAAAAGAGGCCTCAGGATGATTTGCTAGAGGCCTGGAGAGGGGTGGGGTTATGGGACGCATACAAAGGAAGATGCTCTGCTTTGGAATACCTCCTGCACAGCGTGAGAGCAGAGCCTCTGCTCAGTCATGCTTTTGCATATGAAGTACACTCTTTTGTTTTAAACGGCTGCCTTTTATTGTTTTCCTAGGCACAGGCAATGAGCAGCAAACCTGACCTTCTAGAACTGATTTTTAATGCAACTGAAAAAAGTATTAATAATGAAAACAGCTGCTTTCTCCTTGTAGCTGTGGATACATTGTTGGACTCCACAAATGTGAAAGAGATGGTAGGTTTTTCAATGTGCTGTGTTTGTACTGAGAAACTAGTCTGGTATTGTTTCATGTAATGGTTCACATCAGATGATGTGCTTTGAACTGGGATGGCTCAGCCCTGCAATTGGGGTCACACAGAAAAGCATCTGCATAAATTCAAGGTCCTGATGGAAGCACAGCAAATGTTGGCATTTGTGTAGTGGAAATTAACACTTTTCCTTTAGAGAAACCCTATCTATGGCAATAAAAACATTACTGTGTATTACTGAGAATTTAAGTCCCACTGGCACCACTGCTCTGTTGATTTTTGCTGTCGCTTTAAATTTGTGATGAGAACTTATCAAGATGTTTCGTTAAATTAAACTTAGAGGGGAAGAGAATTTATTCTCCTCTCTATGTATCTTTGCCCCCCTAGTGTAAAAGTCACAGCTACATTTGCTTTTGTTTAATAAGACTGCCCTCTGAAGCAAGGGCTGCCTCTTAATCTAGTGTGTTTTTTGGACTGGGGGAGGTGTCAGTCTCCATGTGTGTAACATACCATGTACATCCACACAATCTAAATAATGCTATTTAAGCTGTGGTTGTCTGTAATGCTGAGGACAATTCATAAATAGTATGACAGAATGAAAAATAAATGCAAAATGAATTACTACAATCTGGTACTACTGTAGATCATCTTGGTAAAAGCAATGAAAATTTAATCAGATACATTATTTTTCCCTAGAGGATGTGACCTTGTTGTGACACAGCTGACAGTAAAGAGCTATTATGGGGTTCATTTAGAATTATAAGAAATGGGAAAAGGGGAAGGGGAAAAAAAGAGCAATGTGGTGTTCTGTAGTGCTGTAGTATGCCTTGGTTTTCAAGTATTGTAAAAATCACGGTGGTGAGCACTGATCCTTCAAAACCAGCATCTCTATCTCCCAGACCATTATAAAATGTAAGTGATGACATCATTGATCTAGCTTAGGGAGTAAGTAGATTCTGAAAGGAATAATGACTGGTTGCTATGACAATCTGCCCCTCGCCAGCTGCTGATTTGTTACTTGAACACAGGGTTTTACGTGCAAGATCCAGGCGCTGCGTGATAAGCTCTGGGTCTTCCTGGTTCAGTCTTTTTATGCTGTTCGTCACACGGAAAGCTGGAAGCTGATGAGGCCAGACCACCAACAGAAAATACAAGCAGGTATGACTGGCTTCAAATGGCATTATAATTTTTTAGCTATTTGTTTAGTAGATAAAATGTAGGTGGTGTTCTGATGCCAGATAGAAATTAAAGCAAAAATAGTGATGCTGTATGTTTTTGAAGGCACATTTTAGAACAGAAGTACTATAGCATGGTTAGCTAGTTTCAAACATGGAAATCAGTAAGTCATCTTCTGTGAAAAGTCTCCCCTGCTTTTCATTTAGGAGTGTACATAATAGGAACCAAACCCATGTAGATTGATTCTGTTCCTATTTACAGCTGCTCTGAACTATTGAAAATACTGCAATAGGATTAAAAACCTTATCTGTCTCATTTTTAAGGAGATAAGCACTGGGGATGAATGAAATTTGCACAAAGCAGATTACTGATTCTATAAATTCCATTTCTATCCTTTCTTGATTTCTGCATAAGGTATAAACATTGCTGTCTCTTGCATAATGCTTCTCTCGTGCACCGTCAGTAAATGCAGACAGCTTGACTTCACAGTTGATCAGTATTGTGATATTGTGTATGCTACTGCAGAGAGCCCCTAAGGAGCTGCATAGTGTTCTCTCAAGATTTTAACAGGCAGCATTTCCAACAAAAAGGAGGTTTTGTTCTGAAGGTTTCTTTGTTTTGAAGTACACAAGTATGCTGGGGATGTGGAACTGACGGTGGGAGTTCGGGTTACGGCTGAATATTAGCTTTGACAGCAGTGTTAGAAAAGAAATCACTTCTGATTCAAAGGAGAAAGAAACATTTTGGTGTCCTTTTTGTTAAAAGGATATTAATAGCTTAGGATTTGATAGTTATGAAACTGTTTACACCTATAGGTAGATAAAAAACATATTCTGAAATTACATACTGAGGGAAAGATGCAGTGAGTGTCTCTCCGAGAATGATTTAGGCATGTAGTCAAATAACATTCATTGCTACTGTATGAAACAGGTTTATGATTTCTTTCTGGATTATAAAACCCTCCAGAAGCTGAGGAGCTGCCTTTGGGGTGTTTTATTTTTGGGATGATTTTGTCCTTACTGTAGATAATGTTTAGGCTGCTTTGCACTAGTGCTTTCAATACAAAAAAAGGTGTGCCTTAGTTGTCCAAACTCCATCTTGCCAGAAATGGTTTTGTTTTCTTTTAGATTACATTATAACTCAGAGCTACCATACATTTTATGTGTAAACAGGCTGAAATGTTTGCATAAACTATCTGGGTTTAATTACAGGCAAAGAGATCACACCATACTAATAGACACACTTTAATCTTCAGATTAAGCATGTGTAAGATAACTTAAATCAACTTTCATCTTAAAAGATTTCTGGTGGTGATTTATCTTCTGGAGATTTAACCTATGTAGAATTAGAGGGCTGTAATAAGGAAAGAAAAATGCCAAAAGAAGACAGTTGATATTTTTCATTTCATGCATTTTCTTAGGCATAAAATTTATATGGATTTTGACTTAATGTATTGATACCCTAACTATTCTATGATTCTGTGATTCTATGATACGTATTAATGTGCAGAGTCATTGCTAGAAAAAGGATTAGATCCCTGGGGTGCCATTTTCACAATACCTTTTGTGTGATTTTTTTTTTTTTTACAGACCTGTAGAAAAATTGGTTTCAATATCTTCAATAAGAATTCAGCAGCTTTTTGTTATACATAAAATGTAACCATGTACAAACATGAGGCACTGAACATTTACATTTTTAAAAGCCTTTTTTCAGCTGAAATATTAATGCAAACAAAAATGAAATCTTACTGCTGCTGGCTCTGTACAGTATCTATAAATATCCCTTTTGTATCCTACAAGCATGATTGATTTAAAGCTTTATTGAAAAATGCTTCCCTCCCAGAGCCGTCAAAAGACAGGCATTCACTGCCTGAAAATTCCCCATGACAATCAGAGGGATAACTCTCATGACAGGACACTGCATGCTATCTAAAGAGGCACTGTGATCTTTACTGTGTATATGTAGATATTTTAGCTATACCACTTCTGAAAACTAATACAATTGAATGTGATTAATCTCTTCTTTATAAAGAAATATTCTATAAAGTACAGTATGTCACCTTAAAGTCATGAGTACTCTACATTTAAAAATCTCTTTTCTAAATGGTGTACACTTTCAAAGCTCTCAGTACACTGCTTCAAGTGAGCTAAGCTTGGATAAACAAAAGTGTCTTGTTCTGTAAATGGGGAAACTGAACAGTTAAACAACTTCCTTATGGCCACATGACTTCATTACAGATACCACATTTTTCTATTCTGAACATAAACCCACATATTTCCACATAAAATTTGCCATATCACCAAAATTAGCCTTCCTAGAATAGTTACAGGACCCAAAGAACTGCTTTCTGACTTCAGATGATGTTAGTTGAGTAGCCTGGGTTGTTTTCCATCTCCTTTCTTTCCTGTTGAATAGTAAAGAAACTGCTTATTCCTTTTACAGCTGCATTTGACAAGGGTGATGACCGAAGACTTGGCAAAAAACCCGTATTCACTAGTTCTCAGGTAAACATTTATATCAAAACATAAAAATATTCAGAAACTTGCAAACAAAACTATTTTCATCATGTGTTGTAAATTACGTATTACTTCTGCAAAATCAGTTATGTCCAGTACTGAGAACATTTTAGGACTCAGCTTATACTCTGCTACACTGTCAAGCAGATAAGCTCAAATAAAAGGCAGGAATTTGTGTTCAGAACCTCACATTCCCCTGTTGCTACATAATGAAATTGATCTGTTTCCCAGAGCTACTGAGCTAATGAATCTCTGCTACCATCACAAGTCACTGAGTCTGATTCACTCTCTGCCCTGAAAAAATACTTTCTACTGCTCTCAACAACTCATCTATCGAGACTCACACTCAAAACTACAGTACGATTTAGTAGAAAACCGGTACGGATTTCATATGATTTAACAGTCTGGATACATTGCAATGGCATTAGTATCATAAAGATTCCATTTCATGCACTTAATTCTCCATGTTTCAGTATATTTCTTTACCCGAGAGAATTAATACTGTCACTTATCTGGTTGGATACACTGTTGGTAATGGTTAAAAACATGACATGTATTATAAATAAGATGTATGTATTTTCGGGTTTATGTTTGTAAGAATTCATAGTCTTTACTCCTCTTTGAAAATATGCACATCTAACTCAACAAAGTCTTCCTACTTCAGCAGATACTAATAATAAAATTACAGAGTAATTTGTCCAAAGTAAAAGCAAAACTCTACTTAGATATTTCTATATCATCTATATACAGCAGTATTTCACATGTGATTTACCATTCACTCTAGTTATTTCTAGTATTTTTGTATCTTTGCAAGCCAGCAATCTGAGCTGCAAAAGTATTTTTGAAGTTATTTTTATGCTCTTACTGCTTCAGATTTATGTACTACTTAAAAAGTAGCTGTGTTTCAGCAATGAAAGGTAGTTTGTTATAAATGTCTTCTGTTTTGTTTTCCTGACTCTTTTTTTCCTAGCTAAACAAATCTATTACTGAATCCGTTGGTATAAGGAATACTTCCTGGACAGAAAACAGCAAGAAAGATTGCTGGGGATATTCTTCCACTAATCAGGATAAAATGAAATCTGATGGATTAGGAGCATCTGGACATACATCTAGCACCAACAGAAACACTGTTAATAAGGCTTCAAAGCATGAGGATGTAAAAGGGAAAGATGGCAAAAAAATAGTTTCCAAGATTGCTAAGGATTCAAAACCTGGGGAAAAAGCTGCTTCACCAAAGGCTAGAGCTGTCATAAAGACAAAACCAGAAAATAATGGAAATGTAAAGGCTGAAAGCATGCTTACCAAGCAAGAGCTAGAAAAGACATCATCTGCAAGTGGCCAAAAGAATTCAGGAAGTGGAAAAGGACTAAAGAACCATGAAGGAAAAACTGCAGGTGCCAGACCTAAAGTGCTGTCAGTAACTTCAAGCATGCAGATTAAAACAAAGCCATTGAAAAAACCCACAGGGAAGGAATCTCCCTCTTCAGTGACTGTGGCAGGAACTTCCAGCAAGTCCCCGAACTCAAACACAGATAACCAGACTGCGAATGAACAGACTGAGGAACCCAAAGAGGAGAAATTGGTAGAGGAAGGGAAAAAACAGACAGGTAATTTTTTATTTACTTTTTGTGTTTCTGAAGTCCACTTCTGACTTGTCCCAGACTGGTCATAAACTGAAAACCAGCCCAGGAAGCTTTAAAAAAACCTACTATAGATTGGTGTCACCCTTTTCATCTAAATTAATATTAACTTAAGAATATTAAATTTCTCCTCTATTAACTGAATCTATGATGAACTGATAGCCACATAAAATGGTAGAAGTTCTGCAAGTTTAGCATCCGTGCTGTTCTCAATAGCTGATCATAATATATTGGATTTTTTTGAGTACTTACACGCAATGCATTTCCCCCATAATTAATTATGAATTCACTTTACAATAGTGAAAACAAAGTCATCTGTGAAAACACCAAATGGAGCCACCAACAAAACCAAAAAGACTGAGCTTGAGGCTAATGTCACCACAAGCAGGTATGTTACAAGTCAGTGCGCTGCTTTACATATGTGCATGTATAAGTTTGTACAAAGAAGTTTCAGGTGAACTATTAAACTTAGTGTTAAGTGAACATGTTCTTTTTTTATCTGAGAATGGTGGTCTATCATATGTTATTTTCAAAACCATTTGAGTTAGCTATTGGAAACATTGCTGTAAATGTAAAATTGGCTTGGCTTTTCTGTTGGGATTGTTTCATACTAATCATGTTAAAATTGTTATAGGTCATTCAGAATTCTGCATACTGGAACAGTAAATGCCCATACAAGGTGTTGTAAACTTACTATTTCTGGGATACCTTAGATTAAACTGGACAGGAAGACATCTAAAGCACTCTGAAATGGGTCAATTGTGTATTTATATATATAAAAGTATATCCACGCATACAGGTTTTGTTTTCAAGAAGTATGCCTTTAGGTTGCATTTTCAATGTCTGTATGTGTTTTAATATGCACATGTATATATTGGTTAAGTACAATTTAAACATTGGTAGAAAAGCTTGGAAATAATGGATGTATTTTTTTTTGCAGTCTGACCAAAAAATCAACTGGAAAGGGTTGTAATGAACAAAATGTGCAAGGTGTTCTCAAGAAAAAAATGAATGCGAGTAGCAATTCTGCAGCACAGCAAAAGGCTCAAAACACACCTACCAATTCTCCCAAGAACCAAGGTAAAGTTTCATACAGCAATGAAATGAAATGGTCTGCCATTATCATGCAACACTTTGTCTCTCTGTCTTTCCCTCAGCACAAGCATTTGGCAAAATCTTCTGAACAATTCTGAGTATTTTCCACGTTTAAGTTTTGGCGAATCCTGAATTATAAAATGCAAATGAATGTGTGTCAACTTCAAAATATTTAAAAGATGGTCTTCACTGCCGACTGGTGCTTTCTTCTGCTTGTTTAATCTGCTTTGCAGTCTTTTATTTGCTGATCACCTGCACTTCAGCACTTGGAACCATGTCCAAGTTCAACATCAATTCTATAGGTCAAGCATTTCTAGCATGCATCAAAGTTGTGGCCTGCCAACGCCTTTATTAACTGGTTAGCTTATGCCTTCCTTCCTCGATCATCTCCTCTAGGAGGAGCACTACCAATACTGACCTACCCCACAAATACTTGATTTCTACAGCTATTTATATCAAGTGTGGGCAAAAACAATGAAGACCACAGAGAGGAAACCCTGTTTGACAAAGATATAAAGCATTAAAGGATGGAACTCTTTGATTCCATTTGGACTGGGCACTTACTGGGGATGGAAGAATATTCAAGTTATCTTAAATGCATTATGATATGGAAAACACAGCTTGTGTCAATTTGTGGTATTAAAGATTTTGCAGTATTTGCTGACTGAGCAGTGATATCAATTCTGGTATTCTAATCACATTATAACTAATATAATTATTTTCCGCCTGCTTTCATTTCCTGTACAATATAAATTGAACACAGTACTTCCCACTTCCTGTGCTAAGCTGCTGTGCAGTGCTTCTGTGCACTGTTAGCTGCTGCTTTCTGCTCCAGTGATGACTACTTCAGTTAGAGGCTGAAGTAATTCATTTATGTATTGCCTATGAAGTGCTCTGGTTTTAAAGATGGCATGTAAATGGAAGATTATATTTTTGTCTACTATTTCTCAATTCTTAATTCTTTAACAAGTCTTAAATCCTTTAGTTACATACAAAGATGAGTATCTTGCTTCTCAGCTTAAACACCAACACAAATTTGGTGAACATAATTTTACTGGCATATACAATCTTTATAGTCTCTTTTTTTTTCACTGTTTGTTAGGACCTCAGGGGGAATCGCCCAATTCACTGAAATCAGGAATGTCCCCAAAACATAATGAAGAAAAATCTGTATTACAGCATCTGGTTCAGACAACACACCCAGAAAAACATCCTTCAGCCAAGAAGAAGAGTGTTAAGCAGTCACAAACACCTGTAGCAAAAGCCACTGCAAAAATGACCCCTAAAACTGCTGTTCCATCAAAGCACGCTGAGATTACAAATAGTAAAGACCCAAAAATGAAAACAGCTGGGCAGTCTGTATTAAAATCTCAGTCCTCTGCCCAAAAACATCCCAGGAGTGAGTCTCCTGTTGTCCAGAAGAACATGCACACCTCTGAGCACAGAAGTTCAGGACAGAAACTTGAAAAAAATGTGCCTGATGACAATAATGAATGCTGTTCTGCAAAGCAAAGTGAAGCTTTAAAACCTGGGATGCAGAGTAGCAGTGAAGATAAACTGCTGGCACCCTGTCAGTCCATTAAACAAAAATTGCCAGATCCTTCTGAAAATGTGGAAAATAAAATACAATCCAAATCATCTCTAATTACAGAAGAAGCTATGTCTCAACTGCATGTTTCACTGCAAAATGGAAAGAAAGCAAGTCAAATCTGTGGAGATCAGACTGGAATTAAACAGATGGAATATACACAGAAAGATAAGACAGTTGAAGTTCCCTGTCACACGCAGTCTTCCAGTGATGGATATTCAGATTTTTCCAACGAAACAAATCAAAAGGCCACTGCTTCAGAACTGGTGAAATATTCAAAAGCAACAGAAGTCTGTACTGAACAAAGTGATCCATTAAACTCTGAAACAGGTGTTAACTATGGTGAAAATGCTTTACAAAGCTTTTCCAGAACCATAACCAACGAAGAGGATGAGACATCATCTCCTCAGATTCATATGGAGGAACTTCTTACAGCTGATGAGCTGTGTGACACATCAGCCTTGACTGAATACAAATCAGTTTCAGCAGATTTAGATGATGTTTCAGAATGTTCCACAGAACAAATAACAGAAAAATATTCACCTAGTTACACAGAGCCTATAGATCCTACAGAAATGCCAGAAAACCATGAAAATGCAGAAATTCCCTTTGTGGACCACTGGAGTACTGGTGCACTAGATCCAAAAGAGAGTCCTGAATCAGATACTGGCAGTGCAACCACATCCTCTGATGATATAAAGCCAAGATCAGAAGATTATGATGCAGGGGGCTCTCAGGATGATGAAGGATCCAATGAAAGAGGCATTTCTAAATGCAGCACTACGTTATGCCACGATTTTCTCGGAAGAAGCAGCAGTGACACGAGTACACCCGAGGAATTAAAAATTTATGACAGCAGCCTAAGAATAGAAGTGAAAATGAAAAAAGAGGGTTCTGATCTCTTCCGTGTTAATTCAACAAGTGATGATGAAATACCAAGAAAAAGACCTGAAATTTGGTCCCATCAAGAAAGTGCGAAGACCAATACTAGAGAAAGCAAAAGTTCTACTTTCAGTAACACAGAGTTTACTCAGGAAGCAGACCAGGTTTCTTCTTCTGCTGATGAAACAGAAGACGACAGATCTGAAGCAGAGAATGTTGCAGGAAAACTTCCTCCACCAAATGTTCCTACTCAGCAGTTCCAAGGAATCGATAATTTAGCTTTTGAAGATGCAACAGAAAATGATGCTGCAAGTCAAGGGTTCCCTAAAACTAAAAACTTCAAACGATCTGTTTTACTTTCCGTAGATGAATGTGAAGAATTGGCAACTGATGATAGAGTGGACTCTCATACTTCACGTCAGCATTCAATAGATTCTCTTACTCCTTCAGAAGTATTTGACAGTGTTTCTCAAGAGCACCATGGAAATACTTTCTATTCTGGATACTCACTGGAAATTGAAGATGGATTCCTGCATTCCAAACAGCATAAAGAGAGAGACAATAAATCAGATAAAAGTGAAAGTCCTCTCCTACATCCTCATGGCACTGAAATCCCAAGGAAGGGGGATCAAGGTGTTTCAATGACTGAACAAAACTGCCCAGAGAAAGTATGCTCAGCAGCTAGTCCGTGTCCAGGAGAAAAACAGAAAGCAAACATGAAGAATGAGGTGGCAAGTGAATTTAACCAGTGCAATAAGTACTTAGACAGTGATGCAAAATCTCAAGAAAGACCTTGTCATTTGGATCTTCATCAGAGAGAAGTTAATTCTGATGTGCATAAGAGCAGCTCTGCAAAACCCATAGAAGCCAGTAAGAATCAACTACTGACTCAAGAAGGTCAAGTGAGAGACAGTCAACCAGCAACTACTGAATGCGCTAATACTGATTTACTTCCAGGTAATGTATAGAAATAGAAACATTCAGTAATTCAAAGCAAATTAATAGGGAGAGCTTTGGCAATTTGTCTAGGATTGAATCCTGAACTGAAGTAATTTTGGCTGAAACTATACTATTTTTAAGTATTTCACTTGGGTAATGAATGCTTGTCTGTTTGAAATATCCGTCAATACCTGCTGGTCAATGAGAAACTTCATTACAAGAAAAGAGAGTTTATGTAATGCTAAAAGATTGGATGCAGTTGTCTGTACTTCAGTTATTTTTGATCCAATCTAACATTGACAGCATCAGCTTTTGATGGAATCTCAGTATTTGTTTTGTCTGCTTGATGACGTATAGTATGTCTGAATGGGATGTGCAATAACTACAGTAATAACCTTAACTAAAGGGCACTGAACTGTTTACCTGAACAGCTATATGCATTATTATTATTGTAATTTATTTATATATTAAACACAAATTTGGATCCTTCTCCCACTGAATATAACTGAGTATTTGCCATATACATCAGTGGGAGCAGGTTTGAACATTTAGAGCTTATGAGATGTCAAAAATTCTCAATTTTACTAGTAAAAGCTTATTTCCTAAAAGAGAGATTATACTTAGAACTAATGTTTATATACAGAAATGTTCTAACTTGTCTCATGTAGCTAGATGAATACTTGTCTAGTTTTGTGCTTTGTCTTCTTTATACCAGTAATTCAGTCTGTTTATCCCACCACAAATATACAATAGTGTTGATTACAACTATTGTGTATTCAAGAGGAATGAAATGCTGATGATCTATGTCCAGCCAGATCACAGAACAAGACATTTAAAGTTGTACTGTTTTTCTTTAAGTTTGCTTGCCCTTGCCTGCAGCTGCCCTTGCATGTGCAGTGTAGAAGTAAGCCTGTGGATAAACATTTTTCCTTTTAAATCTCTTCTAAGCTGGCACAGCTTAAGTCACCATTCCAAAATCATTCTCTATTAATTCCTTCCACGCACCTCCTGGTCTAAATTTAATTTATGTAGTAAATGAGGATTTCATGTGCATTAAGTGTATACTGATGTTGTCATTTTCTGTATCAGAAACTTAATTCTGGAGGTTATTGTTAATTACCAGTGATGATCGCTGCTTTAACTTAATTTATAAATGATACTTTGGTTTTTATATAGGAAATAAATGCCTCAGAATTTGTCGATTTTGTATAACCTTCCATCCCCCTTTTTTTAACCTGGTTGGATTGTCCTTCCTGAATGAGTTAAATTTTGCTCTACACAGCCCTGAGGGGAGGATCATCTGCAATTTTTACATTGTACAGTATTGTGAATTATTTCAGGAGACATAGATGAGTATGACACAATGGCAAAAACCTGCATGTATGAGCATCGGCCTTCAAAAACCCTTTCTCCAATATATGAGATGGATGTTGGAGAAGCAATTGAACAGAGGATGGATTCGGAAACAGCAGTTCTAGATGTGGATTTTGAAGATCAGCAGTTTGCAGAACAGGACTGGACTCTACTCAGGCAATTGTTATCTGAGCAGGACTCAAACATCGGGTTCAAAAACTCTGTTCCTGAAGACCTTAACCTAGCACAATGTCTCATCAATCAGACACTGTTTCTGGCACGAGATGGTTCGAATCCTCAGGGTACATCACAAGTTGACACATTCAGCAGGTGGACTGAACTAATGTCTCCACTTGATGATTCTTCAGCAAGCATTACAGTGGCAAGCTTTTCATCTGAAGACTGCTTGTCCCCTCAAGGGGAATGGACAATTCTTGAACTGGAAACCCATCATTAAGGTGAACTCCAACCCATTCCCCAAATCTATTTATGATGAGTTGTTTCCATACAATAATGATACTGCATCAGTCAAGAACAAGCAATTCTTGATACTGAGGCAATCTTTCTGATATTATGAGGTAAATATGTTTATTTATAATCTAGATTTAATTGCAAGTACAATAATTTTTCAAGACTTAAATGTATGTCTTTTCTAAAAATGAATTTTGAGCATGTATTTTCTAGGATTGTTAGAAAAATTAGATGATATAAAAGAAAAATCTTGGTTTCCATCTTCACTTTTATCTTCTTTTCTGACATCTAATCTTCTCATTGACCAAGAATTTCAAGATGACTGCACAATTAGTAGAGTTATTCTCGTTCCTTTTTTTCCTTCTTCTCTCTATATGGTGACTTTATTTTACAATAATAAAGATTCAGAATGGTTGTGTTGAAAGGTGATGTGTGCCAACGCTGCTTTAAATAATGGAAATACATACTTACATTCAAAGAAAACATTTCAGTATCAGTCTGCCTTGGGCCATATTACTATGAGCAGCTTGTTTCATCCGTTTCTTCCAGATTTGATTTTTTTTGTATTTTGGGTTTGCTTTGTTTAGAAATTTCCAATAAATTTTTTAAATTGTCTTTCCTTTAAATACAAGACTTCAGAGGGTCTGTGATACAGGAACAGCAATGCTTCTGTCTTAAAAATGCACATATTAAAGTAAATATTTGTAATGGCATAGCGCATGTATTCAGAGGAGTTGGTAGAATGCTGCTCCTGTTCTAAAAAACAGCATGTCTGGCATCTCCAAAACTGCATCTGAGTCTGAAGTCATGAATTCATTACACTTGCACCTTTCTGGCGCAGCCTAAGGCACAGCAAGATTCTGAGGAATTTGGTTTTGTTCTCATAGGTGCTACATTTTTTGGAGGGGTAACAGGATTCTTGCATCTTCATTAATACCTCTATAGTGTAGCTTTTATATTAAGACTAAATGTCAACATAACCATTCTTCTGACTAAGAGTGCAATAGGATGTACTTCTCAGTATTGCTTTTTCTTCTGGGTTTGGCTATTAATTTGAGTGTGGATGGGACTGTTTATTGTCTTTTCTGATTTGACAGAGGAAGGAGGAAGAAACTATTTTTGATTCCTACAAAGTCAGAACTCCAGAACCATACAAGCGTAGGCCCTCTAAGATATCTGCATTATGAAAATATTAGGGCTTGCCTGTCATAAAGCTTAAACAGAAAGTATTCTACCTCCTCTTAGCCATTAACAGAAGTGCCTTCAGAAGTGGGTGCTGCCATATGGGCAGTAAAAGGCTCTAACACTTTTCTGCACTTAAATAGTTCTAACAACAAGCTGGCTCTAAGCACTGATAATCTGGTCAGTTTTGCAAGCTTCTCCACAATTCTAACAGTGCAGCCCCATTTTCTTTGGAAACGTCCTTTCTTTTAGCTCACAGTCAGAAACTCTCAGTTCTGTGAAAATATGAAGCTGCCCCAGCATATGATTAAAGAAGTTAGGACTTGTCTCATCTTTAGACTTGACATAATAAAAGAGCTCTGAAGCAAACTAATTTATCCAAAAATCCATTTTATTGAATTTCTGATGCAGAAGTAAAAGTGAAGTTTTATTTTCCCCAAGATAAATGGAGGAAGAATTTTATCTCATTCTTTAATATCAAGGCAGAGGAAGAAACAGGAAAACCTTCCTTTCTTTTTATGTCAGTGAAGAATTAGGACTTTAAACTCAGGGAAGAAAGATGTTCAGTCTCATAATAATCTTTCCACTACTTTTTTAGCAGCATAAATTACCTGAGATATTATGATTTAAAATACTTTTAACATAATATGTTGTATTTACCCTGCTATATTACTACTGATAGAGTAATAAGAACCTTCAGAAGCACAAATCATCAAGAAAATCTGGTTTTCACCTTCAAGTTCACAAGGTATATTGACAGTGGATAATCTTCTGAATAAACAAAAGCACTCTCGTATTAGCCATAGTAAAAGATGCAACGCTAGAGAAGCTCTTACAGAAAGCTTAGGCATGGTGTTTTCTCAATTTCTGTGGAAAAGACTATACTATAAAGTTGTTCACATAGAGTTTAAACAACGTTAAAATTCTGACAATATTCTGATAGTGGGCATTCACATGTTAAACAAAATGAAGTGATGGAAAAAATAAAGGCTTAGGAGAAGTGACAGAAAGTGAAAGAAGGGTTCCCGTTGCCTATTTTTTGCTTTATCCATATTTTTAATTTCTTACTGAATTAGAAAAGCAATACTGAAAAGTAGTGCACAGAGTTCCTTGTTTGTATGAATCCATATGGGGGAGGGATTAACTGTTTGGTTTTTTCTTTGCATTTACTTTTCCAGTTGTATGAAAATTAAATTAGCTTCTCCAAGTCCCCAGTGACGCTGCTGCAATTCCTTTAATAGTTTTTCAGTAGCCCAGTGATTAGGATTTGGTGTATTGTACAGTTGGTACATATGCAGCCATAGAATTCAGTTTCCCACAGCCTAATAGTCTCTGTATAAGCAGCAAGAATAGAAAGCTGTATTGTTTTTAATTTGCGTTACCAGAGTGCCTGTGAGGCTTAATCAGAGCAGCATCCCACTGGCTAGACATTGTACAAACACAGAACAAAACCAGGCTTCCCGCAGAGCCCTTATAATCCAAGTTAAGACAAAAGACCAAAAAAAACATGGATGGAAAAACGAAATGAGAGTGTCAATATTTGTCTAGATGATTAGCAATGGTTTCAGCACACCATCAGTTTAAATATTGTCATTTTCTTCTTCTACATGCATTACGAGAAGAAGAAACTGGAAAGTGACATTTGGATGTTGCTACAGTGAGGGAGCTGTAGGAATCTATATTCCTGACCAGACCTGTGTGCCATCTAAACTCTGTTCCTATCTCACCTTATTCAGGATGATGGTCAAGTTTTAAGCAGATGCAGGTGGCTATTGTTTTAACAGTATCAGTCATTTCACTACTCTCAAGTCCTGCTTATGCTTCCTGCCACTGATTTTGCCACTCTTTTGGCCTCTATTCCAGAACATGAGAGAACGGACAGGTGTTTGTTTGAAAATGTCATAGAGAAACAATCAAACTTAGGCTCCAAGTGAATAGGGATTAAGAGATCATAAATGACCTCTAAAGTAAAGACAAGGTATGTACATCTGATGGCACAGTGAAAGGGCATTAATGAAGAAACTAAAGAGATGGCATAGTCGAAACAGTGTTTAAATATTTAGCTTGCAGTAGTATTTTGAATAAAAACAGTGAAATTACTTTGGCAAAGCTGAGAAAGCACTCTTGCAGTCAAGAGTTTATACTGACAGCTTACATGAGATTCTTACATGAATGGGTAAAGATGTCTGTATCCTACAGGTAGTGACAAGAAAGTGAAATTTAGAGGACAGGACTCAGAAATCAGAGTTTAATAAGCTATGACCCACGGTTTGCCACCTTGAGTATGTTACGAAAGTGAGAAATAAGGATGTTTTACAAGTATGCATTAAGTTTAAAATACCATCTCCAAAAGGTGGTATCAATAGGAATAATTACTTCTTTTTGCTTGGAAAATTAGAGTCTGGTCTGGACTGGAGAAGCAGCTTTGAAGTTTTTTCACATATAGAAGCTAGCTAAAATAGTATCTGTGTAATAAATCACCAACAGACATATTCCAGAGAGAAGAAAAAATGAAATGAAAGCCCAAAGCTTGAAACCCTATAGGAAACTCAGGAAAGTGAAGATTCTTCCAAATGATCTGCTTAATAAAAAATAATTAAGGAAGTAAAGGAAATAAACAAATGGTGACAGGAATCAAATAAGCATGACAGGTTATCAGGAAAAATGCACCAGTGGCTTCATTGGTGGCCCACAAGACAGATGAGCAAAAAACTGCAGTTTTGAAACTGGTTAACATCTTCTTAGGGACTGTGATCAAACTGAGATACTGGCTTTCTCAAGAGTGCAAGGCAGGCAGTTGACAGTTTGGTAAAGTATGACAGAATTGCAGGAAGAAAACTGAGCTTTACCATTGAGAGAAACAGTTAGAAAAGCACATCAGTTAATAACGTTTTGTTTTTTAAGCGCATGAGATTATGCCATATTTGTATACTGTAGCTAAAAAAACAAGACTGAGACCTAAAGTAAAGACCAGGAGAGAGAAGTATGCGTGAAATAAGATCAGCAGGCAGTCTGGGGTGCTATAAGTGATCAGGTAAGAGCATAAGGAAAGATAAACATCTGCTTCTGTGGTAGCGGTAGTAGAAAGGACACTCCATATATTCAGCATTTTTTCTCTTAGGAAAGCTTGCTTTAGAATCATAGAATTATAGAACTACCGAGAAACACAGGCTTGCAGAGACCTCCAAAGGTCACTAGTCCAACCTCCTGCTGAAAGCAAGGGTAACTTCAAAGTTAGATCAGGTTGCAAGGGCCTTACCAAGGTCCATAGTATGTAACATGGTAATAAAGTCAACAGAAAGGAGCACAGTGCTCACAGGAAATAGTGACTTGAGATAAAAATATTATAACAGAACTACTTTGGTTATATCTGGAATGTATTAGTAAGGAAGTACAAGAACAGCTTGCTTATAATGTTTTTATGTTGTGGATGATATGTAACCGAACTGTACATGTTTAATAATCTTATTCCACACTTTGAAAGGTTTTTAATTATTTCAAAGTTACACCGAGCTTTTGAATTTGCAAATTTTATTATTTCAGAGGAACTAGTGGGCAAGAGAACTTTCTGTGTTTCTCACAAAGCCTGTCCATAGGACCTGTTCCCTTAATGTTGTCTATCTCAGTTACTTTCAGGGAGTAAGTTCTAGGTACAGACTGTAGGAGACTGTTTTAAAGCTTTGAATATATATTATTACCACCTAGAAAATAATTAGTAGCATGTTCATTCTACTTTGCTGCAGAAAATCTAAACCTTTGCATGAAAGAATTAAGAACGACTATTATGTTGTTCATCTGTTGTTCAGAACCAAGACATTTAAGAAGTCATTATTTTGCTTCCACTAACATCAAAGGAAAAGCTCCTGTTGACCTCAGCTGAAGCACGTTCAGGGCTTGCCTACATTAAATGCATGTACGAGAAGTGCTATTTTTCCATTTTATCTATTTCATAGCTTTCTAGTTTTACTGTACTAATTCTAGATGTGACAAATTGCAGCTACAAAGACTTCAATTTAGGAGTCATAATTGTATGCATTCTGTTAATATTTCATCACTGGGCTGATTTAACATTTATACTGATAAATGACATTCTTGCCAGGACTACACTGGAACTGAGGACAAAAGATAGAATGAGAACCAGCAGCTTTGTTACAGTGGGTGACTCCATGGAAATGTGCTTAGATTTATAATCCAATATAATTAGAAGCTTTCATCTCTTGCAGAAAATCCATACTGGTTTTCAGCTCTTGAACACAAGCTACATATGTTATTTTTAAAAAAAAATCACTATAATGTATTCAATTTTGGAAAAAAAATGCAGCTCAAATACATGCTTTGGCTAATTTAAAACCAGGTTTCCTATCAACAACTACTGTGTGTGTTTATGGAAACTTGTAACAGGAAAACGATTTATATAAACAGTGGATATCAATTTGGGGAAAATACTGGGTTTCATAATTTTTTTTTAAACTTTGGTAACTAATAACTGAAGAAGCTATACAGTACATGCATGCATACACACCTCTATTACTTGCATTTGACCTTTCTTTTATACTTTGCTTTGCAATCTATACTGTGTAGTCAATTAGGCCACAGTTCTGCAAACAAGGGAGCAAATCCACTTAAACATTTACAGATGGGCTTTCAGGTTAACATTCCCTTTTCAGAAAGGGTAATGGAACTGGCACTGGGGGCAGACACTGCATACTTGGGTTATTACATGGTACTCAATGAGGTTCTAATTCTGATGAACCACCTGGACACAATTAAAGTATGAAATAATTAATAAGGAATTCCATTAAGTTGCTTCCCTGTTCTCCTTAATTTATTGCTGAGTTCCCAGCTCAGAAGACATTCATAAGAGAAATGAAAGTCCTAAGGAATTTAACTTTCTGTATTATGTGCAACAAAAGAGCTTTTGCTATTGCACAGTACAATATGAACACTGATCAGATCTTCAATAAATGAAGCCTCAGTATTGGGAAGTAGTGACTATAACTCAGTAACTAGATATATTTAACAAGGACACTGATGGTCAAAATAGTTTAACAGAAGGTGAACGCTAACTGGATTAGAGTGAGTGCATCTTCTAGTGGTACACCCTCTGAACAGAGGCTCACATACACAAATTTGGGGACTGAGTCCAATTACCAAGAGAGTCCATCAGATTTTATATTTATGCACACAAGTGAGTTTTTCTCAGTTCTCACTGCAATTAGTGACTGCTGTCAGATCCACATCTGTAAAAATCAGGGTATTTTTAAGTGTCTGAACAGAAAGACTGGTAACCCAAGTAAAAATTGTGGCTCATGTAACTTACTTTCGAACTGTATAAGCCAGTTTTGAGAGTGAGCTCACTAAATTACTTAAATCTACAACATCCTCATTTATACAGTCCTTATTTAGTCGTTTGTGTGATTTTCTTACACTTGTGCTTAATGAAATCATTTTAGTGTTTCACTTCTTTTCTTACAACCCTCTGGAGTGTGGCATAGCATCCTGCCTCAGTAGAATTTCATCAATGTGCTTAAGAGCAGTATAAATAGGACAAATCGTATGTACCTGCCAGGTTCAGTGTAGGTAGCATGAAAACTTTTTGTTACCTTCATAGAATGAAGTAATTTTCATGTCCCTGAACATGAGATCTGTAAGACAAACTTCCTACCTGTAATTAAATATCACCCTGTATCTTCATGGTAGAAAAGGAAACTTCAATCTCTACTTTCTGATTATCATGGTCTAGCAATTAGGATTAATCCTATGCCTGTAAAAGCGGATGGATTATGAGAACAGTTTGAGTCACTACCTGTAGTCCATGGCTTCATGGTCCTGGAATATTTTGACCACTCAGTCTTTGGGAGGGCGAGGGGAAGGTGTTAAGCTCTCAAAATGAATGCTTGCATGTTTTTTACCCGCTTGCTTTTCAAACCTAATTAGCAGGGGCCTAAGTAAGAGTATTTCCAAATAACTCGTGATCAGTCTTCTGTTTCCAGAATCTCTGTACAGTTGCATAGTCCCACAAGCTTTCTTTCCCATGCTATATACTGAACATTCTTAGTACTGATTTCTGTATGACAGCAAATAATAAATCCTGTGTGTAACAAATGCTGAGTCATTGTACTTCATTGGATTTGTGGACTGCTGCCCTTAATTTTTATTTCTGTTCTGTAAACTGCAAAAAAAAAATCTTCTGTTTAGTGCACGTTCACTCCTGCTTTTTCTCCTCTAAAAGGCAAACACTACTTTTTCCTGTATCATATCATTGGAGAACATGACGGGATGTCTGTGGAGATGAACACTCTTCTCATATAAAAATCTACAGCAAAAAGTGGTACCTGTGTAACTGCCCTACAAAAATCAAAAAGTGGTGCTGATTTAGAACATATGGGATGTGGCCCAGGACAGCACCAACACTAATTTGATTAACGATTTTGCCTTGTCATATATCAGTTATTCATCCAAATGCTTCATCATATGGGAATTCTAATCTCAATATCCTTCTATTCCTGCCTAAATGGGGTTCGCTGTTCTGCTCCCTGGAGTTACTTGATATGCTGACAGACACAGTCCTATTCTTTCTCTCTCTTGCAGCTTCACCTCTATGTGAAATGCGCTACAGAACTATGTGGAAAAGGAATGCTTTTGAGATTGAAAGCCAAGACTAGCAAAATGTCAGAAACTGTCAAAGTAGAGATTACTCCAAGCAGTAACATAAATTTAGCTCATACTCCCAGCTAGCACAGCATCCCTCAAGGTCACTTTTTGGAAGGGAAATTACTGGGGAAAAACAGGCAGCCCAGAAGAAACATCTTCTTTGAGGCCAGGCTCCATTTCATTTGCATTCTGACATTAGGCTCATAAAAGAGAAAGCCAAGTGAGATTCAGACTCAAATGGCATTTGCAAAACACACTGCTACCAGAATTGTTCCTTGAGCAGTTTCTTTCGGGGGGGCTCAGCATGTCCCTTAGCATAAAACTTGGGACCAGGCAAGTGTTAGGCTGGGGTGGCTCTTACAAAGGAGGCAGTAGGTCGGTTCCCCTCAGAACTTCCAGAAAGAGTCTTGGTTTTATTTCAAATGTGAACTATTGTCAAATGTAATGACAGGCAGAAATATATTAAGTCTCCTTAATAATAAGTTATTATATATAAGATACACAGAATTTACACCAGTTAAAATATAACAACTGGAGTTAAAATGCTGACAGGAAGCAGATTCTTTGATGTTAACGTTTTGGCTTCCCTCGTTGTCCCACTCTTATCTATCATCTGACACCTCTCAAGTAGGTATTTTGAGGTGGACGATGTCCAACTTCACTTATTATAACTGGTGATCAGCAGAAAGGCGTATGCTGGTATCCCAGGAGCCTAAATCCAGTGTTTAAATTTCTCTGTAATTTTTTTTTTTAAATGTAATAATTTTTCCATTAAGTACCATACATTGCTAACAGTATTAGACCGAAGCAAACAAAAATTCACCTGTTAGAGATAATTACACTTTGAAACGCCTTTTTATTCAATTTGGTTTCCTCCCATTATTTTTTCTCCATCTTAATCACAAGAAGTAGATTTAGATTTAATACAAGGAAGAAGTTCTTCCCTGTGAGGGTGCTGAGGCACTGGCACAGGGTACCCAGAGAAGCTGTGGCTGTCCCGTCCCTGGCAGCGTTCGAGGCCAGGTCGGACAGGGGTTGGTCTAGTGGAAGGTGTCCCTGCCCATAGCAGGGGGTTGGAACTGGATGAGCTTTAAGGTCCCTTTCCACCCAAACCAGTCTGTGATGATAGTACGAACTGCTTTAATTCAATTAATAAATGTACGTATTAGGCATATTCCAAAATATGAATTCAGATATCCTACAGTGTTACAAATCAAATATAACCACTACCACAAAACAGTTCCTACTCTCTAGCCCTGAGGTTTTTCTAGTAATGAAAACACAAATTCATTCATAATGTGCATGAATTCAAACTCCACATCAGCTGGATCACCAAGCCTCATCATAAAACTGCCTTATTATTTTATAACTGTATTTTATAATAACTTATGTTCTTAAGTCCATCATTTCTGTATGCAGTCAGAGCACGTGGCTCCACTGTGTTACAGGAAACAGCTTCACAGTTTGTTGGTCCTGCCACCGCTCTCCAGAACAGCGCAGTCAGATGCCTCATACATCTGTTATTTTCCTTTAATTTGGTGATATTCACAGTCATATTCTACAGAAATTTAAAAGTTCATCATTAGAAATATTTGACTTCCTATCAAAAGTAGCATGCCATTTCCGTACCTTTGCAGTGAGGGGCAGCTAACTTGGGTGCATCTGACCAACAGAAGTAGGAAATCGGATGAAAATCCACTTCCTGACTGAAACAGAGTAATTTTTAAATCCGTAATTATTTCTGAGCGAGACAGACAAGTTGTTATTTAAATGCAGTCACTTTCTTCTATTTTAAACTGCTCTAAAAAACTTTTTACTACAATCTGTATTCTCATAAAAAACATTAGTTTCAATAGACAAGCATGAGTTTAGATTCACATACTGGTTGAAGAGCAGAACTGTAAATCAGTGCTCTTTTCCAGTACTATTAATGACTGCACTCCAGTCCTTCTTTACCATGCAAAAGAAGTACTGTTTCCTCTTAAAAGAGGCTCCAACATTTTAAGTATTTCACTGTGCTTTTTCCTTGCTTTCACATTTTTTTACTATGTAACTTGTATATTCAGGGTATCACAGAAAATAACCTGGAATATTCTTCCTCAGAAACATTTGCAGAATTAGCTGTCCATGAAAACGTTCCCTCAAGATTTTCTCCTGTGCAAAAGTAGACTTATTACCATCACTTTATAACTCCTACCTATTCTGCCTGATATGCTTCCAAATCCTTGTCCTTCAAATCCTTTTTATCACCTAAAAATATCACAGAATCCATATTTGTACAGCGGTAATCTCCAAGACAACCACCAGATTATGGCAGACTGTAAGGGAGGTACTTACAAGGTAGGCGCATTTCCAGAACATACCAGGGGCGGCGATTTCTCGTACACGGCAGGGCATAGTGGACCAGTACTCAGGCGTCGAGGAAACACAACTGGCTTCAGTGCTTCCTCACTTCCCACCGAGCCCGCAGTTACCTTCTTGGCAGTAAATTGTGGGCGCTTCATGAGGTAATCCAGAGCTGTTGTCTGCCATCTCCTCACGCCTCAAACCGAGGTGAGCTTGGCTTCAGCTACCGCAAGCCCCCGGTAAGGAGCAACCGTGGTTCTTTCTGAGGGCTGAGGGAAGGAGCCCGGCCCCCGCAGATGCCCGACTGCTGGTTTTACCGAGGCTAAACTCGCACCGCATGCCCTGACAGCCATCTTATGGCAGCGTGCTCCAGGTCTGCCAGGAAGACGAGAAGCGTGGGCCGGGGCGGGCCTTCCCTGCGCTGCCCGGCACCGCCAGAGCTCCCGCCGCGCTTTTGGGAGATGGATGTGGGGATTTCGTTTTAGCGCCTTACAGGCTTTTAAAACGAGGGGAAACACGATTACAGCTTAAGTTGGGCATCGACTGGCAGGGAGGCTTTGTGGAAACCGGGTCTCACGCCAGCAGCAGGCGCCTCACGGGTAAGCGGCCTGGCGCGGCCTCCACGCTACCTCAGGTTTCGGCAGAGAGCTTTAGCGTCCCCAGCTGCCCCACACGAGCCTCGCTGAACTACGGCCTGCCGAGATAGAGTGAAAAACAAACGTACATGTAAAGAGCTAGTGCCCAGTCCTGTAACATGGCGGGGCTGGAGGCCCGGGGCAGGCTTCCGAAAGTATTGTCATCTAAAGGGTGCACAGTGCAAACAGTCCCAAGTGCTTTTAGGAATGTTTTTCTGAAATCACTTATTCATTATGCTGCTCTCCCTGTTAGTTCTTACACAGGAAGCCCTCTCAGATACAGATTCTTTAAAGCTATTTTGGTATCTGATTGCCATCTTAATTTAGTTCAGTGGTAGTGGTAACCTCTATACATCTTGTAGAATTTTGAGGTTTAATCAAATCTTTTAATAGATCTGTGTGCCTTAAACATTTCACCTCTTTAAGTGGCAGGTAATATTTGTTATCTTTCTTTTCGCAAGCTTTTCAGGAGGTAGAACCTGAGATTTCACTGCAAAGCCACGAAACCCTTGGAAAAAATGGCAGAAACCAGTGGGCAGGAACAGTCAAGATGGAGAACAACAGTTATTATGAGTACAGCTCTCCAGGTACAGTGCTGCTTCTCAAGAGCAGCATCTGATTCACAAAGAAGTGCTGAAAGAAGCATTTTCTATATTCTAGATGTGAAAATCTTGTATGCAGTGTGAATCAGTCTAGTTTTTTGAGGATAAAGCAGTGATATTAGCCTGATGTTGCTTCTACTGTAGTGCTGGTTCTTTTCTCTGTGTGTGTTGATTTTTCTCATCGCTACTTTAGGATTGTCTCCCTGACTCATCATTTCTGCACTGCACTGATGCTGCTTTCAGTTAGCACTGTAGATAATTCCTATCAGGAATGTTTTTATTTCTCTGAATTTCTCCCTAGACATTTTATTTTCTACTACACACTATCAACATTGAGGTAAACTATTAAGAAGTGTGCAGTTCAGTTTAAAATAGAGTTACAGCTAGTGATGTGTATTTGTATCTGCTAATATCAGAAGCCAAGACTGTGTTCCCCAGTAAAATGAAAGGGTATGTCAAAGATCTAATAATTAGTTTCTGCTGCTAAGGCCAATTTCATGTCAGCTGGCTGGAATTTAGAGGCATGAGGGCTTTAATTCACCAGGAAGGATACCTTCTGGTTGGTTGACAAGGTTATCATTTCATCTCATCTCCGCTGTATAAATGAGTGAATGGTGCTGAAGTAATTCCTGAATCTCCTCAGTTTAAAGCCTGTCCTTATTTGCCTGCTTGTCTCAGAATGGCAGCCTGTAAACTATTCCAGAGTGGGAACTGCTTCAAGAGCAGCTTAATCCATAATACAGTGACAGGTATTGGAGGGCAGTGATCTCATCAGATATACCAGCATAACTCATTCCTGAGAGCCCCAGCTCTAGTCGAAACTACAGCTGTCAGTAAGGTCTCCCTGTGAGCAAAGATGTGGAAACAGCTGCATGTGGGGCCTGGAATGTATCAAAGCTGGCAATTAAGAGCTACCATGGGAAGGAGAAACTATAGTAGGCAATTAAGAGTGACCTGTCCCTGACTGGTACTTGGAAGATGTTGAAACTGGCAAGGAACAAGGACAGCGGAACTGGAAAGAGGATGTCGATAAGAAAATCAGATAGACCTTTCACCTGATGTAACCGCAAGGCAAACACAGATGTGCTTGGCTAATTGCTTGGAAGCATATAAATATCGTGTCATCTTTTCAATAAACGATGCAGCATGCACTCTACCTCTGGGTCCGTGCCTCCATCCTCACAGCTGAATACAAATCTAAGATGGCTTTTTGTTTACAAAGTAGTGCTTCGTACCAGTTTTGGTTATGAGCTTTCTCTTTTCCCTGTGCAGCTGTACTTCTCTTATAGCTGTTACTTGTGCATTAAATAATTCACTGTCAACAGTGGCTTAGAAGCAGAGAGTTTTTCCAAAATTGTAATTATAGCTCATAAGCAGCTGTCATTGTGTGTTCCCTTCCCAGACCAATTGAAAGCACATTTCTGGTTACTGTCTCCTTTGGTTCACCTCCTATCCTGACTTTATTTTGTACTCTACCACTAAACCATGACACTTCCCTACATAGGCAGGTCGCCTATGTTTTAACTGGGTAGGTTAAAGAACATGCTACTAGCTAAAAAAGGATTAAATGATTTAACCTTTCAAATGTGTTTGAGCAGCTTCTCTAGAACATACCGCAGAAATGGTTTCTGCAGGCTGTAAAATATATTCAAGCCCACTCCATTCTGTAGATGATTATGTCACATAGTGCAATGTTTCAGTTTGCCTATCAAAAGGCTTTAAAGAAAATCATGTCCCATACAGATTTGCTGAACTATCTTCCAAATGAAATGCTGACATCTGTGGAAATAATGCAGGCTAATTAACTGAAGTCATGGAAACACACTACTGCATGTTCTTCACTGCTGCAAATCCTCCTTTAGCACATCTCACAAAAATAGACTGTAAAATGTTTCAGCTTCTTTATGTATTATGCGAGAGTTTCCTGAGGCAAACCGAATGTGTGCATCCAAAATTGCCTTTCAGTGTTTGATAACCTCCAATGCAAATAATTCAGAATTTCATTAACTGAACCAGTTTAATTAACATTTTACTGCCCTTTTATTGCTAGTGGAATGAAAAATATTCTTTTAAACCACAGTGCTCAAGTTCTATCTCTAATGGTTCAGACAGGGCTTTAAGAATATTTCTACCAAGCTTGTTGGCTGAAAACATATTTTAAAAATAACCTTTTGAAATCTATTTAGAATCATGAAATTTCTGCAGTTCTACAGAGGCAACAGCACCGTGTTCGATACTCAGATTCCGTGGAACCTGGATCTGTGATTTTTTCTCTTTCTGGTACAGTACTTCGAGTTTATGCTTTTAAACTCATTAACTCCAATGACATGCAAGATCAGGCACTGCTGTAGGCTACACCGAACTGAATAAAAACTGCCTTATTGGAATGTCGTGCCAGTAGTGGAACGAGCTGTGATATGATTAGATGTAAATCATGGGAGGGGGCAGAGAACTTTGGGGATGAAACATTTTGTACTTTTTTTGGACATTTTGTAGAACATTACATCACTTCATTAGATTTGGTGATCATCGGCTGAGCTGTTCAGTAAATTCTTGTTATAATTGAGCAAGCACATTGAGTGCCACTAACATATAAGATAGCTGTCAGGATCTTTCATATTCCTGGCTGTAAACACAAGAGTGAATCAAGATACTAAGCTTTCATCCTCCAAGTTGAGTTTGCAAACCTGGTGGTAGCAGAGGAGTTAGGGAAAAGATACTTTGAGCAGTTTTTATTAGGAAATTGCTGAAATTGCAAACATGAAATACCTAGCCTTCCCTTTTAGAGCAGAAGATGCTTTAAACAGATAAGATCCTTTATCCTCCTGAATTATAAGGACTAAGAAGGCACACATTGGCTTAGACTTCTGTAGCCTCAATTGTTAAGCCTCCTAAACTTCAGCCTTTTTAATTTTTCATTTCAGAATAATTTACTTGACAGGGTTATAGTTTATTTTTTCATGATAGACAGTTGAGGTGACTTTCAAGATGTTTATCTCATTTAGAAATAGGACTTGCTGAGCTACTCAATCAGTCTTTGCATTTGCCCTAAATTCATTCTATTGTGGCAGTTACTTTCAAAGGCATTCAGAGTTTGTACTTTGAATGTATTGAACAGCTGGGGATTCTTTGATGTTTTGGTAGAAAATAACCTCTGAATTACTTGTAGTTTTATCTTCGAATTACTAGTCATCACTGGCCAAATCTCATGACTGCATTTTAGTGTCAAGGTGCATAAATTCACCTGTGTGCTTTGTTCCACTGCCTTTTAAACTACTGTTTGAGTAAGAATTCTGCTTCCTGGTTTGTGATGAGAACCTTATACTGCTGCCGTGACATGTGCATTTACATCAGTTTCTTCAATAGGTGTTGCATTTATGCTGTCAGACACTCAAGACCTGCTTATGACAGGGGAAGAACAGTTTTCCCAAAGAATTCAGAAGTTCATGAGCATTCACCGGAACAGCTTTCTGGTTTTGTCAGCTGCTCTTCATGGCCCAGAAGAATGGAATGTTATGTTGAAGATTCAGAAAAGGTATGATTTCAACATCAAACCAAGCTTTTTCTTACTAGGAAGAAATGAAGTAGCAGTCCTAGATTCAGGAAGATTGTTTTAGGAATTATTTTCAAAATTATTATTTTTATTTTGCTAATGCACTGGAAAATTATATAAAGTATATGTTTAATAATGGCAAATGAAAAGAATGCTAAGTGAATCAGTCTGACATGTCATAGGTAACAGAATGGGATGTTCCTCAAAACACAGCCCTAAAGTGATTGAAAGGGATGTTATTTGCTATGTAATAGAATTCTTTCTAAGGTTTTCTATTGAACTGAAAAATTAGGCAATTTTCTTGGCTCTGGCATCATCTTTTCGTAGTCATTTTCAAAATGGAACAGGTGAGGTTCCTACCTGAGAAGAGGCTTTATTGTAAAGTACAGATTCTTCACCAGCTTTTAAAATCTGTTTACTTGGAACAGTGTCTCTTATACAGTCCTGGAACAGTTGAAATAATGGGTGTTATTTTTAAGCAAAAGTACAAACCTGGTTTATTTAAAATGGTATCTATGATTTCTGATGAAGCCTGAAAACATGCATGTTTCAGTATATACCTTGCTGACAACACTTACCCAATTGTGCTCCATACTCGTTGTCAAAACTGTTTCCTGGTAGGTATAGTACTCCTAACTGCAGTTGATTTTCACTCTTGACATCAAAGAAATGACAATTCTAATGGCTTCTTTGATCTTTACCTCCTTGAAGCTAGCACCAGTTCCATTAAATCCTGGGCACGCTGCCAGATGCTGATGAGCAGCACAGTGTGCAGGATGAAATGCAGGAAATCTATTACCCACTTGTGAAAATTCCATACATTTTCATGAGAACTCTCAAAAGCTCTGCCACCACTCAGCAAGAACATGTTATTCAGCTGATGGCAATGTTAATTCTCAATCTCCTTGTCGTTGTGTACGCAGATTTTGTGCATGTGTCGATTAATAACAACTGTGGTGCTCTGAAGCCATATTCCAGTTGGCAAGTCAGTCATTTTATTAAAATAAAAATAACACTTTTGCCATAGCAGGCCATAACCAAATTGATGTTGACTAGGCACGAGTATACTATGATGCAGGTACTTTTTTACTACCTGGCAGCTTGGAGTTCTGCTATTGTATGTAAATCACTGACCGAGCTTTTGCATTGCTGGGGTTCAAACTTGTGCCATGTTCTCTTGAACCACAAGTCACCTGTTGGATTTGTTAAAAACAAAGTCCCTGGTATTCTCAGGTCTTCCTGAATTATTGTTTCTTTCTGCTTATCTATGGTTTTGTTGCAGCTGGGAAGGGATTTTTTATTATTAACGAGAACATTATGGGATTGTTGCTCAACAACACGAACACTTGATGCGGATTCTGCATATCATGGGGGAAGTGGGAAAAAAGCTATTTTTATCATTACAGCTCCAATGAGCATCCCACTAGAAGCCTCAGTAAATCTGGATGTTAAATTTTAAACACCTTGGAGCAAAGACCAGCCATGTGTTCTAACAGACAGTAGTCTGCCTGGTGATCAGATTAATAAAATTCAGACTAAATTTAGACCCACTGTTACTGGAAGCAAAACTACTGATAGAAATGGATTTTCATGGCTCTAGGGAAGTACACATCACTGTTTTCCTTGTTCTACTTTGTTCATTCATACTTTGCTTAGCCTATTGCTATTACTAGCAAAGCTGCATGTATTTATTTCTCTAATCCCTAAATGTAAATCAAACCAGTTTCTGCATGAGATTGTAATAGGACTCAACAGTGACCCAAGTACCTCCTCTTAGGGAAGGACACTGCTTGTAACATTTATTTTTGCTAATTAGAAGAATGGGCAGCCAAGTTCAGCCCAGCTATCTACCCAGCACGGGTCCTAATGTGATTGAGTCCAAATCATCAAGCAGACTGAGGGGTAGAGCAGGTGGCAGTCACAAGGGGAGAAGACAGGGGAATACAACTGAGCAGCTGGGCACTTCCTTTGGATTATTTTGTTTATCTAAAATTCCTCCTTTTCTGTGGTTAAGCCCCTCTGATATTTTAGCTCTACACCACCAAACAGCAGCAATGCTCACTTTGGTGTCATTGCTACAACACACTTAAGATACAAGTCTTAAGGAATGACTCTGTGCTTGCCTAAGCTTTGATCTTGCTCTCTCCCCCATGACTGCACTGAATGACAACACATGCTAGGATTTTAAATCTGCAGATTTCATCCTCAAGAATGAATGCATATGAATGATGTTATTTATAGAATGAATTTTGGGTTAAATTTTTTGAATGAGCAAGTCCTTACAATAAATTCTTACCGGAATTATCCCATTATCGTAATCACAGCTGACGTGTAGGTTGCTATAATTAGATACTACACTAAAAAGATTTAGTTCAGATACTTCAAATGATGTATTTTTAGCACAGTTGTTTTTAGATACTTTCCTGTGTTTTTCCAAAGCCATTAAAAAAACCCTGAATATTTTTTTCCTGGCACTGAAAATGGACAGTCTTCAATACAGCAGGAGAGGGGCCAGCTCTCTCTGAATGTACACATGCTTAAGAAGCATTGACATATTACAACCCTAGAAGAAATAAGCCCTTCCAGATCCCACATAAACAAGTGGTACAAAAATGGGACAGATGGCTATACAAACCACAGGAACTCTACAGTGGCCTTTAATGATAAAGGCAATGTTCATTGTACTTGTGAAGGCACACAAGAAGTTGTTTCCATTGTGTGGGAATGCTTTTTTAGTTTTGTGGCATAATAAATTAAATGTGCTTCTAAAAGTAACCTTAATTTATTTTGATGTTTAGATTCCTGGGCAGTAATTTACGTATAATACCAGTTCATAACAGTGCTGAAACCGTTAAGTTAATGCTGACTATAGCTAAGGTAAGTCTGGCTGCATATTCTCAAAACTATTAGTTCTTCAGAATTATATTAGCCAGGAAAAGCCAAGAACTATAAAAATACTTATTTTTCCCTAAATGGAGCTTTTTGGGTCATATTGACCACAGTTCATTAAATACATGGAGGTAGGACCACCACTATGATACTTTAACAATAAAGACTCAGCTAAAGGCAATTTAAAAAGCTCTAAATAGCACCTATGAAGACAAATTAGATACTAAGAGCTAATTTGGCTTTTACTTACCACTGTTAAGTTAGGATGTCTTCATTTATTAGTACAGAACCAGCATGAGATCTAAATATGCAATGACTTGAAGTAAAAATGACAATCTGAAGACTAGTTACCTGTGTACTTTGATGCACATACTATTATATTATTCCTACAGCTTAATGAGTGTAATTTGTCTGTGTATCTGCAACATAGCCTATATGCACAACAAACAATTAAACCTATTTACTGAACATCTTTAAAGAACATGAAGATTTCAATTTAGATACTCACTGTAACCAGTCCTAGCAGCATCCCCTGTACTAAAAATAAAACGAGCAGGCTGAAAGACATGCTAGGAATCAACTATGAATTTACATTTTATCCTTTCCTGAAGTGGGTATCTCAAAATAAGCAGCATTAACCTATTCAGAGTATTAATAATTTTAAAAGTGTGTAAACTACATCTCACTAAATGGCAAAAGTTATTAAATACTTATTACAACATTGAACACCGTACTTAAACTTTTAATGGTATCTACTGATGTCTGGCCCACTCTTAATACAGCATTAACCTAAAAGCCTTTAAGACTACTGTTGATCCTATAAACTTGAATTTGCTTTTCTACTTGTTCAGGATGTTTACACCAAACTCCCATAGGAGACCCCCATGAAAAGTGATAATAGCACATACCACAAATCTATTGGTTGCTGTTACATTATTTCTTAACCAGTGCAGTGCAGAGCTAGTTTAATGAGCTCATCTTTTGTCAGAGAATCCCTAACTGGTATAGGGCCTAAAAATGAACTTTTGGCCTTGGTATTGGCCAGGAGAGCAATACCATCCAACTAATCCTGGGCTACCTACCCAACTCCTGTTGAAATACTATCCAGATAATTAGATGCAGTGCTGACAGGACTGGTTATGTTAAGACTGGTCTTGCACCTGAGGGGATACATCACAATCACCTCTGTGTACATCATTCCTGAATATCCATTTCAGAAAACAGGCTTCACATTTCAGTGCCGAATAATTTTACATCTGTTCTATTTGAAAAATAAGATGTTGAATATTCTATTACCTAAGAGTTACTGTGTCCTACTAATAATATTATTCTTTTCTCCAAGATAACTTCCAAGCCACAAGCAAATGATATTCGTTACAAAATGGCAACGACAAAAGCCCAAATCATAGAAAAAAGTCCAGTTTGGAAGATGCTTCAGGAGTACCAGCTGCAGTGGAATTGATTTAGCATTTGGGGGTTTTATTCATAAATAGTGGCTACATTTTACACAAAATATAGAATGTTCTTAAAAATATAGTGACATTTCAAAAGACTGTATATACAACTTACGCAGTTGGAATGAAAAATTATATTAAATAACTATACAGTGAAAAATAGCATACTTTATACCAAATGTGCGTTGTATAGGAAAAAAAAAAGTGGTTTAACTGCACTATAAAAAAGCCATCCTTATTTTTAACTTGATTCTGAACTTAGGAGCTCATCTGCTTAGAATAATTTTCAAAAATGCTTAATCTATCTCAAGGACAAATTTGTCATGAAAGATAAGGATAATCAATACTAAAGAGGTTTCCCACATACAACACTTATATGTATGAAACCTTATGCAATGTGTTTTTGTAAACACAAGTGTTACCTGGTTTGCTACTAAGTTTTAACATCTCATTTGGCTCAAAGTTGATTTGTTTTTCTTTAAACCTGGTTTTCCTCACCATAATGTTTCTACTGTTATCTATGTGAATCTTAGCATCCTGGTTTAGTATTGATGTATAAGTTTCTATATTTACAAAGTGTTAATAAAAATACCTTATGCTTAAACAGTGCTTTTTAATTAATGCTTCTCCAGTCACTTCATAAAAACCTTTGTAATTCACAACACCATTCAGCAACTATTATCTAACAAATTCTGAAGATGAACAGAAAAATAAATGCACAACCATTATCTCCTTGCCATGACAAAAGAACAAAAAAAAAAAACAAAAAAACCCTCAGTTTTCATTTCTAAACTTCAGAAAAAGTATCAGTTTCTGACAAGGAGTATTTGAGAAAATAGGCCATCTCTGTGAAACCCATATAACAATAGCAAAGTAAAATAAAAAAAATGAAGACTTATGAAGAGCAGCATTTGCAGTTCTTCCAGAGGCCACTCTGAACTGCTGTTCTTTAAAGGCTGGTACCTACTTTTCAGCTAGTCTCACAGTCAAAATGATCTTCTAAAGAAGTATATTAATTCAAATACTTCACCTGACCTAACTATTTTCATCCATTACAGCTTTTATTTTCACTTCAATAAGTTCTTCTACTCGAGCCAGAACACTTTCTATTAAATCAAAAGTGAAGAGAGCAGAGTGTAAAACCTGAAATGACAAAAGAGATTATTTTTATTAGAATAATTTCTTTCTCACTGTATCTGTATGTTTGTCTCCAGATGCAAAAAAAAACTTTCAGTACTTCTGAATGACTTCAAAGGAAATGCAAACTCACCTGAAGCTGCATGTCAGTAGTCATGGCAGGCATCTTTTCCCCACTAACAGTTACAGAACAAACTGTGTTAGGACTCTGCGCCTCTAGAAGAGAACAGGCAACCAGAGCTCAGGCTGCTGTTTTACATAACTTTTAGAATGGAAATAATGTTTAATATATTAGCATTTCTAGACAGTAATTGTTAAAACCCACAAACTTAGGGATTGACTGAACAGAGGACAGAAGGTGCTGAACCTTAAGAGGAAGACAGTTTGAGCTGGATGCTATCTCTATGCTTGCCATAACATACATTACTAAACAGGCAGTATCTGCAACTGAATTATATACAGCAAAAATGTTTTTTTAAGGGAAAAAGAACGCTTAAATCTGGTCAATTTTTTGATAAATTCTTACTATTTCAACATCCAGAGATAGTGGAAGGTTCTTTAGCTTGACTTAATGAATCCAGACATGAAATACTTATTAACAAAAGGCTGTGGGCTTCTCTGTTTCAGGCAGATTACTTGCAGCAAGCAAAACTACAAGGACAGAGCTGAAAACTAAGGGGAAAACCTCTTACATTCAGACCACATATTTGAAATTCAACATAATATATATACATTGGGGAAAAAGGCTAAACCAATTACTGCTACGAGTTAGATGTTCTCTCCCAAACTCAAATCTCTTTATGCTTTGTCAAAGGCTAGATAAAAGAAAAAGCTTCCTAATTCATTTTAAAGTATTTCCTTTACAAAGGTACCCACAGGTTGCCTTTAGAAAAATTCCCCTTCTGTGCCTCATACGTATTTAGTTAACAACAACAGAAGAGGATAAGACTCGGGGCAAAAAGCTTTACTGACATCTTTGGTAGCAAAAGCAAGAAGTTCCTTGGGCTGTCTTAGTTGTACTGGAGATCACAAAGGAAGAGAGGATCTGACATACACAGAGACTGCCTAAAGCAGCTACAGCTCTTACATCCTGTGGAATGTGTCTGTTTAACCCTGAACAGAACCTGATTCTGTGTGTCAGATTTTAAATATATATATAAGTATATGTGTGTGTATATATATATATATATGTATATATTAAAAAAATCCCTGTGTAATTCTTCAGGCTTTAAGAGAGCACCTATTTGCTGTGTTAATTACTTCTTTTCTTGTTCACCTCCCCATACCTGCTATGAAACTTAAGGGCTATATTTTCAGAGACACTTAGATGTCAAACCTTAAAAATCGAAAGTATAAATGCAGAACAAGCTTTGAAGGTCCTTATGCAACATTTCTGTCAGGTTTCCATATGTGATGAGAGAGAAGTTCTGATTTTTCTGACCAATTATGGAAATTATTAGTATTAAATGTAGCAACTACTGAAATATTTGAAATTCTGAATACTGTCAACAGTGGTATAAAACATGATCTATACAGCACTCACCAATTCTTTGTTTCCAAGGGACTTCCACAGTTTGTAAATACAAAGCTAAGACAAAAAAGAAACCAACTAACCTTTTTTATTCTCTTTCTTATTCTTTATTTCTGCTTCATAGTGTGCTTTTGACATATTGAGTCCTACATGCAGTGGCTTTAAAAAATTTTGCTCAACCCTGGGAATCATGGTCCATACTCCAGTCTATCCAAACAGAGCAGAGAAGGTTACGAATTAGTTTTATGGAAGCATTGCAGTGCTGAGTTTTTTAGCACAAGGCTTTAGACGAGTCTTTGTAATACACACTTCTGTGCTGGGAATAAAAAACGGAGAAAAAAGAATGTAGACTCATGCATTTAAGCATGAAGAGAATCATGATGGGTATTTAAGCTTCTCTCACATGATCTGTTGAAAATTAGAGGATAAAGCAGTCAAAAAACACATGGGGGGTGAAACTTGGTATGTAGGCTGATAACTAAAGCAGTGGAAGCACATTTTTAACTTGGTCTTGTAAGCAAAACTGAAAGGATCTGGAGAGGTTGGAGGGGAGCTATTAGCCACTTTCTTAGGCTAGAATCTCTACAGGGAGTAAACAGCAGTTGTAGATTCCTCTAAGATAATTCAGCAGCAAAATACAATAAATTCTTAAATTCATGTTCCTGAATTAACACTGTATTGTGATGCCAAGTGAAAGCTCTGATAAATGTCAAGCTCCCCAAATACGTAATGGTATTATCTATCTTGCAATTTAAAAAGCCTTATAGGAATGTTCCTGGATATGCTACTACCCCATATCCTTAGGCACAGAAACCAATGCAACCATGAACTTCTCCCCAGTTTGGCATGGGTGAACAGAGGGGTTTACAATAATGGCATTCAGAAGCAAGAAATACCAGGAAAAGATGCTTAAAAGCAATGCTGTTCAAGGTTACACAGCAGAAGAGGAACAATTCTCTGCCTTGGCACCTTATAAGCTTGTAGTTACAAAACTGCAAGAAGGAAACAAGTACAAAGCAGTCTTTGTGTCTCTAGATACAGGAGCCATTTATATGGATCCTTTCTTCAGGCAGTATCCTCAAAGGGCAGAGTAAGGTCAATAAAAATAAGAATTACTACATAGTATTGTTGATTACAGTGGAAAATTCACTACATTTTAATGCTAAACAACACAAAGTTAGCTGGTCAAACAAGGAAACTGGTAATAACTTCCACCAGAATGGGGCTAAGAATAAAGAAGTAACTCTGAAGAAAAACATTGATTTTTACTTTATTAATGAAAGTACTTGTTACCCAGCAATCAAAAACATCTGAACTGACAGAAAAGGAGGCACTTTCTTCCTGCCCCACTTGCACTATATGAAGGGAGACAGGGAGGAAGTCAAAAAGAACTGGCTGCGTTTAAATGTAAGGGAAAACTTAAGAAGAGGTGATGCCCTTTTCTCCTCAAACTGTAGGGACATTCTATGTCAGGCACTGTTACAGCAACTGTGTGCGACAATATTTGAGATTTTAATAATAATAAAAGAGGAATTCTCTCTTTTCTGACAAAGCTATGCATTTACATGAAACAGATGGACTATACTGAGCACTTAAAATAGTGATCACTCCTTAAATATGATGAACAGATATAGTCTATCAATAATAAGTATATAAATAGTAAATTAGAAACGCACCAACTGGTATTAATTTTCGCTACAGTTTTGGTTATCAGTGCAAGCTGTATTATTATTATTATTCTACTTAGACTAATGTCATTAGGCACTTAAACTTGTGTTCATGGATCTCAAAGTGCTCTAAAAGCAGACTATAGATTATTTTCTGTATTTTAGAAAACAGAAAATGATCTGCTGAAATCCATTACTCCAAATCATAAAGAAAGTCAAGGAACTGGGGGAGAACAACAAAACACCTTAGGATACTTAACTGTTGCTTAGGATATTAATCTGACCGTGATTTTGCTTATTCAAGTCAAGAAAGGTTTTACTGTACTTTAAAACAGAAAAGCAATTTTTCTTTAAACTGTCACTAATTGAAACAACTATTTTAATGCAAAAAAATCAAAACATTAGTACTAAGGAGCTAGGTGATAACTGTTGACTACATGATGTACTAGATTAAAAGCTCCTGAATCACATAAATTAGAGGAATGGTGGAACACAATGATTTGAAAGAGTCAACAGAAGCTGCATTTAAGATTAGAAGTAGCAGCCACTGAATGGTAGAATGTAACCAGAAAACCAAACACAATTCCACTGGCTCTTCAATGCTGTAGTGATACAATTCCAAGTAAGTGCACTTATAAATCAGATGCTAGAATATGGAATCCATATATCGACCCAGTTGTGAAATTAAAACAAGTTTCCCCTTGAGTGTCCAGGAACACATTTCCATCAACTGCAGTTGGACAGGACTGACTGTACACAAAACCAGCAGATCCATCACAGTGTATTACATTGAGTAGCCATAGAGCAGCTGAATAACAAATACACTTTGCACTGATCTAACAAATGTTGCTGACTGCTCCAGACAGCAGAGAGCTAAACAAAAGAGAGAAGAAAGAGGTGGGGATTACAACTAAAGCTATAAAATCCTGCTTTAAACTGAGGTAGCACAATGTTATATGGGAAAAATACATAAGGGCAATTTCAATTTTTTAAATATACTGCAAAGTTTAAATCTGCAGAGTACTCCTGAAATATCTACATTCAAACATCCATATACTGAAGTGAAGGTAAAAAGCTATACCTATAATACACACATAAATTGCAGTGGTGCGCAGTTTGGGCTGGCAAGTTACCTCTGTCCATAAAACATTCTAAGCTGTTTCCAATAAAGCAACCTAACAGAAACGTGGATAGGTTTGGCCATTCCTTTTGCTACTTCAGCAGATGGACCTCACAGATAAGATTTTTTTTTTATGCTAATACCTGGAGAAGCTTTTAACATGTACCTAGCATGCACCCACACAGTCACTGTAAATACAGAGTATGGTTTTCTATAGCTAAAACCTATTTAAATATGTTTTCTGAGAAATCATAATAGTAACAACCTTTAGCATAGTGCACACAAAACAAAATTTGCCTAAAGATGAATAAAATGGATCTCTTGAACTGTAAAGGTTTGTATTATTATTACAAAGAAATCCAGCCGGAAGCTTGAAGAATACCAATGAATAAACAAGCAAAGTAACAAATACTGGGAATACGTGATAGAGATGATGATTTTATAGTGACCTACTATGAAATTATGGACACAGATGACAGCTCATCAGGCAGAGTAAAAGGATTAGCTTGCTTATAGTAACAGTTAAGTATGAATGCAATCAAGTTTTCTCAGAATAAAGAAACACATCAAGTATCCCCTAACGTAGTTAATAAAAGCATCCCTTCTGGATTACTGATCAAAGAAAAATGCAAAAGCTTGGGTTTTAATCAAGGATAACAGTGTTCACATGAATGCAGCTCTCAGCCTTCAGCTAATCAATCATTTTCAGATCAGTTATCACTTACCTGATTATCACTTTCACAATCTTTAATGACTAAGTATCTCAGTAGATTTAGTGACGCCATAATCCTGTAAATTAAAAAATGTACTGTTTATCATTCAGAGCAGATCTGTATTACAGGGATTGTAATTAAAATTGTCCATTAGCCAGACATCCTAAAAACACCCATTTGTACAAAATACAGCCACCCATCTGTTGAGCCATACAGCTTAGTCTCAAGCACTGGTGTGCAGTAACATCCATGTTACAACAGTTGGCACTTTGCAAGTAAAATTAAAACTGTCAGCAGGTTGGCAAAGGCTGGTGACTGTGGGGGAAAGAGTTCTCTGAAGAGACAGAACCTTATGAAAAAATTTGTAACACGCATTTCTAGTGATCCAACTGAAACTAATGTGACAGTCTTCTTATCGTCTTGAATTCCCAGTGCTTTTTGAATATGCTTTTTTGTTTTTATTTTACCAAACTTCTTAGCAGAAACTATTTATTGCTTCATTCAGATAAGCAATTACACATCATACATCTGGATCTGAAGTAGTTATGTGTCCATCTGGACACTATCACAACCTATTGATTTACAAGCACAACCCTTACTCATGATATAGGAAAAGACTTGCCCTCTATATGAGATTTTCAGAGACCTTTCAGTTATATTTTATATTACTCAATGCAAGTATTTGCTATTCAGGTGGCTCTGTGTTCCCATTCACGGGATAGTGGATTCCCAGCAGCCACCTCTGGGTGGCAACACAAAATGTTGTGTGCTATAAGTTGTAACTGGTAACTGTTATTCCCCTGTATCATGTAAGACAAACCACAATTCTTCTGGTCCTACAATTGCTGACAAACCAAATATTCCTAAAGAAATAATGCTCGACCAATTAGTGCTGGCATTTGACACCTGAGGCCTCATGTCCTCAGGGAATGGAGGAGGAATTTCTTTCGTATGAAGATCAATCTATAGCATTGTGACATTATTCTATACAGTTAGTTGAAAGGATGTTCGAAATAAGTGATCACTTCTAGTTCCAAAAAGTTAAAATACACTGATGTTGTTACCTAATTACGTGACACTGTACCTCCCACTGCAGTCAGGTGGTTTGAAGTCTTTTTAAATGATTAAAAAACGGAGAAAAGCCTCTAACTGCAAGTAAAACTCACCTATCAGAGTGTTGCAGAAGATCTGTCTCAGCACCTTCTGGAAGCAAAAACACTAAATCTAGAAGGGAGATCAAGTGATGTCCTGTAAACCAAGTGTTGTCACATGCCTTCTGAAAGGAAACCAACCCCAATATGACAAGTTTAGCTGAGTTCAAAATTTAATTCTTAAAGGTATCTTACATAATTTAACAATAATCTTGTGAAACCAGAACAGTGTTGGGGAAGAATGAAACACTGGAAGCAGTAGTCTAATCACTACAGGTGATGAAAGTACACAAACTGATCTTTTCATAACCCTCCCTACTCTGTCTCTCTATGCCAAGCTGTTCCTTTCAATTCTCCACCTTTTCAGTATTCCACCATCAATATAGTTAGTATTTGTTTTCATAAGCTTAGCAAATGGTAGTAGGCACTCTCATTTTATTTCTGTTGAGGTACGGAACAGAGACTAATTTCCATACCTCAATATTCATTTCACAATGGTGACAATTTTTTATCTATTTATTTTTAAGATAATCAGGTGGTTTAAGTCTGCTTTGTGTACTTTTAAACCCAGAAATGGATTGGAAGAAAAACAGAGTAGATAATGAGACAAGAACAGTTAAGTCAGATCAGATGAGAGACCTGGAAAGATTAAGACTACCTGGGCACAAAAACTAAGATGAAATAAATGGATTCCAATAGGAAATTGTTATCATGATGTCTACAGCAGAATTCTTTGCAACAAATCTAGAATATTCAAATTCCTATGATGAAATTATTAAATTGTCTGACAGCCAGGGAGCTCTACATGGAAGAAATGCATTAAGAGAATTCTGAAGCTGCATAGTAAAAAAATTGATTAGTAAGGAAATTTCAGAATATACTTTTACCTATTCAAACTAGGTGCAAGCCCCTTTTGGAAGACTTTTCATACTATCATCTTCTTCAGCCCTGCTGATTCAATATACAGGGCAGACTAGGATCGAATAAATAGTAATTCACTGTTTTCTAACATAATTATGCCAGCATAAAATATGCGCAACTTTAATGTATTGTCCTATTTGACAAAAGCCAGTATCTTCGAGAATCAAATTTGGTTTGGAAAAGGCTCTAAGCAGTTTAAAGGGAGAAAAAAAAGAAAAAGAAAAAAAAGAAAAAAAAAAAGGAGTTAATTTATTTTTAATTCATTTTTCCAACTTCCTGGTATAAATGATTATAAAATATGATATCTAAATGGCTTTGATCTAGCCTAATCATTTCTGATGAATTGAACATTCATGACGCACGCATAATGTAACGATGTCATCATATAAAACAGGAAAAAATTAGTAATTCTGTCTGCATTTGAATTATGTTCAAAAAATGAAGAACTGTGAGGGTAAAAAACCCACCAGGGAATTCCCCTTTAGGAAAGGGGCATGTACCTTCAAGCACAGACAAGATAATAACTTCTGAGAAAAATACAATACGATCATGCAATTAAAAAACATATTTTTAAAATTATAATGTAAAAATACATATGCAGGATATATGTGCATATATACATAGCATAAGCTATATTCATATTTTTAATTACATCATTTCCCGATCTTATGTTTCTTTCCAAAGCAGATTGTTTGTAATGCATCCCTCAAAGCTTAAGCTGTACACATTTTCCCAACATAATACTCATAGAATTTTGGGATCGCTCCTTGTTTTTTAGTGGGAGTAGCCTCACCGTTAATGATAAGTGAATCTGATCTTTTATATTTTTAATAACGTATCCCTCCACACCAGCATGGTTGCTTGTCTTCAGGAGACACCTTCAAACACACACACAGGAGAAAGAAAAAAGATAGATATTATCTCTTCAAAGCTGCCTGTATAGTTAGCTCAAAACTTAAGATGACATTATGGCCTTACTCCCCAAGTAGGAGTTTTACCACAGAAAACTGACTATGTGATCTTTACATGCTAGCTTACATAAGACAGCTGATTTAATGGAGGCAACTGAAATTCACTGTTTATCCAAAAAAATTAATATAGTAAAATTAATGTGGTTTACCAAACAGACTCTCTCAGAAATCACTGTATCTGTGCAGTTAAGCTGCAATTAAGCTGATACTACACAATGTACAGTAACTTGGCTGCATACCTGAATAATGTATGTTTTCCCTCTGTGTCAAACTTATTTATGTACAACTGCAAAATATTTAAACTTTTCTTCCTCTGAAGAGAAAAAAAAAAAAGATATTATGAGATTGATGCTAATGAAATAAATTCAGCACTCACTTAACTGATTCTGTAGGTCACATTACATACCAGATGCTCTATGGGACAAAGGGTCATAACTTTCACCAAATCCTGCCGTTAGACCAAGAAAACATAATTTCAAATTAGGTACAGATTATTACATTACATCATACTGTAAAATCTACTCAAGACATTAAAAAAAAAAAACAAAGAAACAACCACCACCAGAGCCCACAAAACCATGCCCATGAAAAGTTCAGAGAAATTCCCATTAGCTTCAGTGGTTCAAATCCCAGGGCTGATAGACAACAACACTGTTGGGCAAAATAAGAATTTAGTCAAGACCAGATTTCTAAGGAAGAGGCAGAAAGGAGCAAGCACCATCTTTCAGCTAAAATCAGTGCCCACCTGCTTCAGTGGCCTGTACATACTCTAAAGCATATTTAACTGTTACTAAAACTTCATGCTGTATTGGGTAGAAGAGACAGTCAATTCTGTATTGCAAGGCACTGAAGGTATCAGTTTAAAGACACGAGTATATAAAGATTCAGAAGTACCTCAAATACCTAGAAGACAGCCAAATATTATTTATAATCAAACTTCAATGACTTCTGTACATTGCTTCTTATTACCTGAGGTACATTAATAAAATCTCTGAATTCTAAATACTGATGGAGAAGACTATTATCTTCCATCCTCAATAAACAGCTCTCAAACAGATCCTGCAGGAAGGGATAAAAAAAAAGAAAGCTGGCAACATTTTGCACATACAAGACATTAATTTATATGCTTAATATGCCATTAATTTCATGGCTAAAACCACTTTCACTATAAATGCTCACTCAGACACTCAAGGTTTGTAGGAGCTACAAACGATAAACAGAATGACAACATTTACGCATAAGTGTAAAATTCAGTAAATCTGGTTTTGTAAGACTAAAGAATACCTAATAAAGCCCCAAAATTTTTCTGAAACTATTATCTGAATTATCACTTGTACCTTTCTTACAAGGGGAAACTAAAGTTTTACCATTACTTAAACTGGGAAAAGGAAACATTATAATAATGAAAATTTGAAAGAAAACTTACAAGTCCTTTAGATAAAATAGATTCTTCTGTTCTAGGGGAACAAAAAAAGAAGAATCAAACTTAAGTTGTTAATTAAAAAGACACTGTTAATATTTCATCAACATAAATAAGAAGAAATACCAGAACAGGGATCAAAAAGAACTTGCTCCTCAACAATTTTCATTCTCTTTTCTAGATGTAGTATCTTCATCATTCCTCCCTAAGATTTTTAGAGTAAACCGAGTTGAAAATTAGATTCCTCTCTCTTCAGGGTCAAAAATTATATTCCCCCCCCCCCCCCCCCCTTAATTCCTCAAAAGCAGCACCTCATATCCCACAGGTATCAAGACACTGATTAACAAAGAAAATGAAACTTTTCCCCGGTGATTCCATCTGCAGAGTTCTGCAAGCCTAAGGAAAACACAGCAGATCCTAAATTAAAGAGACCAGGAAGTTTTGTTAAGTTACCAGGAAACAGTAAGAAGTTGTAACAGGAAACTTCCCTTCCATAGCAGTGCTAGAAACTATTTGGTCAACACTGCTGCTTATGGAAGGTGAAATAATCACAACATACAGAAAAGTCTGGTTTCCCTTAGACAGCCTGACCTTTGATCATGTTGCACATTGTACAAGAATACATCCAAATTAATATTATCACAATAGTCTCCTCTAGTAGTAAACTAATCATTACAGAAGTACAAGTAAATATACACTCTAATTTTCTGCATATGTTTGAAAGACCTTAATTTTGCATTTTCAGAATAAAGTTTATAAAAATTATATCATGATACAAGCAGGAAACAACAAATAAATGGTGTAGTCAACTTTTTGTATTTCTTGATAAAAAAAAAGCCATCTTCTTGTGGAACTCTGCATTTTAAGTCTCACATTTAAAAACCTCCTCTGATGTTACTTGGAACATTCAAAATGTGATTCTATGAATTACTATAAAAGATCACACCCAGTACCTAGAACTCCAAATGCCATAACCCGTACCTTTTCATTAGCACTTCAATATTCGTCATATTGCATTGCAGAAGGTATGATGGACTAAAAGAGAAAAATAAGGTTTATGTTAAACTGTATAAGCCGTATAGATTTGCACATAGTTAACAGATTAGGTTTTTTTGAAATAATATAAAAAAATCTTTATAATATTTATAATTTTGAAATAGACACAAAATAGTAAGCCAAATTGCTGTTAATAACCCTTACATGGAAACTGTCTACAAATACACAATCAAAGATTTAATACAGGTTAACTTTCAGCAAGTGACTAATCCTCCCAGTTTCTTTAAAAGGACACCTCACCTAAAACTAAACCCTAATAAGAGTAATCTACTGGACTAGAGTATGTTCTTACATACACAATATAAGCTACATAAAATATAAATGCATAAAGGCTAGCATAAAACACATACTAGTGAAATACAGTTTTAATTCATAACTATTCACAAATAATAAGTTTTCTTCTGCTGAGAAAGAATCTTGAAAGTACAGACTTACAATACGCGAGAAGAACAGTTCTTACCTAAATACCATCGGAAAGCAGTCAATACCAAAATGCTGAACAACCATAAGATACGACAGGCATGCCAAAGAATCAGCAATATTCTTTTGCTCTATGTCTGCAAACTCCTGATTCTCCCATTCTGGATTTTTGCTTTTACGATGTAAAAACACCAATGGTATCAGTTCTTTTATATCCCACAAAATGTCCTAAAAAAGAAAGACAGATTGCCTACAGTAGCCTTTAAAAGACCTGTATACCAATTAAGTTTCAAAGCTGTAACTGTATTTACAGTAAATTCACTTACATAGCATAAATTAATATAAACATTTGGTATTTATGATATATACACATACACTAAAAAGGACCCTGCAGGAATATAACTGCAGGAAAAATAACTACTGTTAGAAGAATGTTACTAAGATAGCAAAGTCAATCACTCAAAAGTTAGCGAAAGACAAAGACAAAACACAGTCACCCTGCAAACCCCTAGTTTGACTCCCTTATCCACAAAGCTATGAAGAATGGTAGCTTCATCACATCATACCACAGGATCCCTCTGTTTTTCAGATCACAGAATACTCAGTATTTTGTTTTCTACTCACTTATCAATGTGCAAAACAATATTTACCTACTAAACACAAGCCCTGCTTTAAAGTTAAGATCACTCTGTATGGCCTTTTTTTCCAGTGATGTGCAACATAATGACACTCAAGTTCTTCACAAATCCTAGTGTGATCCCCCCCCCCGCTCCACATACACTACCACCTATTCCACATGAATGTGCCTCCTGTTGTGCCTATTTTGAAAGAACAGTGAGATCAAGGTTAACTCGCTGTTCCAGGGTTGTCCAAACTGAACATCCAGGATCCCACATTTTGGAAAATCAGGATTACACAAGGTGTCATATAGTCAAAACATGACCTTACCTGCAACTCTCATTGCCCAATTCCACCAACAGCAGAAATGAATTTATTAAGAAAATTTATCAAAGGTAGCATAAAGAACATGGTTTAGAACACAATTAGCATAAAGAATATGGTTTCAGACTGTGCTCAACAGGAGAGGCAGGATAAAAAGCCAGTTTTTCAAAGCAGCCTTCAGCTGTCTTAACTATAAGGTCATTTTCTGGTAATCCCTGCCTCCTTCACTGTACACCCTGAAAGTCCTGCAGTAAATGAAGTAAAGGTCTCAGAGATAGGATTCTCTTTCAGTGCACAAGCTCTGACTGATATCACAGCAGTTCCGTCCTATGCTAAGACATGCTGTGGAAAAACCAGATGTGATCATGATAGAAAACCTAATTATTGTTGAAAAACAACCAAAAGTTTTGCTAACTGCTTAGTGTGCTTCACTTTACAATCTTTGCATTTGGCTATAGAATTTTATGTGAAAGAATGCTTAGACTTTTAAACACAAATTGGAGAAGAAACAGTTGCATCCCATGGCAGCTTCCAGACTTCACACACACACAGGCACATTTGCACACATATAGTGAGTGTACTTATGTGTGCTTTCCTCATCTCAGCTGGCTCCAAGTCTTCCTTTTGAAACTCATCGATAATTCTCCTCTAAGCAGGGATAACAAGATAGAACAAAGTTCAAACTTCAAACTTAACTCTATTCTTTCATATGGTCAGCATTAACATGAGAAACAAGCGTATCCACAGTTAAGCAAACAACTTACAGAAAAGAACTGTAATGGCCAGTTTCTTCTTAATAGTGATTATTAATAACCAGTTAATAGTCATTTAGTGCTCAGTTCTCCTATACTTCTAAGAAGACATCAGCTGCAATCTCGATACCAATCAGATATTACTGTCTATTCAGTGTACCCAGCCAGTGGCCCTTTGACTATTCTGAGGGAAGACTCCATTTAGCACTGAGAATATTTTCCACTCTTATATTTCATCACAAGATTTATCAGCCTGTTTCTGAATAAACTCTTTATCAAATGATCCATTACCTGGCTGCCAAGAATGTTCCTTCATCTCATCATCCCAACACACATCATTGTATAACTGTGCATCTGAAAATTGGAGACAACTGATATTTACAAACGCTTTAAATTTGGTGTACTGGGTCTGCCTGGCCTGGAGTTGATTTTCTTCATGGCAGCCTGTGGGGTGCTGTGGTTTAGATTTGTTACCAAACCAGCTGCCACATGGGGTCAAGCCACTACATGTGGATGCATGTAAGAGAGGAAATATTCTTTACCACATTCAAAACATGAACAAAGCACAGTTATACTTGCTGTAGTGTGGAGACAGTGTTCTCAAAGGAGAATGGATATTTGGTACATGAACTCTGAATAATCCCGAAAGATACAGCAAGGCCATGAGAGGCCCGAGGAAGCTTAAGCAAGCAAGATAAGAAGCTGGAATTCATTGAGTTATGAGAACTGTGGACTGTTGGCAAGCTTTCGAGGTCAAGTTCTCACACCTGTGCTTAACCAATTATATGTTAGTCGCTAAGGGTCTTCAAGACATGTTTCCAGTCATAATATGCCAAATCACTGTAAGTGCATGTAAGAAATAGTATATAAGGAGTTAAGGCTTTGCAATAAATGGCTTTTGTCTGACCACAATGATCTCTGACCGCGTCCATATTTTTTCTGCGGCACTGTAGCTTTATTAATCGCACCCAGTTCCATTTTGAAAACATCCATGTATTATGTGTTCCAACATATGCATGGACTGTATCTGATTATCTTCTTATAAGGACTGGTTTTGCTGCAAGTTTAAATAGAATTATCTACACCCACAATAATCTTCCTCTAATAAAACACAACTGCTATGTAAAACATTCACAACCAAAGTAACTGCATTGGTATTCTTTAAGTTAGCTAGCACTGCGCTAGGCACATTAGAGATTTCCCTCTATGCAGCAAGTGGAGTAAAGGTAACATGTAGATTTTACCTTGACGTAATACTGCAACAAAGACAATCCTTTAAATATTCTAACAAATTCATATATCACCAAGAAAAAGCAGCAATTACAGCAAAGTAGCAACTGCTGATTCAGAGAGCAGTTCAGACTGGTTTATCAAGGAGAAAAATTGTGTCTGCAAGACTTGTCATTTCCAGAGATGGGACATGGAACTGTTCTAGTCCTTTACCTACGTGCATTATATTACAAGGCCCAGTAAGTTATCCCACTAACCAATAAAGGAACCAAAGTGAACTCTGGAATGAATTGTAGGTAATTCTGAACCAGACCACTGTTTTTGCAAACACTGTAATTAGTTTTGACTGCACTTACAATAATTGCAGCTGCAAAATGCCGAAAGGGATGTTCATCAATGCCTTCAAGTTCTTCAAGCTGAGCTGTCAATAATGGGTATTTCAGGCTTTTCATACAGCTGAAACAAAACCAGGTGAAACTAAATCACCAGTACAGGCACAAATACAGACAATAACACTGATGACCAAAACTGAAGTCTATAGTCAGAGCTATGCTCATGAGCTGCTGATATTCCAAGGAGAATAAAATATAAAATTAATGTCTCCTGTTGAAGCATTCCTTAGACTTCACCTCCAGAATATGATTATCTCCACTGTTGGGAAATTTCAGAAGCAGAGGAATACCAAATTAGCTTCACAGCACAGAGACTAACACTTGTTTACTATATCCCTGCACTAATAAATAAATAAATTATCTTCACCTTTCTTCTCTCACTTCACAAATATGTAATGCATATTTAAGTTTTCCTTCTTTTTCAAAATACTACATCAGTTAAACTTGGCAGCATTATAAAATACTAACAAGATGATTTATTTACTGCCTATGTAATAAATGCCTACTGTTCATTTTGTTAAGTTATAGGAATATATTACATAATGTAATATATTGACATAATGACATAAAAAGCTCACAATTTTAATAATTCTTCTTTCAGCTCCGTGTCATTATATTCTGATAACTTCTCCATGTTTTTAACAACTTCATTCACAAAAGGTCTAGTGAAGTCCACCACTGCATTACAACACTGACAGAGACCCAGTTTATCTTCTTGTATTTGTTGTTTTGTATATGGTACAGGTAAGGGAGTAAGCTGATTCATAATCATGGCCAAAGATAAACCCACTGAGTAGGCCTTCTTGTTCTGAAGCTTCAAAAGCACTGGGGGAAAAAGAAAAAAAAAAAAGGGAGGGGGGTGGGGGTGGTGGGAAAGGGAGAGAACATTTTGAGACGTGAAGTTATTATTTAGTACAGGAAAATGTGAAGAAAAATAATGTAACTGCATAAGAAAGCCTTTAGTTTCAGGGACTGACATGTGACATCACATGAGCAGATCAGCAAGACCGAACATCACCAGCTAGTTTGATAAGCTGCCATTAAGATGACCATATATTTGAGGATGACAAAATGTCATGCATTTCAAAACATTCTCCCTTTCCCTGTAGCACCATGATGAGGAGTGAAAAAATCTCATTTTAGAACTTGTCTAAGTGAAACAATACTCTTTTATTTGACTTGGAAAACTCTCTTATTGCTTGATTCCTCCTGTGCTTGGCAAAAACAGAGACAATGTCTCAACCTTTCTGGTAAGATCTACCGGAAGCAGCCAAGATGCATTCTACACTCCATGGTACAACCAACTGCTTCCCAGACTGAGGAAGCAGCACAAGTGGCTCTCTGCTTAAATTGTGTCAGTGCAGGCTAACTTCAGTTTGGTTATCCAAAAACCTACATACTTCTCATTACCAAACCACTCCTCTTGTTAAATTCTAACATATCTCAGGGACTGCTACAATCAGACAACGCTTGATTTCATCCCACATATCAAAACAGAAACTACTTCTTGTTACCTACTTAGTTGGTGTCCAAATCAATAATTTTAAGGTTTTAAATGTAAGCCAGAAAAAAGCTACCCCCCTACTTAATCAAGTGTTTCAATCTCTTCAATGTGAAATTAAGTCCTATACTATGGGAAGATGGAATGGTATGTTTTAAAAGTTAAATGAGGAAGAATTTCACAAATCCATGTGATTCTCTGTGTAACAAAAGTATGACTGGTTTACACCTCTAAATGTAACTGTTACAGGACCACATTCTTGTAAATGGTGGAAAATAGCTGAATATTGCTTTTTCAACTGATGCTATTAATCCCACCTAAAATCATTTTCTAACAGGCCAATATAAGTGTGCAAGTTATGCCTTGTGTTATTTTGCAAAACATAATAGTCTAAAGCCTGTCAGGACATATCCTGAAACTATTCCAGCAAAGATTAGACTAAATTGATAAATAATTGGTAAATAAAAAAATTATTTAATTCTGAAATCACATGAGAAACTGCATCTTACCTGTCTGCAAAGGCTGAAGCAATAACATGACAGTTTGGCACACTCGCTCTCCAGAGGTCTGCTCAATCTGCTCAAGTAAACCCAAAAAAAGTTCCTTTGGATTGCATAGCTGCAAGAGAGGAACAACATGTATGTTTTAATAACGATGGTCATAAGCTAAAGAATTCATCATAAGGAAACTTCAAAGCTCCTGAAAGTCAAGAAAGGAATCTGAACATCCAATATAATCTTTAAACAAACAAATATAAAACAGTAAGTACTTCCCTACGGTTTTCACCTTCTGTAGAGTCTATGTATATGTGTACACTTATGAAAACATAAATAATAAATAATGACATTAAACTTGGTTTTTAAGGTCTATAAAAACATCACAGTATCTTAGTAAAATAATCCTTGGGAGTAGAGAGAAAAACACTTCACTGTGAATTTAACTCCAGCTATAGAGTTTGTAAGTTGTTTTTTATATACATAAATGAAAGAGAAATAGTTTTCTACAGATTAAATCTTTCATTTTCCCCTTACTGCTCCATCAGAATCATCAGGTAATCACTGTCATACTGTATCTGCAGTTGACAAGAGCAGTATTGCTGTGGCTGCTCTGACTGCAGCAGGTGGCTATCTTCATGATTTCTGTGTGCCTTTTTCTTATGGGTAATGCTGTATCTTTTTGTTTTGCCCAGTTACTAATTTCACCAGATTTGTAAGAAGTTAATTGTCTCTGAGAACACTAAGCCTGTGTCTACTTCAGATGAAACTGAAAACATACCTGTGCCAACTGCTCTAGTATCTTCAAGCAGTGTTCTCGCTTATCATCTTCCTTTTTATACATGAAAATACATCTAACCAGGGGAGAGATGAGATTCCAGCCCATATTCTTGACGATAACCTAAAAAAAACAGATTTTCAGAGAATAAACCAAAATTGGATATCTTCTAAATCCAGAGAGATTGTACCTCTGAAGGCCAAAAAGACAACAGATTGGTGTTATAAGCAAAACCATAATAATGTCCTTAAAAATTTAACAACTGTTACCATAGAGGTCTGTATTTGACACACACTGTATTCTTTCCCCATACCTATAAACACAGCTGCATATTTTGTATAGTTTTCTTCAATGTGTCAGTTTTAACATGTCAATACATATGTCTAAGGATTTATATGCAATACATTTAAGCCAGGACTGAGTAGAGGAATTTAACTGAAAGAAAGAACGTTTAGACAAATTGTGTTTAACCCGAGGGGATTGAGATCTTCAGTTGTTACTCCAAACTCACAAACGCAAAACCAGACTATAAACCCCATGTAACATTGCCAGAACATTCCATCCTACACTTTATGTCTGAAATTCCTATTTAGCCGTGTACAAATTAGTATATTCTCCCAACTCCCCAAAGTGCCTACAGACAGTACCATCTCTTACACTAGCATCAGCTTAGCTGGTTCTTACAGTTTTGGCCAATATTATTACATCCATCTATGCTGGGTTGAGCCCAGACAGCAGCTAAGCACCCACCAAATGCTTACTCACTCTCCTCCCGCAGTGGGATGGGGGAAGAGAATGGGAAGAGCAGAACAGAATAACTCATGATTTAAATTTAATAAGTGACAAAAAGGACAAAAGAGAGTAGAGGGGAAGGACAAACCAACTCCCAACATCAAACCAATGCCCAGCCATCCTCCAAGCAACAGCTACTTTGAAAAACAGGTCCCCATCCCCATCTGTTTTTATTGCTGAGCAGGATGTTATATGGTATGGAATTCTTTGATCAGGTGTGCTGTTCCAGATGTGTCCCCTCCAAACTTCCCTACTTACTGAGGGGGCAGAGTGAGAAATGAAGGCCCTGATGCTGTGCAAGCACTGCTCAGCAACAGCTGAAACAAATCTAAAACACAGCACCACACAGGCTGCCATGAAGAAAATCAACTCCATGCCAGCCAGATCCAGTACACCACCCGAAATCCTGAACTGCAAAAAAGGACACAGTCACTTTCAGTTATGCTTTTGTCCTCTCTTTTCACTTTGCTTAGGCCAGTCATTAATGGTTTTGTTAAGATTAATGTGACTTTGTTTCTGTGAGCTACCTGAAGTTACACAAGAATGTGCACTTACACAGCAACTTAGTACATACCCATTTGTACAGCCTTGCTCCATGGTGAAAGTAGCTTTCCCTTTTTAATAAGCAGTTTTATCTATTTAGCTAAGTTAGTGCACAAGTAATATACAGCACATACTTAAAACTCACCTTATTTTTCTCATTTTGAATTACTTCTAATAACTGAGCTGCATACCCATCTTCTAAACATTTCTGACCTGCTACCTGAAACAGATTAAAATCTTCTCCTTTGAAGTCAGCTTCTTCCAGAATTTGCTGGAAAGAAAATATGCATATTCAATCCCACACTTATAAAAGGCAAATAAAAAATAAGAAAATCCAAGCTTTCATATCAAAATTAAATATAGTGTCATCATAACTGTTCTTAGATACATCTTTCACGTATTAAAAAAGCTACGGAGAGCTACTACAGAAGACAAAGCAGGACTTCAATAGTACTAAGTCTGACTACAACATACTAATTGGAAGATGGATTTTCTACAACAACCTGCCAGGGATTTGTTCCTTTAGACAGGTACTGCTGAATGCAAGAATACTTCTTTCTCCAGAAAGCAGCTGTCAAGGAGCTTGGGTAGACAAGTCCGTTAGTGACATGGGTTAGTGGTGGCCTTGGCAGTGCTGGGGAATGGTTGGACTTGACGATCTTAAAGGTCTTTTCCAACCTGGTTCATTCTGTGATTCTATGATAAGTGCTATGGAGAAGTCAATGAAAAATGAAGGATCAACTTAGCTGCCCAATGAGTTTAGCTAACTGTCTTCTGTTTTGGGGTCATTTTGGTTTTAATTACAATATATGAAAAGAAATACACACTGCTTGCACTTGTTACTCTTATGGAAAGATTACTTACACATCTTTGTATTATGGCTTGAAGCTCATCAACCGCCATTGTAGTTTGCCTTTGATCTTCTGGCATTGAAAACTAATTAAAGAGTGCAATATTAAAACACATGAAGTAAAAACAGAGACAGACACTGCATTTTCTGGGTCTTTTCTCACCAGAGGAGCTCCTGCTCAGTCCTGTCTGGAACACTCTAACCTCATGCCTGGGATACGCACAGCTGACCCAACCACCATGCCAGTTTTTACCAACTAGTCCAATCAAGATTACATATATAATAACATTTATTTCTTTCTAGTCTCTAGGTGAGACTATTTCAGTGGCCTTTTACCTCTAGATACTACAATGTAAAACTTTCTTGGTAAAAGCAATTAGCTTAAACATTTGAATAATGTTAAGTATATACAAAGTTTTACATAGTCAGGATCACAAATCACAGATAAAATCAAGCTTGGTTATCCCATGTAATACACCACAGGCATAATCTTTAAGCAATGCTATATGCCTAAACCTGGTTATATGATTACTATGAGCATCAGTTATTTCCACACCTGGACAACTCTTCACCAAAACACCCAAGTTCCACATTTATACAAACACATCAATGTAACATCCTCAAGCTTTCCTCTTACATTTGTCCTATGCTGTGTCACACAACATCTGGATTACTAAAACATGAACTGGATGTTTACAAAAAAGAGGCAAAATCCTAGAAAGCATCTATGTGTGAGTTTTATTATTTAATGAACAAACAACTCATGTTCTATTCCAACAGCCTATTTTAACATTTTCACGTCACTGCAGTCTATCCACGTGTCAAGCCTGTCATTTTAATTTGGTCATTATCATACACTTTATTACCATATGCTGTAAATAAGCTCTTCATTTTACAGGATGTTACTAGTCTTCCCAAAACAATTTAAACATTTAACATTTAAACATTTAAATTTAAACAAATTGAACATTTAAACAAATACTTAAACTAAACATTTAAACAATGAAACGTCCTTCTGAACGCCCATATTCGTGCATTGTCAACCCTCGGTCACTTCACAGTGTACTTACAGCCTTGACACATGCCCTGAATGAACACCCCCCGAGCTGCCCCAGGGACTTATCTTTAATACTTAATCCAGTTTATAATTAAGTCTTCCCAGAGGTTTCAGCGGCAAGCTGACAGCAGCTGAACCACGTGAGACGGAAGCCTCCCAGCCACGGCTGAACTAGCAAGCACCAGGCCGCCCTCCCGCTACCCACCGGCTCGGCTCACCTCAGCGGCCGCAGCCCCCACACCGATCAGCCGTGCCCGCCGCAGCCCTCACACCGATCAGCCGTGCCCCTTCGCAGCCCTCACACCGATCAGCCGTGCCCCTCCGTAGCCCTCACACCGATCAGCCGTGCCCGCCGCAGCCCTCACACCGATCAGCCGCGCCCCTCCGCACCGACCGCTCCCCACACAGCTCGGCAGCCTCCCGCTGCGCCCGGCCCACGCCACGCCGCGATGGCGGCTCCGCCTCCGGGTGAAAGGTCAGAGGGCGCGAATGAAGGAGGGAGCGGGCAGGCGCGATGATGGCGGCCGGGAAGTCGCGATGCAGCGAGAAGGGGAAAGTCAGCCGGCGGCGTAAAGGTAGGTTCCGGGCTTGCTCTTCCCGTCCGGTGCTTTGGGCTCTGCTCTTAAGGACTCGCACAACTCGCTGTACCCGGGGGAGCGGCTGGGCGGGCTCGGCGGTGGGCCGAGTGAGGGGGGGTCGGCCTCCACGCTGTGGGAGTCCTAGGGCCCGGTGGTCGTGCAGCCGGTCGGAAAACGGCGTATTCCAAGGATAACAGCCCGTTTGGGACCCTATCTGGAGTACGGCGTCCAGCTCTGGAGTCCTCAGTACAGGAAAGACATGGACCTGTTGGAGAGGGATCCAGGAGAAGGTCACAAAAATCATTAGAGGGCTGGAGCGCTTCTGTGAATAAAGGCTGAGAGACTTGGGATTGTTCCGCTTGGAGAAAACTTCGCGGAGACCCAGTTGCCGTCTTTCAATTCTTAAAAGGAGCCTATAAACATGAGGGAGACTTTTTAGCGGCACCTGTTGCAATAGGAGGAGTGATGGTTTTAAACTGAAAGAGGGGAGATTTAGGCTGGATGTGAGGAAGAAATGTTTTACAATGAGGGTGGTAAAACGCTGGCCAGAGAGGTGGTGGATGCACCATCCCCGAAGACATTCAAGACCAGCCTGGGTGTGGTTCTGGACAACCTGGTCTACTTGAAGATGTTCCTGTTCGTTGCAGGGGAGGTTGGAATAGGTGAGCTTGGAAGGTCTCTTTTGATGTAAACCATTCTACGATTGTATGGTTATTTTCCCTCACTATGTTCCTTGTCTTAAGGGAGCCGCTGCCCTAGTCCCCCATGTCAGTATGCAGGTCAGGGCAGGCAGAGCCTTGGGGCAGCCTGCAGAGGTGAGTGGAGAGCCAGGGTAAGTACGATTGGCAGAAAATGACTGTCAGAATTACTTTTCCCTTAGCTTGCTAGCTATATAGAACATGGTGAGTGAGAGTATGAAGGGAGTTGGGCCTTTCTGTCCTCACACTTATGAGAAGCATGTTCAACTGGTTGCTGAATGATTACTAGCTTACTGGGGTTACTCTCGGCCACAAAAGCAAGTTTCTAAGCAATTCTTGTGATTATGCTTACTGTTTAGAGGTTTAATATTTTTCAGATTCTATGGTTTTCCACTGTTAAAAAAAGTACACTCCTGTATTTCTATGCGTGTATATTTATTTCTAGGAAATAAGAATCCAGATGCTCTGAAGAATGAAGATGCTGCTCAAAGGTATCATTTCTAACTGATAATTAGTGGCATTCATGTTGGTTTGCCCTAGTTTGAAATCTCATTCTCTGCCTCGCATGTTTTTTTGCTTTCTCAGAGTACTATGGCTTTCAGGCGATTGCCAGCATCAGCGTCTTGCGGGCTTGTTTGGAGTGATGCTGTGTAACTTCTAACAGCATGCACATACATACCTTGGATAATACACTAATAGTTTATGACTTTAATCTCCCCAGTTGTATTTCCCTAGTCCGTAGTGCTTGCTCTTTGTCATCTTAACTTCTCTGCATACCTGCTGTTTTTCTTTATTCACTTTAAAACCAAACTTGAGAGGAAAAAACACTTTTTGCCATGGACATTTACCTGAATATTCACTTGGTTCTGTAACAGAGGTAGACTTCCAGTGTAGACCTCTGTTGGTTAGGACAGCAGAATTCACTGTTCATTGACAGCCTCTGTGGAAAGCACTGCCAAATGGAAATCAAGCAGAGATGCTTGTTTTCTGAGTATTTGCTGGCAACACAATAGTGGCAAGACTCAGGAGCACTCAGGAAAGTTACTGAAGTGGGATTTATTAGTTTTATTCCTTCCTTTACTTTGTACCCTCACACTTAGTCTTGTCCCAGTCCTTTTTTCTTCCTGTTCTTTATGTTTCATTCAGCTCCCGTACTACTGGCAACACTCCCTAAATTGTTCATCCCAGGCTCTTTGTGCAGCCAGTCCTGTGTTTCCCTCTTCTGCAAGAAGAGTTGTGTAACCTTTTATGGCAATAATGTAGTGCAAAAAGAGTCGATGCTTTTCCTGACCAGGGTGGAAATAAAGCAGACCAAGGTTGGAAACTCCTTTGTGGTTACTCCAGAATTACTGGTCCATTACTTTGTACTTCTGCTTTGTTTGCCCAACATGGTGTGATGCAGAAAAATGTAAGCTACTGTATTTCAGAAAGATAAAGATATGATGGGAGAATTGTTTATGAAGTCTGCCCTCTGTGTCTGTTACAGGAAAGCAGCTCTGGAGGCTGCTGTGAGAAAGAAGATTGAATTTGAAAAAAAGGCGTTGAATATTGTTGAACAGCTCCTGGAAGAGAACATTACTGAAGAGTTCCTTCTGAATTGTGTAGGTGTTGCAAGTTTCATACTGTTCTGTATTTTTTATGTTCAGATTTACTTATTTAAGTTCTTGGAATGATTTACTGCAGTTTAAAATAGACGAACCATTTATTCCCTCTCATCAGCTCTGATGATGATTGTCTTATTTTAAGGGTTCTGCTGCTGCTGATTGCCTTATTTTCAAGGGCTCTGTGGTGAAAACATGCCCTAGTTTTGCAGGACTATTCATTTATTACTCCTCACTTTATTACCACAGCCTTTGTTAAGGCCTCTGTGGTTCTGGGCTGATAGATGAAGTATAAAAATTTAGGTCTATTATCACATCATCTGTGAATTCAGACAAAGTGTCTGTAATGCTCCACAGCTTATCAAGCAGCACAGTTTTGCTGGAATGGTATGATGATTGCTTCTGTTAAGGTTGTAAATAGGTGTAAAAAGCCATATATATATTACTGAGGTAGGTGCCACACTAGAGGCAAAATTATGAAGATCTTGTATATGTAAGAAGTGTCCATGTCTGTCTTCTTTCCCTGTTTACCCTGTTACTGTTTTTACTGTATAGGTTCTAAGTGTTATTTATTAAACTTTCTAGGTAACTGTTACAAAATTAAAAATATTTACTTGCTTACAAGATGTTTCGAGTACAAAAAGTGGCAGATTTTCCAGTATCTGTTGTTGAACTATTCCCTTGTCATTTTAGGGAAAATATATTACCCCATCTCACTATAAAGACATTGTTGATGAACGGTCTATCATCAAACTGTGTGGTTATCCTCTATGTCAAAATAAACTGGAAAATGTAAGTTGTTTTTTCTTAATGCTACTACCGTAAGAATCTCTTCACAGTTTTTATTCTCTTGCATTTTCTTGTTAATTTTCAACTGCCAATATTAAACATAGATTAAAATACTGTCAAGTAATGGGCCAGGCATCATATCATTCTGTTTCAGTATAATCCTTTTGAAGTAACAGGTATCATTTGATCAGTTGACAACCATTAGTATACGACAGAATCAGCATCTACTTTGACAGTAATAAAGATGAATGAGGTATGGCGCCGTGTCCATCCTTTGTGCATGCAGAAACTTTCTAATTTTGTTCCTTCAGTGTAACCACATATGTGAGAAAGATTGAAGTGGAAAAAATAATACAACACAGGGATATTACTGTGTGAATGCATATACATCTGCTCTAAAAACGTATGTTTCCTGTGTCAGAATTGTAATCACGCTTATTTAGGTTTGGTAAGTCGGAGCTCAAGCAAAAGTCAGAGTCCAGTTAGATAGCCTGTGATGAAATACCAGTTGTGGTACACCTGATGCTCTGAAAAGAACTTACTCAAGTGAGAAAAATTTTGCTGTTTTGGACTTCTTACGTCTCCACATAAGTTCACTGGGAAACTGCATTACATTTTAAGTTCCTTTCTAGGTTTGTGTGGGTAGTGGTGGGGGTCTCTGATAGTAGTCTCGCATGTGTATAAGTAGGTATGGATTAAAGAAGGACCTGTCTGTAATTGCTCAACACTCACATGTGAGTAAATTTCCTACAAAGCATCTCCATTGTTTGGTGCTAGCTCTTGTAGATCTGAAGTTGTCCTCTACTGATGGTGAGATGTAAATGATTAAAGATAAATTGCCATTCCAACCATAACAGTTCTGTGATTCTGAGAGTCTTAACATCTGAGAAGGTAAAGTATCAAAAGGACTGAGAGGAAAAAGTGGTTGTGGTATGCAATTCAGTTAAAACAGAACCTGTTACACATTAAAATAGATGAATTAGGAATGAAGTTTTCTGTAATGTCATGATGAAAGCAACAGTCTTGCTAATGAAAGCAACAGTCTCGCTGATGAAAGCATTTTTGGTTTAGGTGCTGAAACAGAAGTACAGAATTTCAACAAAAACAAACAGAGTTTATGACATCACAGAAAGAAAGGTATGGAAACAAGTCTATTTCTAAACTGTATTTGATATTGTCTCAGCATCAGAAATACTGTTTTGTAACAGCATTCATGTAGTGGCTTGATTTTGAGCCAGTGGGGTTCTTGGGAAAATAATTTTCATGAACTGTTAGAATATGAAGGTTTTCATGCATTTCAATTTCTAGTTGTTCTCTTTGGAAAGAGAAAACTCCACGTTTTCTAAGTTTAAACATAAAATAGAAATTTTTACTTGGTTTGAATGTGGTGCAGCTGATCAGTTAAAGACATCTGTGAAGAAGTGTTCTCTGTTTTGCTCCACTGTAGTCAATGAGCTTTAGTAGGGTCAAAGTGGACATCCTTCTCATCCACTCGTTTGTAGTAGTGTGATACAAGTTCCATCTCATGCATTCCTTAGTGTGACTACCTTTAGGGTTCTGCTTTGAGAACTTTTCAGCATAAAACCTACGTCTTCACGAAGTCTGTCTCTTTCTTGAAGCATATTCATGTATGGTTACCTAAAGGTCGTCTTTGCCTGCTCACAGGATACTCAGTCACCTATATGTGCTAAGACACTGAATTGTAGGAGAAATGTTTCTAGTTCCAGAAGAAATTTCTTCTGTGTCACTAGTACGTATTCCTTTCCTCTGATTACAACTCTGGGATACACAAAACTGCGGGAATTAATTTTTCAAGCTACCAGGCAAGACTCCAAAAAAGTGGGATGTTTTGTCTTGTTCCCTGATGTGCAAGTTTATTTTTCAAAGACGCTGCAATACTTAAGGTGTTTTTCTGAGTACTGCAAAATACCCAAGTTCTGTGGCTAACCAAAATTTTCACTGTTAACTGCCTGAATTTAATTGCATGACTTTTATGCTGTATGACCATCTTGTTGGGTTAGGAATTGTTCTTTGAACAGGTTTGGGTGCTTTTTTAATTATTGTCATGTAGACTTCAACACTATTTTGCTTCTCAGTATGTAATAAAAGCACAGAAAGCAGAAAAGCAGGGAAGAAGTAAGAAGCTAAAAGTGGCTTGTGGGGGGTGGGGTGGACCTATTTGTTAGGTTTGGTTTCTCAGATGAATTAAAAACCTGGTCAGAGGCCTAAAAAGAAATGTGAATTGATACTTCAAAAAAAAAAAACCAATTACTTTTCTACCTTTCTATGAATACTGAAGTTGTCTTTAGTAATGTATTCTTGCTTTCTTTCATTTCCAGTGCTTTTGCAGCAACTTTTGCTATAAAGCATCCAAATATTTTGAAGCTCAGATTTCCCAAAGTCCAGTATGGATGCGAGAAGAAGAAAAGTAAGTATAACGTTGTACATCCATTGCTCCTTTTGAGAATATTATTTTCTCTGACCAAGCTGCAATGCTTATTCCTTAGCTGCAGTGAATCAGAATGATTGGGCTGAACTAGAGGTAACTGATGTTAACAGCTTAGCGTGGTGTTGATTTTTAAAGTAGTGTTGCCATATCCATTACAGTAAGTGACATACTTATCGCTACTTGTGACTATTTAGTAGACAAGACTTATGTTAGTTTAGTTTAGACGGAAGACTAGTCATAATTAATAGTCAATTCCTGAACTTTAAATTGTATTTACTGGAACTGGATTTTTCCAAACCTATAGTGTATGAATTCATCTTACTCTGTTACAGGAGATTTTCCAATTTTAACACAGCAGCTGTCTTTGGTCTGAAGGTTAGAGTGTGAACACTTGCACCTCAGAGCAGACTATAACATGAAGAGGTTCTTTATCCTGTCTAAACTTCAAATTGTCCATTTCCTGTTGAAACTTCAGTACACATGTTGGAACAGGGTGATGCAGTCCATGTTCCCTGCTTAGGAAACACAGGCTTGCAAATAATGATTTGAGCCAATGGGTGTCACTGTTTAACAATAGATACTTGCCTAGAGAATGTTCAGCTGAATTTATTCTGCTTTTGTTCTCTAAGGTGCTAATTTTGATAGTCTACTGGTTTTCAACAAAAGAAGCTAGCTGAAATTATATGTTTGAGCTTGTTTTTACAGTTCGGATCAGTCATCTGAATCAGTATCCGATCAATGAGAGAATTGGTTTAGAGCAGCCTTATGGGATCTGAGGGATTTTAATAGGTAAAACTCGTCTCTTAATTGAATGTTTAAGTGAGTTTACCAGTATTTTTGTGCTTTTGTTTTTCTGTCTTTAAAGAAAGTATTTCTAAAATCTCCTTTTATTCTTGACATCAAAAGTGTATAGTTCTGATATGCCTGACATAGTTAATTATGCTGTGGGGAGGGAGGTTTTTCCAAACAACAAACAAAACCCCAGATAGCTCATGGCTAGGTATGTCTGTTTGCACAGTCAGACGTGCACATGCTGATACACATTTACACATTAGGTTATCTGAAATTCTTTTAACAGAAAAGACTGGAAACTCCAAACTCTGAAGAACAGTTATATATAATAACTTAAAGCATTTCATGTTATCACCTTTAGTTCCAAAGTTAATTCATTCGTATGAGTTGTGGAGCTTTCATCTTTTTAAGCCTATGGGGGTTTTTATGTACTGAGATGTGTTAGTGCATTGACTTGCATTTAGTGCATGCTTAAAAGGCTTTCTTTCATTTGTAAAACAAGCAGGTGAGGATTTCGACTTTTAGCATTGTATAAAATGAAGAGCATTGTCATGCTACCTCATAACTGAGTTGAAGCAGATAAACTGCAAGTAGAGCTTTGGAAAGAAACCCATCAGAATTGGTTTAGTAATGTTTCTTAGAGTTTCTGGAAACCTTTGAACCCTGTTTTCTTAAGGCAGGGTAACCTGAGAGCCTAATTTTTACAAAGAAAACTTTTAAATAAATAAAAGATACCCTGAATGTTCATATTTTTTACATTAATTGGGAGCGTTTTCCTGTAAATATCCCAGGATTGTTTTTACTATAGAAACTTTGTGACCTATGAAGATCTTGGCATGTTTACTTTGTTGAAGAGACCAAACAGTGATCTGAAAGCAGTCTACAACTACTTGAAGGGAAGTTGCAAAGATTACAGAGCCAAATTATGCTTGGTTGGTGGCAGAAAACTTAGCAAGGGGTGATAGCCACAAATTATTGCATGAATGGTACAGGTTGGACATTGTGGGGAAAAACTGCACCAAGGTTATAGTGGAATGAAACAGGATACTCAGCAGTGTTTTGAAATCTCCATTTTTGGAGGTTTTCAAGATTTAAACTTCATGAATTTGTGGATGACCTGATCTAGTGCTGGTGACAATTGCAGAGGTCAGACTAGAAACTTCCAGAGGTCCTTCCTGACCAACATTTGTGTGACTTGCTGGTTCTATTAAATGTTGTTTAATGTAACAGCATCATGCTGCAGGCACATGTCATGCTCTGTGAACTGTTATGTATAAACCTGCTCTCGCTAACCCTGATTTGAACAGAGGGTATTGGATTAGAAGATTCTTGGATATCCCTTCCAACTTCAACTATGTATCCCATGTATTAATCTTTATTTAAAGAGCATTGATTTAGCAGGAAAATCTTCATTCTGTCTTCTTTTTGCAGGCCACCAGACATAGAGCTGCTGAAGAAGGGACAGAGGTACACTGAACAATATTTTTTTTCTGTTATAGGCGCTTCTAGTTAGAAATATTAGCATTAAATCAGGTGAAAGGGGAATCTTTGATTTCCTGTGTTATACAAAAGACCTTATTAGAGCCTACACAATGGGGGGGGGATTTCCTTTGTGATTCTAGACCAGCGTATTTGATCTGTATGATTTAGTATACAGCTGCTCTTGGCCTCTATGTCTTAATTGAGCCTGTTGAAATCTGAAACAAATCCACTGTTTATAGTTTGCATATTTTATAACATCTATTCTTTATAAAGAAAATGGTACCAATTATATGTGATGAAAGCTTCTGTGCTTCTTAATCTAAAACATCCATATCGGCTAAAATGAAATCATGCTACTCTGTCATCTCTCTGTACCTTGCTGTGTATTGTGGTTTTTTTGTTTTGTTTTGTTCGCTTTCTTTTGCAATGGCCATTAGGTGGCAAACTTACATATGCTGAAACCAGCTCTGCTTCTCCCCCTGATTTTAGGATAGTGTATTCCTATATATGTTAAAGCACCCATCTTCATTTTAGAATTGCAGTATTCTTCGTGCTAAGTCATACATTATTCTGTTGTCTTCAGTAATACCTTGTTTACTATTTCTTTTCTAACTGCCAATAAGCAACTGAGAACTCGCTTATCTAAATGGTGTCTACATTTGTCATCTTGATTGCAAAACATCACAAGTCTTCAGTTCAAGATGGCTTTTAGAAGAGCAGCTATGATTCTTAAAGCTTCCCTTCTGCTATAAGAGAAAAATGCTTTATTTATCTAATAAAGAATGAAAAGCAGGTAACACCCTTTCTTATTTCATTGATGGCTTGTGTTTTCTGTTACAGTGGACAGTCTGGAGAAGAAGTGAAAATATGTGATGAGACAATTAAAGCATCCGACATTGAAAATCATAATCCATGTGAATCTGCTTCTCAAGACAAAGCCAGTGACAGCAGTAGTGATACCGAACAAGAATTTGTTTCTTCTGTCCTACCAGGAAGTCAGTCAAGTTCAGCCAGTATTGCACAGCAGTTGCACAGAAACAGCATCCTCAAAAAGAAGCCTGCTCAGAAAGTATATTCCAGCCCTAAAACTGAAGACTCAGATGTGGTAGAAGTCACTGAACGACTATCTAATTGTAAATTAGATGCTCAAGAAGAAAAACGTGCTTGCTCTGGTCATAATGAAGTAACTGTAACACCTTCAACAGGTGTGACCCCAGGGAAACCAAGTGCTTCAGAAAACTGTGAAAATACCTGTGGTTCACAGATAGTTTATCTAGGTGTGAGCAGAAGAGGGGCAGAACATCTTAAAAGAGCACTAGCTAACTCAAAGGAGCATAGAACAGCAGAACTGAGGCATCCAGTTAATTCCAAGGGCAGTTTATTACAAGTGCTTAAGCAAACACTTACAGAATGGAGAACTGAGGAAACTTTAAAATTTCTCTATGGCCCAAACTACAGTTCTTTATGTTCTTCAGAGAGCATAGCATCTGCTGACCGGGAGAATGAAGAGCTTGATGAGGATGACTTAGATACAGCTGATGATCTTAATGCTGGTGCTGTAGGGGGGTCTGAAAACAGTTTGAACTATTCATTACCTTTCACAGGCCCAGGTGGAATAGTTAAGCCAGTGCCTAGTTATGAAAAGTTAAAAGAAGAAACAGAGTTCCTACAACTCCGAGTAAAAGAGTTCTATAAAGGAAAATGCATCTTGGCTGAAGAGGCAGAGACAAGTGCACAAGCAGAGGAACATCCAAGCAAAGATGAGGTAAGTGTCCAGTGGAATAGTGTTGAGGCAGTTTTGTTTCTGTCATCGTAAGTGGATAAGTATCTAGCATAGGGAAGGGGAAAAGCAGGTTAACACACTGTACATTGGGTCAGATTAAGCAAGCTTCTGTGCAGTAAGTTTTTGTGTTGTTTTTCTGTGTTTAGGTTGTTTGGTTTTTTTCTATTTGGGGTTAAGAGTTTTCTTATGTTTAAACATTTATTGTTAAGCTGTGACTATTTTGATGCATTGACTTTGAAATATTATGTTATAGCTGTTAAAGTTTTTTTGTCTGGTACAGGATGATCAGCAGGAAGATCTCACCTTCCCACTTGTTGATTCAAATGCACAAATGCAGATTAGAAAGAGAATCGTCCTTGAAAAACTCAGAAAAGTGTAAGTATCCTTTACTTTGGTGAGTGTCAAGCTGAAGTCGCTGCTCATTCAGCATCATTTAACGTAACAAACACTATGCAAGGACATTCTGGCTTTTTCTAGGTGGCCTTAGCCATAACTTAAACCTGTTACTGCCCTAAAGAACTTATTTCTGAGACAGTCATCTGTGGTACAGTTGCAAAGGTTAGTTGTTACAGGCATTCAGCTTTTCTGTGGTTGTAGTTTGTGTTAGCAGCCAAACTAGATTTTCCTAAAACACTTCATTCTGTTTCTCTCTACCTGCTAAAAGTGTGGATGAGCCACAGACATGGAATCAAACCATGCTTCAGGTAAGGTGGCTCTCTCTGACCTTTCTGTCAGTGTCACAGGACTAGTAAAGCAGTTTCTCAACACCTTCAAAATTTTCCCCAAGTTTATCAGTCATTTTCAGCCTCTAGCAAAATTTCTGTTAAAAGTTTGGTACTTGATAAATAGGGGGTAAGAAAAACAGACTGAATTTTTTCATCTTTGAAGGTTTTATTCTTGACTATCTGCTTCTTTAGTTGGTTGCTTTAAATATCATGCCATGCAGTAGTCCTGTCACACTCCAGTCATAGAGACAATGTTCATTGTGATAAAACAATGATTTGTTGGTGTGTTGAGATGAGGTAAATGGGCATATGAGCCAGCATCCCAAGAGCCCTGTGTTCAGTTTTTGTAAAACAGGCAGTGATAGAAAGGTGAATCGAAGTCTTGATTCTTCAGCAGTATTGATGCATCATATGCATATAAATGTAAATAACTGGATATTCAAATGCAAGAGGATAGTAACTATTAAACAAGTAAATAGAGGCAAAAGTTTAATCCTGAATGTGAAAACCAATGCATGTTATTTCCAGCATCTGGGGATACTGACAACTAGTTAAACAGCACGTGTGGTTTGTTGTGTGCTGTATCAGTTTTACACACAGTCAAACAGGGAGGCAGTCTGTAGTCTTCTTTCTTTTTAAATGTTCTGATGACCTTACTATTCTCTTGGTTTCAACTATCAGGCTTACAGTGGAATGTTATTCTTGCTGCAGCCATGTGAGCCTGCAGTTAGCAGATATATTCTCTGTGCAAACCTTATTTAGACATGCAGTTTCCTTTAGTCTGTTAATTTTAAACCAAATAAATACAAATATTTGAAACATTTATGACACTTTGATGTCTAACCCTCATAATGTAGACACTTTGATTTTTTTGGTAAGGATGTCCTGTCAGAACAGAAACATGAAGTTAATAATAGTAGTAGTAAAACTATGTTTAGTTGTTTTTCATGTTCACACTGAACTAGAAATTCTTATTTGTAAAAACAAGCCATTACAAAGTGAAGGTGTTGCCCAGACACCACTCAGAGGAATCTGAAATGTAAATCACTGGCCTCATCTGCTGCACAAAAGTCCATCTCTTACTAACTTTGCTGAGCTTTGATGGAAGGCCTCCTTGAGAAGAAATAAGAAAGAGGAAAGTGTATATTGACTGGTGTCTTTTGCCTTCCAGACTGCCTGCAGTTTTGGGCCCTCTTCAGATTACTCCGGGTGATGTTTATACAGAGCTGAAAAATCTTGTCAGAACTTTCCGGTGAGTATTGGTCTTTATTTGGAGATTCTTTTTGCTTGATTAATTAAACATGCTGTTGAATGTTTGTGATTTAGACACTGAGAGGGCCCCATTGCGGATTTGCCCTTTCCTAGCTGTGTGTTCATGTAGTTAATGTCACGTTCCCTGTGGACTTACAAGTCAAGCCTTTCCCTGCTCCTGCCAGTGGCTAGGTCACCAGGAGTATTTGTAGGTTTCTAAAAACTAGGCCAGTGGTCTCTGGAGGATGGTGGTGAGTCTTTTAAAAGTTCTGCTACCTCGTCACCTCCTATTAAGTGTGAGTTTCTGAGATCTGTCGCTTTCTTTTGCTCTGGCTCCCTACAGCTGGGCTAAATGGTTTTACTGTGATTCATAATTGTTACCACTAACTTCTAGAGCCAGGAATAAGGTCCGGTTTGGCCTGTCCCCTTTCCTATTTCAAGGGGAAGTAGGTCTAGTGGACACTTTAACACCACAGCTGAAGTTTCTGGTTCAGTCAGAAGCAGTAGAGGCAGTATTTGGAAACACTGGTATAAAGAGGGAGGGAGAGAAAACGGCATGGTGGTAACTTCTCTGAGCAATTTTAGGTTTTCTTTAGGACATAGATATCATAACTTGGACCTAGATTACGTCCTGCATCTTGAAGTATTGTCAGGAAAAGGAGCAACAGCAGTTGCTAACTCTATGTACATTGTCACTCTTGAAAATTTCCCCCCAAATCCCCAACTTGCAAGAGGTTTGCATGTAAGTTATCCAAAACTCATTCATGTGGTTTTTGTTTTGGTGCATAGAAACCCATCTCTACCTGATTCCTTACGATTTATCTGACATCTGGTAGGACAGCACTAAAACACATAGCAAGGAATTGCCCATTTAGATATGGAGGATATTCTTTTCCTTTCTGGTGGCTCTCTGCATGATCTCTAAGACTTGTTAGTGTTTGAACTTGATTCTGTAGTTGAAGTCTTTTAAGATGTGATTAACCTTTTATTTTACCAACAGCACTGAAACCAGGGAAGGTATTTTGGGTTATATTGGAGCAGCATGTATATACTGTGTGTATATAAATACATATCACTACTATTTGAATAAGATCTTGGTGACTTCAAATAGTTTTGTTGCTCTGCTGTCTAAATGCTTAACAGTCACTTTAGCTTATGGATTGAAACTGGAAAAACTGCATTTGATCTCTCTGTCTGCTTTTATATGATTTATTATGTAGTAATTCCTGGAGGTTCTCAAAACCAGAACCTCTGTATTAAATAATTTTTGCTATGCAAAGACAATGTGGCCTGAATATGATATTTTAAAAGTGGCTTATAGCAAAAGAGCCTCAGAGCCAAAATGGACTTTAAAAACTTAAATCCACAAATGTATGTAAATATACTTACACCATTGAATGAGATCTAATTAATTTGGGCTTTGAACCCAATTCCTGGCTCATGTACCAATAATTTATTATATTTTAAAAGTCTTCCCTGATCTATTTCTGATCCCTAAGATCAACTTTGTGAGTTGAAGTCTTTTCTGTTAGGAAGTTAGTTGAAGATAATGGTAGCAAGTTCGTGGGGCTCTCTTACTGTAAAGATTCCATATATAATTTAAATATATATATATATAATTCCATATAAATTGAATAGTAATTCAGCATTTTGGGAAGGGAACAGTTCAATCAACTGTGGGCACTACACAAGAATTTGTAAGTGCCTTTATACATCTCTCTCTCAAAACAAATGGAGCTTTATAGTCACTGATAGTAAAGCAAAACAAAAATACAGGAAATAGGAAAGCAACAAAAGCCTTTGGGCTCTTTCTCCTTCTTGCATTTCTGATACAGAAGGGTCTGATAAACAAAAGCTGGCTCATGGATATTTAGATGAAGGCATAGGTTTGAATCTCTAGTTCTGTAGACAGGTTTAAATTTACCTAGTATGAGTGGTCTCTCTGATTTTTAGCTGGAATGCTTTGGCAGGGGGCCTGGGATAAGTGTTAAACAGGGTTTATGTTTGCAGGGTATAGAAACTTAAATGCTGCTTTCTTCATTAATGTGGGTAAAATGCTTAATGACTGCGAAGGGAGCACTGGTGAATGCTATTGCTCTTCCGTGCTTTTTTACTGGAAATATTTCGGGCTGAAGAACTTGCCAAAGAAGGTAGGAGATAAAACACATGGCTGTAGTAGAGCTTAGCTGAAGAGGGGTAAAAGAGCATGTGGTGAACTAAGCAACGATTTTCAGCTCCATTGGTTTTTAAAGGAACGCTTGCAGGTCAGCCTCCTTTGGGTAGCATTTTATTCAATCATCAATGCTGGGAAACGCACTAGAGGCATCTCGAGAGACATTTTAGAATGGTTAGAGCTCTTCCCAAACGAAGTCCCTCAGTGCCTGTAAGCTTTTGTTACGAAAACTGAGATGTCAGATAATTCTCCTGGGTGCGTAAGTGCTCTTTGTTAAAAGATCACAAGAAAATCATCTATTTATGTAGAAATTATTGTTAATGTGTGGCTGTTGGGGGATTTTAAAACATAGTATTTCATATTGAAAACAATGTCTTCTGTGTCTTATGATTGCAAGCATTTTTAGTTCCTTTTATGGAGCTTATCATTGACATTGAACTCTATCAATGAATATGATAGCCCTTTCTTAAAGGTGTGTTCAAGAATTTTTGTTATAGCTTTGTCTTACCTTGTTTCCAAGACAATCTGTTAGCTTTTAAATGTGCATCATGAGTGTATGTTATCTAGTGTACGCACTGATTAATAGGTTTTTAACTATTACTCACGTTGAGTGGAATTTTAGGTTCTGGGTTTCAAGTCCTTTTCTAATGACCTTTTCTCAAGTAAATGGCCCTCTCTTAAAGAGAGCCTGAAGTTATAATAGTAGCACATTTTTGTTGGCTGTTACCAAACTATGGTACTACCAAATGATACTACAGAACGTAAATAAGGGGGTAGAGGAGCTGGGGTTTATGGTTAAGCTGGTCTAGTTGAAGCCTAAAGAAAAACAACATATGCTTTAGTATTTGCCTTTCCTGACCTGGGTTAAATAATTTTGTTTATCTTAGGGCAAGTTGTGGAAAAATTCTAGGTAGCTGAGGTCCCAAAGTCACAGCTTTATGTCCTAATCCCATGGAGACAGCTTGCTGCCTTGCAGAACAGGCAAACAGCCAAACTAACAGGTCACATTCTTGAACTGAAGTTAAATATGCTTACACCTGGGATCTGGCTGCCTGAACAAAAAGGCTGCTTCATTTACAAAGATGCTGATGACTTCACTTTGCAGCAAACATCAATTGTAAAATGAAACAAAGAACATCTCCATTTGGGACATGTGTTTTTCACCCAGTGTAAGAACACAGACATGCTGGGCAAAACTGAAAGAGGGCAAACATGGATGGCTTATCAGCACACGTACATTAAGCACCGGTAACTCATTGGTGCTAGCTATTAGTCAAATTCATAGCAACTTGTTAATCATAGATTCATAGATGGCAAGTATATTCTATTATGAGGATAAAAACAAACTTTTAGAAGAGGAAATAACACTCAAGACTGTAATTTATAAATAGGTATAGAGAAAAATACACTTTTAAAATATTATTTTATGTTAACCAGTTACATTTTCTTGCATCTTGTTCATGCTACCTGATGGTACCTGTTCAGCGATAACTATTTAGCATAATAATCCTGGTGTCTTGTCTCATATTCCCCAGTGGACAGTGTTCCTGTTATGCTGTTATTATTTCCTAGAAACCCCAGGAAATGTAATCCTGCTGAGGAAAGGGTGCCGAGCTCCTGCATTGCTGAGTTTCTTTCTCATAATTTCAAGTTTCTTGTGGTCTCTGTCTATGTTCTTGCACAAGGCACTTAGGGATGTGCTTAAATCTGCTGCAACAGCAGGCACTGTTCACAAATCAGGTCATTCTTTGCTAATGGAGTTCTGCTAGCAGAACTGGCATCTGACAGCAGTTAAATAGGAAGACAACTAAAGGAAGAAAAGTAGAACCAATTGTGTATGCTCTTTTTCTGACTTTTTTTGGCTGGACAGGGTGCTGGGCCATTTAATCTAGGTCAGTTCCAGGTTGGACACAGCCTTGAGCAGCATAGTTTTGTGTGAGGCATCCCTGCCTATGGCAGGAGGATTGGAACTAGATGTAAGGTCCTTTCCAACCCAAACCATTCTATGATTCTGTGCTTTGCTAAGAAAGGTTGGACCAGATGATCCTGGAGGTCCCTTCCAATGTGGCATTCTATGATTCTATTTTGGGTTTACTTTTTTTATTTGCTGGTTACTTTAACTTTGGACGCCTCTGTATTCCTGCAATTACTATTACTGGTACTCTTCTGTTTCAGAGTTCACTTTCTTTGGAGGCCGGGCACTAGTCAGTTATTGGAAGGTCATTTGGGAAGGAATTTTTATGCATTTTATGAGGGTGAACCACAACACCCACAGACTAGCAATTAAGAGACCCGCACAGCTATTTGGGATTATCCAGCTTCTGTGGTTTACCTATCCTGCCCTACAGAGGCCAGGAAAGTAGAGATGCTGTTTTGAAATGTTGCATATTGTTTCCTTTCTTTGAGTAGGTGAGGGAGAATTTAGCCAAACTCTTTAACAGAAAACATTTTCACTGCAATACTTCAGTCATGTACACAAAGTTTTGTACAGTTTTAACATTTTCACATTGTATGTTTATGACAGAAATCTACTGACCTCTCTTCCATGGATTGTTCTGAAGAACAGTTTTTCCTGTAGGCAAGACAAAGAATTAATGAACCGTTTTTACAGAGGACTTGCGCTTCCATGTTTTCTGAAAGCTTTGCTCTTCAGAGGCCTTGGTGTTGACACACAGCTTGTTTTTGAAAGTGACTGCCCTTCCACTGCTCCTTTTTATTTCAGGCTTCACACCTGTAGGTTGCTAGCTCTAGTCTGATCGGCCTGAAATGTGCACAAGTGTTTTAGTGCAGGTGTTGTACTGAAAGGTTACTCCTTGTGGAAGCCTGACTGTTCATCCAGCCCAGTGACAGTAATACATCAGCAGAGCCACACTGCCGTATCCTGATGGTTGTCTGTGTCTTTTGACTACCTCCTTCATAAACAGCATATTGATGGCAGTGACTAGTGTTCAGACCTTGCCAATCAATACTAACATTGAATAAGAGTTAATTGACACAAATAACTGTACCTGAGAGGTTGTGTACAAGAATGACACCTTCCTGTCCTCTAATCAATAATAACTCCTTGTAGAGCACTGAAATAAAGCTGCTTTCTCTATTTGACAGAGTTCTCCCAGATGGCTCAGAGCTGTCTTTTCCATTGTGTCTTACCATAGCAGAATAACTGGAATGTTACGTATGAATTGCCTGTCAGGATGATTCCATCAGGCATTTCTTGGTAGCGTTTATCACTGTCATCAGTACCGAGTCAAGATATTCAGCCTTTGTTTTGTCTCTTGTTCTATAGCTAGAAAATGGTACAGTTTACCAGGTGGAAGCTTTGTTGCCAGCTAATGCCATTAAGCTATTTCAAATAGTAATTGGTAAACATGAATCTTGTCACATCAAACTAGAGCCAAAAGATTCAGCAAATACAGATTATTTTTGTTATCTTTGACAATTTCTGTACATGTAGTACAAAACAGGTCTTTTCATTATTTAACAAAACTCAAGCTCTTGAGACACTGCTTGAGTAATCATTGCTTCAAAGCCTTATTTTGGTTGGAAAACTTGGAGAGTTGAGAGGAAAACTAGTTTAATACCACTTTGATCATTCCTGTCTTTGGACTTCATGATCTTTAAAGTCTTTTCCAACCTAAATGATTCTATGATTCTATCCTTAATGAAAATTAGTTTTGTTAATTTTTAATGTTCCAAAATAGGGAAATGCAGAATGATCCTATCAAGCTTCTTAATCATAAATGCGTTTTTAATGACCATTTTAAATATAACTGGGGGGAATTTATTAACAGAACGTGAATTTCAGCAATGAGAAGTACAAATACTTTTATCTTCCCACTTTTTAACACTTTTTTGGTAACTAGATACTTGCCCGAAGAAATTAAAAATGGAAAAAAAAGCCCAAAAACTTGGATGTGAATTTGTTGCCATGTTTTTAACTTTAAGCAGCCTCCCACGTTCACCGGAGCCTGTAGATGTGTTATTGATGACAGGGCAGCTTCACTCGTGGTCTGAATTTATACAAGGCTGTGTAGAAGAGAAGCCTAGAGCAAGAAGGAAGTAAACACAGGGAGGCGCTTGCCGATCGGTACTTCTGTTGGATGGTGCCATGTGTCTGAACAAAATGAATGCAGCTGCCCTTTTTGGGTGCCCACATAGCCATAGCTTCACTTCTAGCTGTGACTGCCATGGAATTGCTTGCCTTGAACACTACAAGTCATGCCTAAATTCAGTGATAGCAACTCACACATGAATTGTTTTAAGTTGCATTAACATTTGACTTAAAGATCTGTTTTACTACAAAGTTCAGCCAAACAGGTCAGCAGGTATAAAACACAGCAGTGCTTTTGTTGAGCACCCATGTGGTTCTTTATTCAAACCTACTTTTCTTGCTCTTATTTCTGCACTGGCTCCCATTGTGTAGTTGTAATTCTGGTTTTCCATTTTTAAATAAAGAATCATCAGAGGATTTTCTCCAGTATCATACAAAATCCATATTAGCTTTTACAGCAAATCTGGATCTGGAGCCAATGGGGGCAAGCTAAGGGTGTAAGAAGGCTCATATTTTCATAAGCACATGTGCAGGGCCTGATAACTTCCCAGTGGGTATGAGCGAGAGGGGAGTCCTCACAGCAGCCAGGCCTATTTGTGAGCTAATTTAAAGAATTAGCTTCTGTTCAGTTTTCCCCATCTCACTTTTATATCAAAAAAAAAAGAGGCACATTGGGAATTCTGCAGTTCCTCTGTTACAGGATAAGGTGAGAGAGAGAGAAGCTTGAAAGCTGTGAATTGCTCAGCTACAGCTGTAAATGGTACATCATAACTAGGTGTATTAAGTCTTTTAATGGTAGACTTAAATCAAAATTCAGCAGTTACAATTCTGCTTATTTTCACTTTGAAATGTTCTGATATTTTTTCTTATTATTTTTCAGGTTAACAAACAGAAATATTATTCACAAAATGCCTGAATGGACTCTAATTGCTATTGTTTTGTTATCTGTGTAAGTACCATTTAATGTCAAACATTCTCATATGTAACTGCTTTAGCCTATCAAGACAAGATGTAAGTTTCAGATAAAAGGAGGGAAACTTTAAGTTGGGAATCAACAGAAATGTTTTTTCATGTAAATGAACTGTATTTTCTCTTGACAAACCAGGTTTGTCCCACGTGCAGTAGCACATTAACAACGAACAAACTTAGTGTCATGTTAAAAAACAGTTAAGCTTTAGTGGTTTTTAAAGAGGGCTGGTGGGGTGAAGGAGTATTCTTCACTCTCCTATTTGCTGCTGACAGATATTCTTCTCTGTTACAGCAGGACAAAATGACATGTATTATTTGGATTGTATTATTTGGAGTTGGCATAACTGTTACACTTTTAATTTCTCATTTTACTTAATTTCTTAAAAGATTTTACTTTCACAAATTAAAGGCCAATTATTTCCATAATATGGAAATACTGTTTCCATATTTGCTTCTACATATATTTGTTTGAATATTCTAGCAAACTTATTTGAGAGAGGAAAGCTTTTTTTAGCAACTCCCAAATATCTGAAAGGAATATGGGGACCCAGTGTTTTATTTCTATAAGGATCAGCTTTATTGCTTAAGATTATGATACTACAGTACCTATAGTCCTCCTTAGCTTTATTCTACTTACTGTAGAAATAAATTCTTTCCAAGGGTTTTCCTAACGGGAAGTCTGATTTTATTATAGTGTCTTTCAGTCAATGTCTATATACAGACATAATATATAAAAGCTATAGTAATATGCGTTAAGTAACTTCCTTAATTTATATTTTCCAAATTCATTCACTTTTCTGAAGTTAAAGGTACAAACTGGTATAAACCAGATGGTTTTCTCACCTATCCATTTTAAACATTTAACATGAGTTCACCTTTTAAGCAATCACTGGTGGTTTCACACAGTGTCAGGCCCTGACTTTCAGTAGGGTTAAACCATCAAGCAATCTTTGCATGTCTTTCAGCTTGAATTACAAGACTGCAAAAATCTTTATTCCAGAGGCTGGTTATTACCACACCGCTGCTGCTGCTTTTGGGCTTCCTGGGTCACTGGAGCCTGTAGGACAGAGACGTACTTACAGACATTCAAAGGTCAAGAAGAGTTGTGGGCCAACCTTGTAGCATCCCCAGTACTGCACTTACTTTCCTTGATATTACTTCAGTCTGACACATTGTTCTGGCTTTACTGTCCCAAGGAAGACTATACCAGCAGGCATTAGAGCAGGCTTCAGCGAGCCTTACATCTGTGTCACCCAGCCGGATACCGCTCAAATGATTCATTAAATCAGAACACAGAAAGTAACTTTACTTGAATGCCTTGGCATGAATTTTTTATCAACTATAAGAACAAATCTTTTGTCATTTTTACCATATATTCTTATGGTTGAATTGGTAATTTGTGAAACAGATCTTATGAATTTTTCAAGTAGTCTCTGTACAGTTAAGGAAATGGTGACTCTTTTGGTCAGAAGTTGAAATACATTGCTGGTGTCTCTGCAAATGATGAGCTCTAAATGTTTACATACCTAATGACTGCTTTATAATTGATTTAAAATGTTCTGCAAGTAGCAGGCGGTCATGGTTCTCTGTTTATACTGATTGCTGTCAAGGGCCCAACCCTAAACAAATGAATTGATCCTAAAATAGAGTAGATTTTGTTGTTGTTCTAGTGAAATCATGAATAAAACTCCTGTTGACTTCAGCTTTTGTAAGGTCCATGAAAGCTCAGGATCTTCAGATTTTGTACAACTCTCAGCCACTTCTTAAGAAAGGATGTGCAAGAATGTAGGTGGGGTAAGAAGGAGTGTTAAAGTTGCGCTAAGAAGATGATGAGTGTTGCATCATTTCTGGAAAGATTAAGACAGAGCATGTAACTACTTGGGAATTCTAATCAAACTTGAATATTTACTGGAAGTTAGAATTGTGCAGGGAAAGGCTACTGAGGATCTGGGCAACCCTTTGCAGACAGGTCCTCAGATTGTGGCCCTTACCTCCTGTAGTCTGCCAACAAACCTGTCGTATTTTATTAATATTGTTCATAAAAAGAATTATACCCTATTAAAGTTTTCTCTGGCTTCCCCTTAGCTATACTGAGAGTGTATGTGCTATACTGCTTATTTCTTTATGGGTAATTTCATGTAAATTTTGAGGTGCTGGAGTGTGTTCAGAGAAGGGCAACAAAGCTGGTGAAGGGTCTGGAGCACAAGTCTGAAGAGGAATGGCAGAGGGAACTAGGGATATTTAGCCTGGAGAAGAGGCGGCTCAAGACCTTATTGGACTGTCTGAAAGGAGGTTGGCTGAGAAGACTGGAACTCAGATTGCTACAAGTAAGAAGCTGTAGGACAAGAGGAAACCGCCTCAATTTGCGCTGGGGAGGTTTAGATCAGATATTGGGAAAAATTCCCTAATTGAAAAGACTATTGAGCAGTGAAACAGGCTGCCCAGGCAAGTGATGGAGTCACCATTCCTGAAGGGGTTTAAAAGATGTGTAGATGTAGCACTTAGGGATATGGTTTATTGGTGGCAGTGCTGGATTAACAGTTGGACTCGATCTTAAAGGTCCTTTTTAACCTAAATGATTCTGTGATTCTTTACTGCATGTTGCAGCAGATGTAAAGTGATTTAAATGGCAGAATTTAAATGGGGCCTGAGTTGGAGATAGTTCTTTACTAGCTTCTGTTACTGAAAGAGGAGAACGTTTTCAGAATGTGTATTCATAGGCCTTGACCTGATCCGAGACACAGGATGGACATCTTGCTGCTAACACTAAACAGTGAAGTAGCATAAGTAACACCCTGGAAGACAATAAGATTTCCAGGAGGATGAAAGACCTTATTACAGGTACCAGAGGTATAAGAACAGAGACTACCAAAGGCAGAGAAAGAATGGGATTTCAGGGTATACCTCCAAAGAAACTAAAGACCTCAAGTGTATTTTGGTTTGTATGGAAGGGCAGGGTTGTTTTGTTTAAAGTAGCAACTATTGGACTTCGCTTGCACCCCATTTTGTGAATCGATATTGTGGCTCGCCACTTCCTCCTTGTACATGGCATCTGCTAAGCACTCAGTGTACTTCACAGTGCACTTTGAGTGCCCTCACCCTTTTTGTGGTATGTTACTGGGCAGAATAACCATTGTCATTACTGCTGTATTGAATTCAAGTGTCAGCACTGTTTAATATTTTGTATCACATTATGATTATGCTGTCTTCCTTTCACGGGAGTGTGCATATTAATTCTTTGTAAGATACAGCATGTTGGATAGTCATAACACCTAATTTTGGTGCTTAAGTTAGACCTAAGCTTCCTCTATAGTCTGCTGGTCCTCAAGAAGCTATTAGAAGTAGTTACATGCCCTTGAGTTTCCTGACTGTTTAAGAAACCAGGGCTCCTAATTCTTTGCTTTGAAATAAAGTGCTTGAAACTAGACAGTGGGACTGTCTTTCTCAAAGTGTAAAATGTTGGTGATCACAACATTGGAGCATTCCCTGTTCCTAGTGAACAGCTGGATTTATTCAATCAAGTTATCATGTAAAATATGAACAGCTAGTCTCAGCCTTTATTGAAAATCTAGCCTGAGGCACTCCTGGCTTTATAACCAGCACATCCAGCAATGCTTCCTACAGTTCACTTTGACAGCCAGAGAATTACGTTCAAATAATTGCATTCATGCTCATCGTGGAGTGGGTGCCTCTTTAAAATTACCTGTAGGTGAAATGTCTTTTTTATTTGTCATTTGAAATAACATTGACAGTGGTAGCTTTCTGTGTCTTCCTGCTGCAATGTGTAGGATTTTTTGTTACAGTAATAGCTGCTCTATAATGCACTGTAAACTAGAATACAGAAGTTGCATCTTTCCCCCCCAGATAAATAGATACAAATACAGAGGTTCAAGAAAGCAGTGGAAGAGTGGTTGCTATACAAGCAAGGGCACTTGCTGTTTTCAGTGTATACCCCTGGTACAGTCTAATGGAAAGCTTTCAAGATATTTTCAGGAAATGTCTGCTTTCATCTTACTTATCTGGGCTGGCTGGTTCCAGTGAACTGTGGTCAGCTGCATCTACCCAGCCAATGCAAGAGGTTCCCCCCGCTAAAAGCTTTGAAGCATTTCAAAATGTTCTGGGATTAGTTTATAAGCATTCGGCTGCAGTATTTAAACAAACTCAAAATGACCATGATCACTAAACAAAAGCCATCATTATATGTGTGCAGCCACTTTAGATAAATGTGTCATGTGGAGATGGACTCTAGAGGTTTACTCTCTTGGAGATAACAGTTCAGGAACTGGAGAATCTTGGGTTCAAGAATGCATTTTTACCTCTTTGCACACAAGAGCACATCTATTGCTTCAGCACTGACATGTCTAAATTAGTTTAAGAGGTGTTCAGATGTTTGGGGTATTGCTGCTGTGTTCTTATCTGAAAATGTCTGAATGTATGAAATGTGCAAATCCAATATACAAATAACATACTGGATCTTAATCAGACTTGCAGAGTGACTCTTTCCTATAGAAACCACATACAAGTCAGCTGGATGATCTTTTATATAGCAAGTTTGGTGATAGAAGATTGGGTCCAGGTTTCAACTGAGAAAAATCATTTATTGTTAAGCTAGAAATGTAGCAATTGCCCATTTTGAAATGGAGTTTACAGGACTAAAAATCAAAAAAGTCTTTCTTTTATAAGACTGTTTGAATAGTCATAGTATTGTCTCTGTTTGTAGAGTTAACAGTGTGAAATAGCAAAAAGGCAACTTTGTCTTAACACATTAAAGAATTTAAAAGTACATTCTTCCCTTTTTCTGTCTTAATTTTAGGTTGTCATTTGGTGAGTGTGAACTCAAATGGGTTTTCTGTTAAGCAGTTTTTACGTATCAGTACTTTCTAAGCACACTCAAATCTGCATATTTGGTGTTTTGTGGAGATCAGTATTACTTTACTTCCTCCTAGCATGTTCCATGTACTACTTAGAAAACATATATAG